ACAGACAGACAGACAGACAGACAGACAGACAGACAGACAGACAGACAGACAGACAGACAGACAGACAGACAGACAGACAGACAGACAGACAGAAAGAGAAAGAGAGAGAGGGGTGTACACATGATGAAACACCTGGCAATCATTGCGATAAAAACGAAAAAAATGAAATGTCTCACAGACTTACCATTCTGAGTAGAGAAACATCCCGCGGTAGTTGTACCGATCAAGTCTGCACTGGGGCACGTAGGGAGGATCACCTCCTTGACGTAGTTTGCGTACGCGCCGAGTCCAGTCCACGCGGATCCGTTGGTGTAGTTCGACAACTGGGTGTCGACCGCGGTGATGTTCGCGGGTGCGTTCAGGTCGGTGATGTTGTTGCAAAAGTCGAAAAAGTCCGGGTTATCGTACGCAGGGTACCAGTTGAGCTCCTGCCATGTGTAGGTAGGGTAGTTCATCGGACCGCCAATGGGGAATGCGATCTATATGTGCGGGACCATTCACAAAATCTGTCAGCTTTGATCGTACGTCACACACACACACACACACACACAAGTGATTTCACGATGAAAATTCTTCTTGTAAGGGGCGGTTAGGGGTATTTCCCCACGGGTCGAAACCACCCAAAGCAAAAGAAAAGGCGAAAACGAGGACTAGGACCTGTTCAACTTACCGTCATGGCAAAGTCTCCCAGGCTACTCAGAGCACCTAAGCCGAAGATCTCTTTCACCTTTTGAATGGCTTCGGTGTTGTTGGTCAGGATCAAATGGTCAATCTTGTCGATGATCTTGTTGATCCTGGTGATGCAGTCCTGAGGCCCGTTCTCCTGGATGGGATTGTACCATTCGGGATACCCGTGCACGGCATGCACGACGCCCGAGGCCGCGATGCCACCCCACAGAATGTCGCCGTACTGGACGACAGAAAACGCGGTTTCGGCCCCGGCGAGGCTGCCGCCGTAGAGGATCCACGGGGTCCCCGGTGCAGTGAGGTTGTCTCCGCCGGGCACGTTGGGGAAGGTGGCGTGCTGGGCAAAGTACGCGTTGTCGGCGATGGTTTGCTCGTTCGTCAGGTACCGCAAGTTGTCGGTGGTCGAGTTCTCAAACGGCCAGCTCTCCCCGTAGTATCTGTTCTCGAGAATCACGCCGAGCCCGTTGGTCGCGCTCATGAGGATCTGGACGATGCCGGTCTGGAGGTTGCTGAACCGGGACTCGCCACTGGTCTCGCCTCCGATGTACAGAAACACCGGACCGCCGGGCTTGTAGTAAGTCGGGTCGAAGAAGTACCTCTGCGTGAACGTGCCATTGTCGTTGGGCTTGTATCGCGCCGAGTGAGGGAAGTGGTCGATCAGCTGTGTGAAATTGTACGCCGTGTAGTTTGTCGGCCGACCATTCTCACCCAAAGGTCCAACTTGAGCAGCAGTGAAGCCGGCAAAGGCTGCTACGGCCGTGACGAGGACGCTGGAAACATGCATTGATGTCGTTTCTAAATGCCACCCAAAGCCTTGAGATGGATTAGTTTTGGGGCAGAAAAGAACTGACCAGCTTCGAGGAAGTCAAAAGAGGTGCCCATTTCAATTCTGCCTGGTTTTTATGACCATCTGCACGCAGCTTACCCGGCATCACTGGCCCGTACCACGTTAACGAGCAACGCACTGTGTGAACCAATTCGCATTACTGCGTCATATAGCGCCAGGTACGTTACGGCGGGAGCAAGGGTGCGGAGGGGCGTTTCATGCAGCTAAGAGAAGCTTGCTGATGCTTGCCTGGGACCTTGTTGCGATCGCTCTCGTGCCAACGGAGCTCGCCATTGGTGTGACGGTCCGTTACCTTCTTCATGCGGGAAGATCTTGACCAAGTGTGGGATGGAGTGCGGTGCAGCGACATCATCCCAGCGTTGCATTCTGGGGGCCTTGGACTCGTCTTCGGCAGAGCTAGGAACACACTAGCTATTTGTACCCAGTACCAGCTGGAGACTGACCTTTGGTACCTAGGAATGCAAGAATCAGCCTCTTCGTAATTGCGTGACAGCCTGGAAGGATCGCGGCATTTTGCCGTGCGGAGACTCGGTCTGTTGTGTAACATCTGATGAACACGAGATCTGAGAAGGTTTGATATGAAGAAGCTCAAGACTTGTCAAGAGCCTTAATTGATTGGAGAAAGGCGGGCTTCAAGGACGGTCACGTGGGAATAGACCAAGCTCGCATTACAAGGTGAAAAGAAAGAGCAGATGGAAACATATTCTTTTCATGTACACAGTAGCAACGCTATTCTATACAAACAGAAGTCGCCTAATAGACTTCAAGAACATATCTACCTTCGTCCTTCAACTTCATAATCTCCCTGGCAGAATCAACCTTCTTCGCACCAGCCGCCTTTGCATTCTTCGTGATGGCCTCCTCCAGAACATTTGTCACATCAGGAACAGGCCAGGTCGGACCGCAGAGGTAGAAAGCACCTTCCTCCTTGATGTAAGCTTGAGTGATGTCGTCCAATGTCTCCCGCATCCTATCCTGGATATAGATCTTCTGAGGCTGGTCACGAGAGAACGCCCGTCCAAGTAGCGTGATCACCCCGGCAGCCTGGTATGCCTCCCACTCCTCACCATAGCAGTACTCCTCGCGTTGGTGGCGGGATCCCATGTACAGCAAGACGGACCCGATCTCTTTGCCCTGTGCCTTCTCCATGGCGCGGTGTTGCACGAAAGCTCTGAATGGAGCAAGACCTGTACCCAGACCAGCCATGATAATAGGTTGCGTCGACTTCGGAGGCAGCTTCATCACGGATGGCTTGACGCTGACGGTCACCGGAGAGCCGACCTTGAGATTGCTCAAGTACTTGGTAGCCTGGCCAAAGCGGTCCCGACCCTTGGGGTCGACCCAGTTGACTACGACGATCATGAGTGCGACGGACGTGGGCGTGACGGCCTGGCACGACGCAATCGAGTATTCACGACGCTTCATCGGCTGGACGATGCGCACAATGTCGTGGAACGATGGATGTGCTGACGGGAACTCAAGGAGTACATCGGCAAATGTCACGGTGTCGACTTCAGCGCGACGTTGGAATTCCTTGAAACCTTCCGGCCCCGCAAGAGTGAGCAGGTTCTTCTTCTCATTCTCATCGTCCGCAAATTCAGCAAGTGCTTCGTAGAACTTCTTGGGTGGACGACCGAAGATGTCGACATTCTGCATCAGAGCCTGGTAGATGGTCCTGTTCTCAAAGATCGATGGGTCATCTCGGGACGCGACTTCGACGACGTCTTCGGCGTTGAGACCATACCACTGGATGAACTCCATGACTTGGTCGTGATCGTTTTCTGCGTGAACACCGAGTGCTTCTCCAATGTCGTACTTAAGGCCTGAAGTGCCGAGGTCGAACTCGATGTGGAAAATGTTTCGCTCGTACGTGACAGGAGTAAGACGGCGATTCTCCTTGACATGTACAGTAAATGTCTTTGTAGGCAGCTCCGGGCGCAAGGTGTTGGCGGTCTGGTATGCTTCCTTGAACAAGAGACCCTTGGCTGCTTTCTGCCAGCTGCGAAGAACAGAGGGAGGCTCTTCTTCAGTCTTGTCGTACGGTGCGAAACTGTTTGACTGGATGTCCGTAGGAAGGTTTTCCTTGCTCTCAACCTCAAGTTCAGTCCATTCTTTTGGCACTTCGATCTTGCGAAGAGTGTGGTCCAGGTCGGTGGCAACTTGCTGGAGACTCTTTGCATCACCGGTGATTGAGGCAAGCTTCTGAAGACCAATCTCTTCCGACTTGCCAAGAGCCACGCGAAGGAATGCGGTTTGAACTGTCAGAGTCTCAAGTTCGGCGTTTTCGGCGTCGAGGCCAGTGTTTGCGGTATTGATAAGGTACAAGTTGATGGCATCCTCGGCGACAGACTTCTTAAAAGATATTGGAAGTTTCTTCTCGACGTCTTCGTCCTTGACGCCTGGGAGAAGCACAATAACATTGCCGCCACCTTGAACAGACTTCAGGACGTCGAGCTTCTCAAGGAGCTTAGCATCAGAAACCACAATAGTGTTCGCCGCAGCGACAGGGTACGCGGCATCGACAGTCATCGACCCTTTGCGGATGTCAATCCTGTGCGATCCACCCTGCAAGAGGTTGTCATGAGTGGTGTTGATAGTGACATTTTGAGCCGAATCCTTAGCAAGAGCTTGTGCCAGGAAAGAGGCCGCAGCTGTGGATGGTGCACCATCGACGTTCCAGAAAGTGTACTGCTGTACTGATTCGTCGAGGAACGTGGTCAGACCTTGATCGTCGGGGGATTTGCCAAGCAGCCTCTGGAAAGTAGCCGAAATAGAGGAAGGTGTCCAACGCTCAGCACGAGCATACTTCACCTCACGGACCTCGGGCGCATTATGAACGGAACTCCCGTAGGAGACGGACGCCAAAACATCTTCGAAAAGCTGTGAACGCGAGCCAGCCTCTTGGACAGCCTGAGCATCTGCAACTTGTCCAAGGACGCCCACGACTCTGACGCTGCTAGGCAATAGCTTCAGGAACTTGTCTTCGGCGAAAGGTCGGTAGAGCCTGACATTGATGGCGCCAACCCTGCTACCGGATTGGGCCAAAGTAGCGGCTGCCTGAGATGCCAAAGACGACTCGACTGAGCCAAAGGTAACAAGAACCACTTCTGGTTGTTCGTGGCCGGAGTATTCGAATGCCTTGTAATCCGTACCGAGCTCTTCATTCAGCGCCTTGAGGGTCTTCAGGGCTCTGCCTTCAGGGCTCATGTGCTTTCGGTCCTCTTCTGGTACGGCGCTCAGAACCGCGCGATATGCAGCCGCGAGACCAGACTTGTCGAGGATGTCGATGACTCGTGTGGTCTCTCGGCCGACTCTCTGACCGTCGTACACATGGAGAGTCGGAATGTCTTGTGCCAAGAGGGTCGCGAGGAGCGACATGTGTTGCGCCTCGTGAGCGGATTGCGAGGCCACCAACCCAAAACCCAGATCTTCTGCTGTTGACAGAGCTGTGGCATAGTCCGACACCAAGCCACCGTCGTTGTCGCCCTCATAATCCAAGGCTGCGATGTGGGCGACAAATGGGTTGCTCACAGAGTAAAGGAGGGAGAGCTGATCCAGGACAGGTCTTAGAAAGGTCAAGGCGGATGACGGAGCAATCAAGCCCTGTGGGATGTGTCTCTTCTTCAGATCGAAGTCTTTGGAGAACATGTAACCGAGGGCGATTGATCCTGCCCCGTTGCGTATCTGCATGGACTGGACCGCTGTGCGATATCCATTTGCGTTCGTCTCCTGCGCCTCGGCCCACGCGCGTGCGGCAACATCGAGGTCGAAGGTCTCGGGGGAGTAGGAGAAGATCTTGTCCGAGAGAGTATAGGCAACTTGCTGGACAAGAGTCTGGGCAGTCAGGTAGGTAGGGCCTGCGACCGAGGCAAGCGGCGGCGACTGGCCGAAGGACTGGCTGTGAGAAGAGGCCATTTCGACTTCAGGACGCGGAATATCCTCGACGAAGCCAACGTTCAACGGAAGGGCCTAACTGCGACTTCCTGGAAGATAGGAAAAGAAGAGGAGAGAGGAGGAGGAATTCATTCTCCCTTCTAAGAAATAATTTCAAACCCACGGCGCCCGTACGGGCGACTTCGCCCGGCAGCCACAGCATTTTGCTAGGTTCTGGACCGGCAGGTCGCTTGGATGATGCCGCCATCGAGAAAAAAAGTGGAAAGCGTCGATTGCGTGCTCAAGCACGTGACCCCTATCCGACAAGGCTGAGGCTGGTGTCGGGAAGATCGCCGTCAGGCTGAACTAGACCAGATTAAGCCTCGGTTCAGGGACTAGTGCGGATCCCTCTAAATCTATTCCTAGGTATCATATATTGTGAACTGTGAAGTCTTCACAACAATCATACTACCCGGGTCTCGACCTGCCACCGGGAAGCTAGTCGAGGCGTGAGGGGTGTCACCAGTGTGGTTCCCATTATCACCTGCGGCTCTCGTCGTGAATCCTTGAGACGACCCCTGACTCTAGAGTCCCCCGACTCTAGCAGTTCCGAGCTATAATGGCCTCTCTCGAAGAGTACCTATGCGGGAGGTAACCTGCCGATACCTCGAGAAAAAATCCCTTCTTCGGCTGGGGATTTTCCCTCGGCCTGGACGTCAGCTACAAGAGCGTGTAGTTGGCCTCCAGGTTAGAGTTTTTGTCGCCTATAACGAATTTAGGCATGTCTCTTTCCTGATGTGTGATGTGTGATGATTCTGGGGTTCGAATCTCACGCTGATATTTTATTCTTTTTCTTTCTCGCTATCGAAGTATTGAATTCTTTCCTGGATACTGCGCTATCTTCACTGACGGGGACTTATCCATCTTCGCTGAGCCTTGGCGACGACCATGACTGACCCAAGTCTGTCGATTTACCTATTTCATGAAGACGCCCCACCGGCCAACTTGTCGAGCAGCCTACACACATCTCATGTGACGGCATAATGGACATGGCGCTTCGTGCTGTTCGCCGATGAGCTGTTGGACTTCTAACCGTAAGCGACCACCTTATTGAAAGAGGCGAAGGGACATGGATGCATGGGACCGTAGCCCGAATGAAGTAGCAGAAGATGAATATCGGGGTCTGGGTCTTCTGGATATGGAGCCGCTGGGAGGCTTCTCGGATGTATTGGTTGTATCGGACAGTGGTGCTTAGCATCTCAATGATGGCCAGAGGACCAGGAGGATTGAAGAAGAATGGCAAACAATGGGCAGAGCACTAGTCCCGCACGTTGGAGAACAGGCTGAACGATAAAGGCAGAGCGTATCTGATATGTGAAGTACGACAGGCCTGGGAAACCGCTGTGCAAGTTCCTGGACAAACCAGTGGGCAGCCGAGGAAGAACAGGGCCGGAGCGCAGTTCCAGAAAGAAGGCTGAGAAACGCCTTCCTGTAGATGGCCACGAGAGCCCCGAGGAACATGGCGATAGTAGGAATCGTCACTGGTGGTAGCCTAGTCCTGGTGGTGGAAGTTGGCATGGTCATTTGTTGTTGACTCGGCTACCGGCCGCCAGGACGTATTGGACGCCTCAGGGGTTTGCAGGCGTTAGTCCATACCTTAGTCAGGCCTTCAGATGCAAGTCGTGTGAATATCTCCAAGTCAGCAGTATTTCCAGCGCTTCGCTTGGATGCTGGGAGCCAGCCAAGGTCAAATACGAGGTTGTCATCAAGCTGCATGCTGTGTGTGTGTGCTTGATGGCCTGATCGATTGACGGTCTCGCTCGCTATCCTGGCTGATGCAATGAGGAGCAAGCCTCTGGAACCACCTCGTGTTCGGCAGTCGGTTCGAACCTTCCCGATAGTGAGGGTGCAGCGTAGAAAAACATGATGCACGGTAGAATTTGTCCGCACTCATCCGGAGGGGGAGAGGCTTGGGCCTCGTATAACAACCACCAGGCAGACAGTAGCACGCGAGACAACCTACATAGGTGCATAGAGGCTCTCCCTGTCTCTTGTTCCCTCTGAAACTGAACAAATAAGACAGCTATTATACTTTCTAGGTATCCCGGATACGTCGCCCACTCCATTCCAATCGCAATTATAACGACGCAAGGAACCATGGCCACGGCTCTCGTGGTTGGCTGCACCGGCCTCATTGTAAGTTAAGCGAATGGCTGCCCCCCAGCCAGTGTAGGCGTCCAACACCTTATCGATCCTTTAGGGATCCCATATCCTCGCGATCCTTCGCACCGGCACCGGTCCCTCGAAATACTCCAGCGTCAACACGATCGCTCGCCGCTCAGTCCCAGCCGCAGCCGAATCCGAACCCGCCGTTCCGGTCAACGAGGTACTCGAGAAAGACACGGCGAAATGGGGCGAGCACATCACCGCACTCTCTCCTCCCCCTTCCACCGTCTTCTACGCGCTCGGAACGACTCGCGCCGCAGTGGGCGGGTTCGAGAACCAGAACAAAATTGAACACGAGATGAACCTCCAAGTCGCCAAAGCGGCCAAAGAGGCGGGCACAAAGACGTACGTGCTCATCAGCAGCACCGGAGCCAGTGCCGCGTCCATGTTCGGGTACCCCAGGATGAAAGGCGAGATCGAAGACGTCGTCACGGCGCTCGAGTTCGAACACACCATCATCGTCCGCCCCGGGCTCATCGTCGGTGAACGTGACCACAACCGGGGCGTCCTGGAGCACAGTCTGAGATCCTTTGCGAATGCGTTGGGCCATCTACATCACTCGCTGAAAGATGCTTGGGCCCAAGACGCCGACACGATTGCCAGAGCTACCGTTGCTGCCGCGGCCGAGGTCGAGAAAGGTGAGGTCAAAGACAAAGTGTGGATTCTGCAACAAAAAGACATCGTCCGTTTAGGCAAGACAGAGTGGAAGAAGGCATGAATGATATCCTCCCCCTCCCCCTCCCCCCAGGTGTGTGAGCTTGGTTACCTAGGTGCGTACTTCGGAGGAGTTTGGGTTTTGGAACTTCTTCGTGGTCTGTGATACCCATTTGGATCTCCTCATGTAGCTTACAACTGACGTGTTGATACATGTTAATGTTGATGATTTTCCCCCTCTGTTTTACGCCAACGAGAATGCTGGTGGGAAACACTATGTACGATAGTTCACTCTCCTTACTCTGCCTCGTCTGTCTGAGACAACCTGCGGTGGACATCCTTCCCATCTGTCCAGAACCTTACACACTCTCTTCCCCTTTACCGGCGTCGCCACCTCCAGCTCTTCCACCGCCCCCTTCCGACATCTTCTTCTTGGACCCTCCCTTCTCTTCTGCCGTGCCCGTGCTGAGATCGGGGTTTGCGGGGCTCGAGTCTAGGGGGTTAACCTGGTTTCCTTCCCCGGCCTTCTTTCGCGCCTCTTCGGGGTCGGTGATGTTTGGATTGAAAGCCGCATCTTCATTTTCCGCCGCGGTCTCGTCGGTGCTTGACTTGGCGTACTCGTTCCGCTCAGGATCCATCTTTTGGCGGTCCAGTTGTGCATCTCGCTGAGGGTGTGGATGACGATCAGGATCTTGTCCAGAGGCGAAACGACATGGGGTTGTGGATAGCGGCCGAGCGCTTGCTCTGAGCCTTACTTCGGAGGGGCGAGTTGATCGCGAGGCTTTGAAGCCCTGTGAGAATCGGAGGAGTGACGAGGGTGTCATGGTCGTCGGACTCGTAGAAATTGGGGGGTTTCTTGACGCTGACGAGAGGCCACTTGTAAGACGTAGACGATGTTGCCGAGAGACTTTGCCTGTTATTGCGCTGTTTTTCTTGTGGTTGCAAAGTTTTGACCTCGAATTACAGCCTCGACTTGACAAGAAGAGGATCGAGGGTGTGAAAATTACTCATACACAAGGTATATTATATATATCTGTGTTGATCTGGTGTCATTGATTCTGTCGACACCTCTTGAACCCAGTGACGTCAAGTGAAGTTGCCATCCGCACAGCGTTTCAAGGCGGATGTGTTCTCCAGGTACAAAAGATCTACATTGTAGTACGAGTACGAGCATGTAGACTCCCCCACGATCATCAGAAAGGGAATCCTTTCCGCTCAGAGAGCGTACGAATACGAGTCCTACTACTGATCGATGCACTCCGTGACGGCACTTGGCTAGGAGTGTAGGGGGTTGTTTTTATTTTTATCTCATATCTCAACGACGCTTTTCATGCGCTTGCTTCATGCCTCCAACGGCAAGACATGCGGCACAGGTCCTTCGGGGACAACACCAGCCGGATTCACGAGGGTCAGACTCTTGAAGTAATGGGGCTTGATATGGTCGAAGCTCGTCGTGTCCTTGAAGGCGGGCACAGTCCAATACAACGTCCGCAGCCACCTGTGAATGTTGGGATACTGATACCGAATCATGCCCTTGTTCGTCTTGAACAGCGACACGTACACCGGGTCGAATCGGATTATCGTCACGTACAGCCGGATGTCCGCCTCTGTGATGCTCGATCCGAAGTAGTACGGCCCAGCAGCTTGGTCCGCGAGGTGCGATTCCACCTTGTCCAAGTGGTTGAACAAGTTGGCGACGGCGTCGTGATAGGCTTCTTGTGATTTGGCAATGCCACATTTGCTACGATTCCCCCCTCCGGTCAGCATGGCCTCTTGCGCAAAGGTCAATCTCTCCCCGCCCCCCCTATGCTAGGCAGTGGGTAGTGGGTAGCAGTGGGTAGGTCTGCAGAAATGAACTCACTAAACACCGTTATTGATATTGTCGTACGTCCAGCTGTTGGTCTCGTCGATCGCCTCTCTCAGCTCCGCAGGGTACAAGTCCACGGCTCGTTTATCATCTGGCAAGAGGTCGTCAAACTCGGTGTACAGCATGCGGATGATCTCGCTGCTCTCGTTGCTGACGATGGTGTCGAGCTTCTTGTCCCACAGCACCGGCACGGAAAAACGGCCCTGGTAATCCGGGTTCGCGCGCAGGTACAGCTCTTTGAGTCTCTTGATGTCCGAGTGCAACGGGTCCGGGGTACAGTCGTCCATGGGCAGTGTCTCGTCCGGCGTGACGAATCGCCAACTGTCCGTCAACGACATGTGCCAGTGCACCGCTGTGACTGAGATCAGAGGCTCAAGACCCTTGAGTTTACGGACGATTAATGTTCGGTGAGCTAACAGGACCCGTTAGTTCCGTCGGATATCAGATCTGGAAGGATTGATCATGTCTATCGAGGTGGCATAGAACCACTCACCCCATGGACAGGCGTACGAGACGTATAGATGGTACCTGGGCACCGAGTGAAAGTCAGACCGGGCCGCCTCTGCGCAGTACAATCAGGCGGATTGTCTTCGTACGAACCTGTTGGCCTCCGGAGGGAACTGAGCTCCAGGGGCTCGAGAGATGAAATTTCGAAACTGAGTCGCTGGTCGGATGAATTCACCTTTCTTGCCCCATAGAGTTGGTGGAAGGTTGGGATTCGAATCTGGATCTGAAGCCGAATCCGCCTTGACTCCTCCCTAAGTTGTAACTCGTCGTCAGCACCTGATATTATCTGTACTGGTATGGTATTGCCCGTTTCCCTCCCAGCCATGCATCCATCCCGTCTACTGCGCCCGGACGAGTTCGTACACAGAGCACACTTACTGGGCCTGCCATGCCGTCTGAGGAATTTAGGATGGTGAAGCAGTGAATCCTGACGATCAAATCCCACGCTATCAACGGGCGTTTTGAAGCCAAACCGGAGTGTGCATCCCTTTTATCCTCCGATTTATGCTTTGCGGGAGAACGACGCGGCCAGTCATCAAGCCAACGCTATTCATAAGCACGACTGCTTTTGCTTACCACTTTCTTACGAACTCCGCTCCCCCCAAAATACTCTACCCCGTAGAAAGAGACGTTGGACCAGTCACGGCCTCGCAAACACTGGGCTAGTCCTGCACTGTGACTTCTCGACCGATACGTCACGTGAAACAGCCTGACATGGGGATCTCAGATCGACGGGTGGAGAGGCGACCAGGGAGACGAGACAAAATGCTCAGAATACGAGATCAATCTTTTGTCATGCCCGATCCCGACGGGGTTTTTATTGTTACAGTATCTAGACCTGATTCAATTCAACCATAGAAGTCCTTTGTGCTGCCACCAAAAAAAATAATCATTTTTTTCGAGGAGCAAAACTCTAACCCCAAGGCCAATCACACGCTGGGTGATCGACGTTGAGGTCGAGGGAAATCCCTGCCAACACAGGGATTTTTCTCGAGAAGTCGTCAGGTTACTCCGTCAGCTAGGTCATTCACGCGTAGAAGCCATGTTCGCTGGGAACACCTCGCCCTATGCAGGGGTCCTTAGTGTCAGGGTGTCGCCTCTAGGATTCACGGCTGAGCCCAAGTAAACTGCCTCATGTCTGGTGAAATCCCCTTACGCCATCTATCCGCGGTGGATCAGGTGACACGGGTAGCCACGAGGAATTGTTGGAAGGATTTGACTCTTCCAAACATATAACCCTTGAATAATTGTTTAAGCTCCGGCGCGTCGCGTCTCGAAGACCCCATTGATCGGTGCGTTGGCATTGGTGCCCTTTCGTCCTGGCCACTTCGTCGGAATCAATACTTTAGACGAATTCCGTTTCTCTTCTCCTCCTCCCGATGTTCAAACATAACTTGAACACCGACAAAGAGCGCCCCGCAAGCACCAAGCATGAACATCGCCCCTTGCCAACTCCCTGCGATTCCATGGACGAGACCCATCAACCCGTCCAGCCCGACAGCAAACCCTACCAGATTCGCTGCCATCATGAGGAGGATATTCGCGACGGCGCCTATGCCACAAATAACTCGGTAAGCAGTGGGCCTGTTCTTCCACTTTGATTTCGGAAACGCCATCGTCCCCAGTACTTCCGGCAGGACAAACAATGTGACGAGCCATCCCCACATGAGTAAACGTAGATTGATATCGTGCCACAGAGCCACGAAAGTAAAGACAGCGAGCATGTTGAGTAAGCCTCTGGCCACTCCTGACCCACCGCCAGGACCACCTCCGAGCGGAATGTAGACATAACGAACCGTCCATCGGTTGAAACTTCGGTGCCATGACCGCCAGAACCCGAGAGCAGAGTAGTTGTCGCTCATGCACCGGACCATGTTCTCCGGCGGATCGATGCTGTCAATCAGTGCCCACAGTCTGAAAAATCGCCAGGGGATCATCAGCTTCAACCATATGATGTGGAGATTGAAATACGCCAGCATGGCTAGCTGGAACGGTGTGTACGTTGACCAGTCAGGTTTGACTTGGGAGATAGCAACCACGTATGCGGTGTGAAGGAGAAACTCCATACAGAACAAGGTGAGTAAGAAGCGGATGCCGTAGAGTGTTGTGCGCCTCGTCGAGATCGACGATGCTTGGTACGAGGATTGGGAGATGTAGTCGTTGAATGTCAGAATTGGCCCAGCAAGATATAAGGGTGGATATAGGATGTATGCAACGTAAGTCCGGAACGATGCAAATGCCCAAGCTGGAGCAGGCATCGCGACTCGGTCTCGCTCGGACAACGCTGCAGGGTCGAGTTGTTTCTTCTTGACATTGTCAGTGCTCGCGACCTCACTGTCTGCAGTTGCCCGAGAGGCAGAGGGATAGCTTACCTCGATGGGACTGCCAGCCCTAGACCTCTCCAAGGACCAGTAATAGTCAAAGTTGAAGGAGATCATTCTCAGGATCGTGATCTTGAAAAGAACCTCCCATCGCGGGTTGAGTCCCCCATATGAATCGAGTGTCCTCCCCCATTCCACAGCAGAAGGCACCAAAGGTGCTAGGGCATGGCCTATGCTAGTGTAGCGATAGCCTTGGGTGAGTTCGTTCGCGAAGAGGATGCCAATGTTGAACACCCAAGTCGTCACGGGAACAGCACTACGAGGAAGAGCCGTTGCAATTCTGTAATTGATCAGGAGGATCAGGAGAACCTTGAGCATAGAGGTCCCGTTGAGAGCAGCAATGTAAATCAATGCCGCCCAGAAGTCGAAGGAGGTACGTCTTCGGAGCCGCTGCTCTGCAACGTGAGCGCTTGAGGTCTGCTTTGCGTCGTTGCTACCGATGGGTGTTGACGGAGTTGACAACCTCTCGTACGCCCGCCGCAGCAACGGATGGACAACAACGAGAATGGCAAGGTATGGTATATTGTCTCGAAAGCTAGAATATTGGCCATCTGAATTGTCCTATATTCCTACATGAGCCTTGGTGGAATGGTTGAGACAGTTGAGAGCATCTACCTACCACTTTCCTGCCAAACAGCCACCCCTGGGAGAGCAAGTGTTCGTACTTGGAGTAATTGGGCGAGTCAGCTATGCCACCACCGTCAGATTCCTTCTTCCAGACGTATGCCAACATGAAGCCTGTGTGTGTTGTGTGTCTTACGTTGGGAAACTTCCACTACCGCCCAATACATCTGCGGCACGCAGAACAAGAACACCAGAGCATAAAAGTAGAATTCTGGTGTCCTCCACTTCGGAGGAGACACATCTGTAGGTATGCTGGGTTTTCCATCTTTTTCTGCTGAAGCCTTGGTCAAGGCAGTCCCATTCGCAGGTTTCAGGGGAGTCGAAGAGGAAGTTGTAAAGCGGGTATCAAGTGTGTCGAGAGAGTACAACTCCTTGAAGAACGAGGCGACGGTCATCTTGTGCAATGCATCCTACCAGCATCCAATCCACAGAAGGCTTGAGCGCTGGAACAAAATATCTGGGGTGTATGAGGAGTAGATGAATTTCTTTAAGTCGCCGCAGTCGCGTATTGCAGTCTGTCTTTTGAGATACGTAAAGCAGCAACCTCGGCAAGTGGCCTGGTCACCCTGCCGCTTTAATCCAACCCTCGACAACCATAGCAGAGTACATATTGTCGAGTACCACTCCTCGCAATCCTTGTCATTGCTCACCAATACATGGCTAATTTAAGAATTGACACTGGCAACTTGATAAAGGTATCAACTATATTCAAGAATACTCAATGTCAGTTAAGAGTGCGAGTGTCCGCAGCCGCCTTCGCAGCTTCAACAGCAACTCTGAAATCCTCCAACAGTGTCTCCGTCTCTTCTAGCCCAGCAGAAACCCGAATTTGTGTTGGCAGTAGTCCATACTGGGCCACCCACTCCTGCTCATTCGGATAGACGCCCATACAGTAACCGATCGCAAGTGTCAGATGTGCGCCGAGATGCGGTCCCAGGTGGACATTGAGGTTATTGTAAAACGCAACAGCCGCATCTAGACTTTCGAATTCAACACTGAACAAACACCCATACCCAGGCTTGAAGTCTCTCGTCTCCGGCCTCATCATAGATTGATATATCTCCACTGATTTGCTGGTAGTGGGATAGTACACGCGCTTGACCGGACTGTGTGGGTCATCGACCTCTTTGACAAGATACTCGACGATTTTTTCTGCATTTTTGTTCAACACAGCCGACCGCTCAAGGTAGTTTCTACTATTCCTCTCAAGAGTCTCCGCGTCGCCAACAAAGAAGAAATTGAGGTATGTTTCGTCGAACAGCGCTTTCAACTCGACGTACCGCGATGCAGAAGGGTTCAGCACCGCACTCGAGGCCAAAACGTCTGCGTATCCACTGAACGATTTCGTCAATGAAGTGACGAGAATGTCAGCAACCCCAAAGGCGTCGATGTTGCAGAAGCTCCCGATCGTGTCGTCGACAATCAGCAGCGCCCCATAGCGATCTGCGAGCTCCCGCAACCGCTTCAGATCCGGCGTGTTGAGCAATGGATTTGAGGGTACTTCTGTCCAAATCGCCTGTACTTTCTGGTCTTTCGCCTTCTGTGACGAGAGGTATTCCTCGAGCAGCTTAAGATCGTCGTCATCTCCTTGTCCGAAGAATTCTACTCCGGGGCCGAACGCACCGAGGACGTGAATGGTTGAGCTGAACGAGAACCCGAAAAGGACTGTTTTTGAACCGTATTTGCTCAGTAAGCACTTGTGCACCCAGTATATCGCAGACATGCCAGTCGAGTATAGGTAGACGTCATGAGGTGCCAGTCTTGTAGTACGGGACGGTTCAATTGGAGCACGTTTTAACAACGTTGTAATCCGATCTTTGATCTGATGATGGGCGAGACTTTCTGCCATCGTTAACTTACCAACTGCTTCGCTCGACAGATTTTGATGTCTCTCGCTTTCGTCCAGTGTATCGATATGCTGGAGACAATACTCCGCCATCCGCGAAGAGATTCCCGTCCCCGAATGGGTCCAGAAACCGTGCACGACGCTCGTTGACGCCACCGGGAAGAAGACAGCATATACGTTGACCTTGTTCTTGATTGCCCCATCGGCATGGGATTCGAATGTGAAGGCGTGAATGGTGAGCTGATCATCCCGCAACGCTCCTTCGCCTCGCGCCGCCGAAGTCGCAAACACCTTACAATCCCGCGCTGCCTGGATGGACGGGAACAGACGACAAGTTTGTCCCGTGTTCTGGACGCCCGCGTATTCAATGATCTTGGTCATGAGCTAGTTGTTGTCCCATGACACGGTCAGTATGCATTTTGAAGCTTTCGACTGTCGCTTTGTTTGTGTCTACGCCGGAAGTCCAGAGGCCAAGGTAAGCTTACGTACCTCCTTCACATCCCTATGCAGGATCATTCGAGGATACATGCTCTCAAGCATGTTGATGACCTCTGGATCTTTGTCCTTTGCGAAACGAAGCAACATCTCCCACGACGGGAGGTGTGTGGTGATGGCATGGCGAGGAGCAGGTGGGATCGCGTGGCCTGGTAATGTTGTGATTTTGGCCGACATTGTGAGTATTCGCAAGCGTACCCCCTTGTGTTATTTGTGCTATTTCGTTCAGGTGGTTGTGGTCGTAGAGGGTTCTTTTGAAGCCTCGTCTACTTTGCTCGTCCTACGTAAGCAGGCCTTCCCGTTCGAGGTCAGGAGTCCCCTTTGGGTCTCGGCTGAGCACACCCTGAGCAAACAGCCCTTGCATTCGGCTATACTTGCCTCTCAGCTTGTCACCAATACAGTAATCACTAGAGTGGTACTCCGTACTTTCGTCCCCTTGTACCGCCTCGAGCCTCGACTGGCTTTCCGCGCTGGCGACTGCTCAGCCTCCACAGGGGAAGGTTTTTCGGCGAAAACATCCTCATAACTCAGCCTTCTCGCCATCATCATTGGTCTCCCGCACCAAGGTTCCGTGTGATTGTGATTTACAAACTCCAATACGGAGTACGCAGGGCAGACCCTCGTATTCTCCCGAAAACAGTGCTCTGTATTGGCCCAGATTGTTCGAGTTCCTCGATCAGCGGTGTGGTGGCTGGCGCCTGGCCGCTCACTGAATCGAGCCAAAATCAAATGAAATTGTAAGTGACCTTGTCGGCGACCTGGTGTGCAGCCAGGGACACCCCGACCACCTTCGCTTGAGGGTCTCTACAACTATGGTATAAAGCGCAGCTCAGCCCAACTGTTTCCAGTTCATGAGCCCGGTGAAGACAGACAGACCGCATCGATCTTTACTAGTTCTGCGTACTTGTCATTTTCTCCCTTGCCACAAACATGCAATCAATGGATGCGCTGAATCGCTTCTACCTCTCCGTCAACGTCATCCAGCTCCTCGATGTCGGTGTCCGTCTGGTCGTGCGAATGGCAGCTCTTCGCGCCAGAGATGCCCAGAATCAGAGCCGGACAGAAGATAGTCGGCTCGTTCACTATCAGGTACCGCCACGATCACCCTCCTTCCCAAGATTCACAGACTCGTCCAGAGCCAGATTCGCTGATTGGTTTCACGAAAGTCGCGCCCTGCGCAAGCCTTTCCAGGCCTCTTCAATGTCATGACGATCCCCTGTTCTCCCACCAGCCAGTTCGTCTACTTTATCGACGAGCTGAGGAACATACACTTGGTCCACTTGTCCGCATGTGCCAAAACTCAGGTGGGCGTCAGCCTTTGCGATTCGGTCTTCGTCTCCGCATGATAGATAGATCTTTACCTGTCTGACTGGAGCCCAATAGGACATTGTCAGATTTGCCTTCTGGGCCTTCTGGGCCTTTCGAGGGTCCAGCGATCCACATCTCCGTCTTCGGCTCCAACGGGGTGAGTTCTGGCTTCTCCCGGAGTATGGATGCAGCGCTCCGTCAGGAAATTATGTTCCCCTACGGTATTCGATCGTTGATTCGGGGCGGCAACTTGTCCTGGCAGATAACTATGAACGCACGGTGCAGCCGGGTGCAGTCTTTTACCTGCGGTCTCCTCCGGATATCAGCAAGGAAGCCTGCGATGTATTGCATGCGACGTGGGGTGCGATACCTGGGGATGTCCGACAGCAACTGGTGGCAGAGTTCGGCTTGACATAGACGACACGATAGTGGTCGTCGTGAGCAGTGTCAACCTGCAATTTTTCGTTGGTTTCCTGAGATGGATGTCTGCCCAAGATGCTCGAACATCGCGGTATCTGCCGTTCCGTTCTCTCTCGGGGTCATTGGTGCCTGTGCTATTTGTGATCACATGCTAGAACAAACATGGCTCGCGCCGCCATGGTGGGTCGTTGTGCGCTTGTCGGGGGACGACCGCGTTGTACCCGGTGGAGAGGCCGGCCTGTATTCAGAGTATCGAGATGATCAAGCTTGACACGATCATTTCCTTTGAGCTTGTTGGGTTATGTTCCTGCTCTGACCTTTCTTTTCGCGCACGCAGGGCCAAAGAAAGATGACTATAGCTGAATTACACCAGTTTATCAGGTCCCTCACTTGTTTTAGCCAAGCTACTACCAGTGAATATCCCTGGGCATGATGGGATATGGAGGAGCTCCGTGACTGGGTCAAAGTACGGAGTACGGAGTATACACGACTCACAATTCATTACGCCCGGCGGCGACCATACATACACCATACATAAACATATACGGACTTTATACCTAGGTATATAATCTCAGTGTCAGATGACCCTTGTCACGCACTCACCGTCGACAACACCTACCGTCGCCTCCGAAGCACCTGGTCTCCCGCCCCAACTGGGTGAGAGGCCACAGGGCACCAGAGTCGGGCATGAGGCTAGAAAGGCGTACAAGGCTGCCGGATTCTATCCGCCCATGCTGACTCACGTGCTAGGCAGAAGAGGACATATCGCTACACAGGTAAGACATCTCGGACGAGGAGTAAGGATGAGAGCGGCGAATACCTTGTACGAGTCTGGGAACAAAAATCCCTCGCCTAAGGGAAGAAAATGAGTACGAGGGACACCAGGTAAGTAATCATGAACTATTCATTCAGCCTCGCTCCTCCGCCGCATCGGATCATCATCCTCACATACACGTCCGTACACGGGTACAATAATTTGGAGCTACAAAATCCACCTCGAGAGTGATGTCAGACGCAGACTCGGCCTCAGGCTCATCAGTCATCATGCCACCACGAACCCTGTGCGCGTTTTGCCGTAAAATCAACGTCAACACCATCGTCCCTACTTCCCGCCCGGCGACGATGACGATAATCTCCAGGTCTGTCTGGTCCACCAACCAAGCTACAACGCCCTCAAACGCTCCGCGGTAGGCTGCTCTGCAACTTCTCCCGACTACTGTCCCCTGTGCCTGTTCTTCTCCACGGCTCTCGAACGCAAGAATGGCGCCTCGCGTCGTCCTCCTGCTCCCGAGGCCTTTAAAGACCACAAAAAGTCTCAGATATGGCTTGTGAGCGGTGACCAGGCGGTATTTGATCTGTCGCAACCAAATGGCCTATTCTCTTTACGTGTCAACGTCGGAAACAGTACTCTTATCAAAGAGGCCGATTTTAATATCACGTCTTTGCCAGGTAAGAATACCAGACCTACCTTCTCTACCTTAATTCTCTAGTTGGCAAAATACAGTCTGCACTCTGCACTCATACGGAGTACTAGGTACAGTATTCACTTGTCACAATGCTCCATTCACACACTACTTAACATTACTCTTCCTCTACCTCCTACCATCAATGTTCCCCTTACTACTATCAATCTTCGTACTACTAACATCGCTCTTCTTTCTACTACCACGTCTTCTTCCTACAACAATATGGCAATGTCTCTGAAAGATCTCTTTTGGTTTTCGCTTCCTAGATGATCCTCTTGCACTGTATGGCGATATCATTGGACGCTCTATCAATATAAACCACGCCGGCAACAACAATGGTTACGACGAATACGCTGAGCGCATAACACAATGGTTGCGTACATGCGAGAGTGAGCATGTTGCATGCCGGAAACCCGTCGTCGCGCACGACTCCAGAGACGGGTGTGAATCGGTGGGTTTGGCCGAAGGTGACGAGTGCCCTCTGCCCAGCAGACTACTGGACGAAAGTCATTGTGTAGACTTGGGGATCGTCCGTCTTTGCGAAACGATCGGATTCAAAGGTCGATACTGTGCACTGTCATATAGCTGTGGTCGATCACCTTCGTTCAAGACGACGCGAGACAACTACGCGCGCATGCTCGCCGGATTTTCCATCAACGACAACGACATTGACAACAACAACACTGTGCCGACCACTATCCGGGACGCTATGCTGTTGACATGCTCCCTGGGGATTCGGTACCTGGGGGTAGACGCCCTGTGTATTATCCAGGACGACAAGCACGACTGGGCGGTGCAGACGGCTCGAATGTACCAGGTCTACGGTTACGCGACGCTGACCATTGCCGCCTCGGCGTGCAAAGACAAATGGGACGATCTATTCCCGCGCCGAAGCACCCAGGACAAAATTTCAATCGTGTCGCCATGCTCGAACGGGCTGGAGTCTGGAGTCATGACATTCTCAGCGCGAGACGGCTCGTTTGAAGAACTGCTCGACCGGTGTCCTTTGGCGAGCAGGGCGTGGACGCTCCAAGAACGGGCATTGTCACGACGAACAGTCCACATAACGACCGAACAAATGTACTGGGAATGTGAACGGCATTGCGTGTCGGAGAACGGGTCGACTTTCGACGACATTGCACGAGTCGGGAGCTTTGAACCGCGCAACAGAACCAGTAGTGGCACCTCTGCTACCAGCGGCGACACTCCGTCGTCGTCGAATTTCAAACACGCCCTGCGTCGCTGGTGGGCCACGGTCAACGACTACGCCCAGAGAGACTTGTTCGCGGCAAGTGACAAGCTGCCTGCGCTCGCCGGACTAGCAAGGCAATTCCACCGCGTGACCGGCTCGACGTACGTGGCAGGCATGTGGCTGGATGACTTCCCCATGGCGCTTTTGTGGACCACGACGATCGGAAGATACAAAACAAAGACAGGGCACGGCGTCGAGAAATGGCGCGGGCCTTCATGGTCATGGTTGTCGATCGAAGGCGCGCTGAATTGCGTAGGCCATCGGATCATGCCGTCCGAGACATTGACGGTCGTGGAACAGCTGGAATTGGTCTCTGTGGACGTGGCCGTGAAGAGCCCCGACAACATCTTCGGAGAAGTCACCCGAGCCGTCCTCCGCGTGCGTGGCAAGGTGCAGCGGCTCAGGAGGAGGCTCGTGAAGGCACAGTTCGACTATGGCGGGTTCCTGGGGAACATTGAACTTGGATTTCCCGTTGAGAGTCGGGATGAAGACGATGACTTCCCAGACAACGAGGTGCGGTTCGACGATGAAATGGACGCCGGCGCACAGAGTACTACGTCGACATGTGCACGTAATCTGCCGGAAGAGTTTCTGTGCATTCTCATTGATCGTCGAAAGAATCCGGGAGGAAGTAATCAAGATAGGTTTGCTTTTCTAGTCATCGAAGAAGTGGGAAATGGCACATTCAAACGCATCGGCAGCGGCAAGGTCAAGGGTCGTTCGTGGTTCGACTTGTGTGAAACTGTCAATCTGGATCTTGTGTAGGTTGAGAGTGCCTACTACCGTCTGAGACGGTCTCCGAATCAACTTCGCTACGCCGGTGCAAGGAATCATGCAGTAGTTGGAGAAAAACAAAACACAAATAGGCTTTTCAAACTTTTTTCATTTCTTTCATTAGAGGTACTCTCCAGTGCAATTGCGGTGTCCTGAACGACGTACCTGCAAGTTCTGTACTGAGGCGAGGCTTTCCTCTCCCCCTTTCCCACTCACGGACGTTCACCTCGAACAGATTGCACGGCTGGGTGATTCTCGTGGTGGCATGCATGATATAGCCTGGCCATACTCGTAACTCGCGGATCAAGCCTCCACCTCCTGTTCGAGCAGCTGATAGCTCGATGCCTGGGTGTCCATGTCCTTATTCTTGCTACACGCTTTTCTTTTGTGACCCTCTGAGATTCAGCACGCCCGTTTGCTCCAATGTTTGATTTCCATCCCTCGAAATGACGCTCTCGTGGCCTCAACTCAAACATCCAAATTTTAAAATCCCGCCGACGGCACAGCTATGAATGCATTGATTTTCCAGACACCACCAACAGGCCCCCTGAACGGAGGAGAAACAGGCCAACAGCCACCTGCTCGGCCGGCTTGCGTTGCCTACTTGCCCGTACTTCGTTGAGCCATGCGTTCGCGTTCGTGCCTCGTCGTAGAAAGTCCGTCCATGACATCAAAACAGTATGTCCCGCCCGTGTCGACCGACACCCTACTAGAACCCCCTTCCTCGTCCTCGTCCACGTCCTCCTCCGCCGCCGCCGCGACCCCTTCCTCTCGGACCGCCTCGCCCTCCTCTGCCGCCGCGCGCCTCTCCTTCCTTTCTAGCTTTGTTCTTGGGCTTTGGCTGGTCGTCAATCAGGAGCGTGTCGAGCGGTAACGAGTCCGGGAGGATGAAGTATCGGATCGTCGAGCCGCGGATGTTGATCGTGTCCAGCGAAATCGTCTCGCCGGGCACCGAGGGGTTGGCGCGGTTTCTGGGAGTCATCTTGACGGCGCGCAGGGCCGTGTTCATCTGCGGAGAGACGGAGGTGATGGTGCCGTGGACGATGGTGCCATTCTTCAGTTCAATTGTCACCGTCTCGTTGGCGCATTTCATGAGAAATCTAACCCGGCGCAAAGAAACAAACAAAGTCAGCATGGGTTATTCTCACCATCCCCGGCGCCAGAAAAACGTGCAGGTATTCAGAGCATAGGGTGTGTGTAAAAACGGAAAAACGTCAACCGTACCTCACGAGCTTCATGTTGACGCTTTGGGTCGGCGGTCAAGACGCGCCAGGAACAGGTGAAAGATTGCGAGAACCTCGGCGGAACGAGGTTGGAGCCACGGACAAGTTACTGTCGACTGCTTTCTTCTTCCTCGGAGACGGCGGTATTGCAAGATGTTTCAACTGTCTGTGCCGGTCCAACGAGTCTTGCGCAGCCTTTGGACGGACCATCAAACATTTCAGTGCCAAGCCTCAGACCTCATTGTGGTAGAAACAATTGCCGCTTTAGGCCGGACCACCACAAGGCTGGGGGACTGCGAATCCTCAAGGTACCTTAATATGCCGTGACCATCATACATTCTTACATAGGAGGTACGCCATCTATTATGGCTTCATGCTCATCAGTACATTTTGCCCAGAGATTAGTTTGCCCGTCTCAATATGCCAAAAATATAATCCCGCTCTCGTATACCATCCAACCGTATGCTTCGCTAAAAGTCCAAATAAAACCAGTGACCCAAATATTTCTGGTCCGACAGTGCCACGTAAATCTTTCATATCATGAAGCTCAAGCCTGCAGTCACCAATGCGACGAGCATCAACACACTCAGACCGCCCGCAGCGTTGCTCCTGAAGCTGAATGCCCCATCTTCATCTCCTCCTCCTCCCCTGCTGCCATTACTTCCATTTCCAGAACCGGTACTTACATTTCCAGAGCTATTATGTGCATTTGCAGGTCCATTGTTACCACTTGAAGAATCACTGGTCTTATTGACCAGCACCACACTCTGGTTCTGGCCATCAAGAGTCAAGTCGAGTCTTTCGTCCGTGTAGCCCATGACGGTGGCCACGACCCACTCTGACGCGACATAGGAGTATTCGTCGTAGTAGTCCCAGTGTGCGGTAAGATTGGTAGGCTCACTACCGACGGCACAGACAGGGTCGCCGTAATTGCACCAGTTGGCCATGACGTCCTCGTACTTATTGAGATCGACGAGTTGCTGGCCCGAACGTCCCAACTCGCCCGAATAATTCGATCCACGGCCAAGATTGTACGGCTGATCTGCAGTATTCCGAGGATTGCCCATGGTCACCACGGCGACAACTAAGTTCAAACGTTAGTCACAGCCTGTCTGTGAGGTGCATGGGATGTGACGGGGAGACTGACTATTTGACCCGGGCTTGATGTCCCTGGACAGTGGTGGGTTCGGGGCCTGCTGGCACCCAAACAGCTCGCCACCGCCTCCACCCAAAATATCACTAGCCACATTCGCGCCCTGCGAATAGCCCAACATAACCAGCCGTGAATCTGGACATTTTTGCACGTAGTCTGTCATTTGATTCACACCCGCAGTGGTGCCGATATGTGCTGATGAACAGTAAAGGCCAGACCATGAGATGTTCGCGGGGTAGTCAACATCCTCGTAGTCGCAGGATAATCCTTTTGGTTCGATCAGCGCACACAAAGTGCCCAGCATGGCTCCTCCGCGACCGGGGTAAGGCTCGTTCGAACCTCGGAAGCTGAAGACTCGGATGTCGCTGCAATTGTCTGGAATGTGTGGAATGCCAGCATACACAATCTCCTGTCGGGCTACAAGGTCATTCTTACTTCCTTCCTCGGGCACTGGCTCGCCACCAGAACTTCGACGGCTGTGCGCATTGGTGCTTAGGACAACGGCAACATTCGGGTCACCCCTTGCATTCGATTCGGCCTGGGTACTTAAACTTGAGGGTGTGGTTGGATCGACTTGAGCGTCCGGATTGACACCCGGATTGGAGGAATCATCTTGTGAAAGGACCAAATTCGCTCTGAGGATGACTGTCGTGCTGAGGAGCGCGAACCATGACAACTTCATGGTGTTTCGCTATGGATGGCTCCGTCGTCTTTGCCTGATTTCACTTGCTTCAGGCATTCGCAACTGCTTTCCAATCGTCGAGGGAGAAGAGCAACAGAGTGTCAACCCTTGACACTTGCTTGTGGAGGTAGAATGATGTGGTACACTGTCTCCGGCTATCGTCTTCGTGACGGCTCAAGGGTCCTGGCCGAGTGATCTGTTAAGATCTATAGTATCGTGCTGGGATGTTGTAGGTATCTTGCCGACGAAATTCGAGTGAGATAAAGACGGTCGAGTCGAGCAATTCCATTTATTGTATATACATTGGTCAAAAACGAGCGACTTGAAATAACAAGACCACAGTACCGATTATAGTGTGGGATGGAATTAAAAAAGATGATCAGAAACGACGAATGATCGGACAAGGAGATCCAAAGCAGATCTTTAAAAACAACAATTATAAGGATTAGAGTTGAGCGCATGCAAAGGTGAGAGAGTATGAATTTACTTTTTGGCGTTTGTTGACTCTCTCCACTGCGCAGTAATAGCCATAGCTTTAGTTAGATATCGACGCCACGAGCCGGAGGCCACGCGTCCTGGCAGATAATGATAGCGTCATTCTGCTTGGGAGATCTCAGTAGGCCTGGGCATAATAAAAGTCAGGGACACCATGTGTTGTGGGCGGTAGGGGTCGTCGTAGGTGGTTGTTTAGGCACGCACCGGGGGCTTTGCGAAGCTGAGAAGATGCAAGGGCGGACAAACTAGCAAATGTCTAGCAAGCGCTTAGAGGCCGCCAAGCCGCCAAGCGATAGAGGCGCTATTGGCGGAGTCCATGTACCCTCCGCATCACCAATCAGCAGCTGCATATGCGGGAATAAGCAACAAAGAATCAGCCATCCCGCCGCTAGTTCATCTACTAGCAATCTTCGCCTCCGAACATCCCGCATGCTTCCACACCTCCATCACAGTAGGTACTTTGCTCCGAGTCCTGGGCCACAGCTCCTGTCTTCGTCCGGCCTACAGCCCACGAATATTCGTATCAGTGAAGGCGGACGAGGCTTTGGATCCCCGGACATCTGGTTACAACTTACAAGGGAACTCTCAGCAAACTGCTGTAGTATTGTACATGACAATTGTCTCAAGGCCCCCTGCAAATGCGGCTCTTGTAAGCGTGGAGATTGGCTTTTGATACACTGGCCTCCACCAACTAACCTACCCGAGCTATATTTTCGACCTCGAGGCTCTCGACTCCGTCACGCCAAGTTTGTCCCAGCCGACGAGCCGAAGCAAGATCTGCAGCCGCAGTCCTCTTCTCAAAATTCATAAAAAGCCCGGATCACAGGATACCCGTGTCTTATCTACTCTCGTGTACGAGTGAGAACAAAGGGGAGGGACACATCACTTCACTCCAGGAGACCTCTTTATGCCGCCTAGAAGGACGAGTACACTATGGGTCTTCCACTTGACGGGGTATGGATTGGAATGCTGGTCTGATGGGGCGGGAAAGACGGCCGATGACTCCTGTCAGGCTGTCATAGCTTCGATCAGTAGGCGCACTTCGGCCAATGCTTCGATGTGGCACCTTGTCACAATTTCACAGTGTTCGGATCGATGCCGCGACCTTTTGCGGAGTACTGAGTACAAGTACTGTACAACATCATCTGGCACGTTGTTTGACATTTGCCCCGATCCATCTCAGCCTCAATACCTGCAGGTCTGAACACTGCCCAATGGATCGAACATCTGTTTTTAAGTGGGGACATCCATGCTACGGAGCACTATACGTCGTACTCCTTTGCTGGTGTCATCATGTTTACTTTGCCATCACCATCTGTTAATTCTCGGACAATCAACTCAAACTGGCCATGATCTTTCATCGAACATGCGTACAGTAAGTAATCAAGTAAGCACACACACACGCACACACACACACAGTCTCCAGATGCACGTTTCTCCCCCAGCCCCGATACTCCGTCACGATCATGGAGATAGGCACATGTACGAGGACTAGGTATGAAGCCAGGAGGGGGGGTGTCGTTTACGGAGGTCCAGTATATATTACTAGGGAGGTTGTAGTTAATCTGGAATTATTCCCTGATCTTCGGGGGTAATCATTGAATTATTGTCTTCCGTTTGATTTACTTGGATCAAGACCTTGTACAGCTCCTAGTGTACATTAAATCACACGGGTGTCCTCCCAGGGCCGAGGTCTCCCAATCTATCATGACCTACGACAAGGCAGGGTAGCCCTTCTCATGGGGATAGGCTAGGACGGGTAAAGTGGGCACGAGTGCTGATGTCGCGAATGCCATCTTGTTTCTTGCGCCGTGAATGTGTGTGTGTGTGTGTGTGTGTTGAGATAAGAGGATCTTTTGACACCGTCTTCTTCAACACTTTGTTTTGACGCTGGCTAGCCTCATCCTCTTGACATCGACTGATTACAACCTCCGGCCAAGTACAAGTGCCACTTATTCGCAACTTTGCAAAGGAAAGCTGTGCCATGCCTTATACCAGGGTGTGATCCCGTCCCAATCAGGCCATGCGTGCGAGAAGACGTCGTGTAACCATGGTGTCCAGCTCAGCAAATCCCCGATATCTGAATAGGAACCATTGTTCCAATCCCTCAGTGTCTCAACAAACAGCACATCTCGCTCATGGTCGCGAATACCTTTGCGAACACGTAATTCTCGACCAATGATCCGGAGAACCGGCAGCAGGTCAACATGCGGCAAAATATTAGGCAGCCGTTTCTGGCGCGGGTTCATGGTTAGTTCTTCTAGTGGATAGGGCCTAGGTCCTTTGCCGGAGGAGACGCAATGAAATATGCTTCGTGCTATAGCTTCGTCCATAGCGAAGTTGATCATTGCTCGCTTCAGATCGCCTTTTTGGAGTGGTGCATTAGGGCAAAGGTCTTCATACTCCCATTCTTCGGCAGTAGAGCCGTCAGGTAAAGTTGACTCTTGAGCTGCTATATCCTGTCCTTTCCAAAGGTCTGTTCTCCAGCAGTCAAGAAGCAATGTCAATTTTTGCAGCGCAGGCAGGGTGCCCAACTTGCGATACATGTCAACTTCGACTTTGTCGCCCCCCGAGCGTTTGATCGCCAGCTGCAACGTTGTAAGCTTGGTGAATTTCTCGCAGAGCGTGAGAACCTCTGATGGAGTCATTGCATTCAGATGATATTTGGGCTCAACGTCAAAGACGAGGGTTTCGAGCGCGTTGGTTTGTTCGCGCAGAATGACCTCGTAGGTACTCTTTGCTAAATTACCCTTGAGAACAAGCTTTGACAATGGTGGAAGCTGTTGCAGGAACGCATTGTATTTCTCTTCATCGCTGACATGAGACCAAATGGAAATCTCTTTGAGAGAGTGGATGTCGAGGGGCAATTGATTTTGGATGAGCTCTTGGAAATCAAAGTGTGAGAGTTTCCAGGATGTGAGTGTTGAAAAGTCTCTTCCCGTGCCGATACAACTGAATAGATGGTTGAATTCTTCAAAGGAAATCTCCTCTAGATTGCCAATTCCTTCTGGCGTGATGGCCTTGGTGCGGAGATATGCATTTACCTGGGATGTCAAGTTTGGAAGAGAGCCTCGTGGGCCCCGGCCGATGGATGCAAATCTGCGGAAGCTCCTTTCTGTCGAGACACGACGAATGTTAGGATTTCCACGAGCTAAACACAATACAACTTCACATATCCGCATGGAAAGATCGCTCAGAAAGTGGCTGCCGTTGAATGCGAGCAGCACAGGATTCGGAGTTGTCAATAGCTCGTCGACAAATTGGAACACTTCTTCAGGAGCGTGAGTGTTACCACGTAGATCGATATTGAGAGATATCTCGCATCGTGGAAATTTCTGTTTCAAGACTGAAAAGATGGATGCTGACATGTGAGGGTAACAGTCCCACTCGATGCTCTTCAGAGCAGGAAATTGACACAAGAATCTTGCCAGCGTCACCCAGGGATCAGGGCAGCTGTTTGCGTAACTCTCGTCCCCGCCATCAATAACATCCTGCCTAGATATATCACCTTGAACATTGTTGGTAGAACTGACGTCCAAGTAGCCCCTCACGGTAATCGAGTGAATTGCCTTGCGTTCAGGCTCGCTCAGTTTCGAGAAACGGATAATGTCCTCCTGTAGACGTTCTGGGTCAGCCACAAAGATGGAAAGATGATGCGAGGCCAATTTCGCGAGACAGTTGCAGTACTTGTTTGCTTGGGCAAATGCACGCCGATCGGATGGTTCGAGGTACTCACAGATCTGATTCAGGGGGGGATTCGCTAGCGAAAACAAGCCAACTCTTGGTTGAGACATTGTGAAAGACGTTCTCAGTCTGATAAGTATATCTGGTCAAGATCGAGCAAACGAAGAGATAGGAATCATTATATTTATATCGAGGGCACCAGATTTGCACACGAAAGGGAAGTGAAGAGTCGAGACAATGCCTCATCTTGTGAGGCTGGAAAAAGATGACACAAAGGCCCTTTCATATTCGCAACAACGGAAGCTCATGGATAGAGAAAATGCAGAGGACGTATAAAGGGGTTTGTGTTGACAACGGGTGTTAGTTCTCCACTCCGAGATCGCGCTGTATCTCTAAAAGCAGCGGGAGTGGCTGGCAAGGGCTGAACTTTATTGACCTCGGCTCGGGACCCATTGTTAAGGCCTTCAATCATTGTGTTGTTCACTCAGTTCAGCGATTCTCCCGGGGTGAACAAGTACTACTTGGCCTCGTTATGTCTCTGAGTGAATCTCAATAGGTCCAGCACTGACACGTACTCTACATCTAGGTTCTTTCCAGGGACCCAATAGGAACCAAAGTCCACGGCCGACCAACCTTGCAGGATCGCGTACTGAAGCCATATTCCCAAGGCTCAGTGATCGTGTCTCCTCAGACTGCTTCTCTCAATCAGGATGATGATTGTCATGACCATCCAGTTGTTCCCCGCACTATCAGGCCCACAACCCCTTGAAGATGGTGATTCCCCATGGAGAGTGGCCGGTGTATGAACAAGCCTTTCTTCTCGCTTGCTTGTCAAACCACCTGCTCTCTGACTCAGGGACAGCAAATGGGCGGTCGTCGGCATCTAAAAAGTGGTTCATCAGGAGAAAAACGAGGCTCATCCATGACAAGATCGACCATCTCGCTTCCCTTTTGCTTCCGTTTGACGGGATGGTACCACCATCAATCCCATAACCTCGGGTTTCGAATTGGAGATGCCATCATATCGCTAGGTAGGTCGACTTCACCATATAACAGAGGGAAAACATCGGCAAGTGACCTCTGGTTTTCTCCTTTTATTGGACATTTTGTTTGCCTCTCTCTGTTATTCGGATCATCTATCTCGTTCTTCCTGCTCTACAATGCTGAACAAAATCATTGTCAATCAGTACAATCTATGGCTTGTCATATTCGTTGCCCTAGGCACGATATCGACGGCCTATGGTTTAGCAGTTATCGGCTCGACTGTCGGTCAACCCAACTTCTATACCTACTTCAATCTGGCTACAGCTGGCGAACCTGGATATGACCATACCACCAACATGATCGGTGCCCTGAATGGCGTGAACTCGGCTGGCGCTATCGCGGGTTGCATCTTTCAAGCATGGGCTGCCGACTATTATGGTCGAAAACACACTCTGCAGATAGGCTGTATTGTCTTGATCATCGGTGGAGCTCTTTGCGCGGGAGCCTATGACATGGCCATGTTCCTTGTCGGCAGATTCGTTGCTGGCGTTGGGGCCGGTGTCCTTGCCTGTATCGTACCCATCTACCAGGCTGAAGTTTCAACCCCTGAAACACGTGGTGCTATGGTCGTAAGTCATCTTTCCCGGAAGGGGAGTACTAGTGAAGATCACGCCCTCAAAGATCACACGAATCTTGCTAACCAAGGGCAGTGTGTTACAGGAATTGTACGTCTTCACCGTGCTGGATCACTGTCTCAGCGAGCGGAAAGACTCCCATTACTCCGTCTGACACGATGCTGATGTCTGATAGATGTACGCTTTGGGCTACAGTCTTGCCGGGTGGCTCGGATATGCATGCTACTACATGAAAGCCGACAATCCAGCAGCTCAATTCTCATGGCGATTCCCTTTAGCCTTCCAAATCTTCTTCCCCATTGTCGTACTTGCTGGCAGCAAGTTGATTCCATACAGTCCACGATGGCTTCTCTCCAAAGGCCGACGGCAAGAAGCCCTCGACATAGTCAAGCGCCTGCATAGATCCCCTTCGGATTCAGAGGACACCAAGGCACGTCAAGAATTCTGGCTCATGGAGAAACAATATGAAATGGATGCTTCCATGTCCTTTGGAAAATTCGAACTCTTCAAGACAGCCGCCAACAGGAAGCGAGCCCTCATGGCCTTTATGCTAATGTGGGGAGATCAATTTTTGGGTAAAGAATACATCAAACACAACTTGAAAAGTGAATGATCATTTCCACTAACGCGCTTAGGTATCTTCGTAATGACAAACTAGTAAGCCCACATCACCCCTAACAGGACTCCCCTCCGATGTGTCTGAGTGCGAACTTTAGGAACTAACAGATGCTTTCCCACAGCGGTGTCCTCATTTACGCCAGCTTAGGACTCAGCGGCTCGATTCCCCTCCTTCTCAACGCATGCTGGACCACGCTCACCATCGTCGGCAATACCTGGACGGCGCTGTACATTGACCGCTTCGGGCGACGGCTCTTCATGCTGATCGGCTCCGCAGGGTGCATCGCGTCGCTCATCTTTCTGTGCTCGCTGACGGCATCCTTCCTCAACACGACCAACAAGGCTGGTCTCAACGCCGCCGTCTTCTTCATCTGGTTCTACATTTGCTGGTGGTGCTTCTTCATCGACGCCACGCAGTATGTCTACGTCGCCGAGATCTTCCCAAACCACCTGCGGCCCTACGGTGTCGCCCTGGGCCTCTCGTCCTTCTACCTCGCCAGCGAGGTCACACTTGTCGGCGCCCCCGTCGCTCTCAACAAGATCGGCTGGAAGTTCTATCTCGTTCTCATCATTCCCAGTGCCGTCTACTGGTTCGTCATCTACTTCTTCTTCCCCGAGACCAAGGGTCGCACACTTGAGGAGATCGGCGACGTCTTCGGCGATGACCTCCACGTCGCCAGCCACTGGTACAGCGCCACGCCCGAGGAGAAGGCCCGTATGGCCGAGCAGGCTCTGCGCGAGACCGAGGGCGGCATCGTGCGCGAGAAGGGCTACCGTGGAAGTGACTCTTCTCCTCCCGTGGAGGTCGCCCCGGACACCAAAACCGAGGCCCTTGAGACCGAAGACACCAACGTTTCCAAGTGATTGTCGTCTCTTGAGATCGGAGAGAACAAATGTGAACGCTGTGTCCAATGAGTCAAAAGTCACAATGGTATATGCTAGTGCGTCGAGACTCATCCATGTCCAATTCCGTCCTAAGCGAAAGTCACACTCCCTTAGACTGAGTATGTCCAGAGGAGTCTGCAGAGTGAGATGGCGTAGACAAAAAGGACTGAAAGATTCAGTCTCTCTGGGAGCACATGTTCTAGATCTAGACCATACAAAGATTCCTATACCAAGTAATCAATGCATGAATCTATTCTACAACCGCAAAACCAGCATACGCATCGTCAGAGGCCTATTTTAAATCTCGCACTGTCCACGGCTGTACGGAAGAAAGGGGAGACAGATGCAGTCCAAGACGCCAAGTCCGCAGTCACGGGAACAGGCCGTTGGAGAAATTGTTTATCCGGTCTCCGTATGCGCCTCAACCCCATGAAGTGATGTGCGCAGTTTGTCCGGGCAATGGGAAAGCTTCCGCTCAATCTTTTGTGAAGCTGTTTCTTCTGTCTCGTATCCTAGAACTCCATACAGAATTTCCTTTCTCCCCCTCCAGGTTCTCTTCTACGCTCAGTTTGCTCCTCTTCGCTCCTCGGCTCAATTCCTGTCACAATGTCTTTCTTCGCACGCCAAATGTTTGGCCAGGTCCAGCGCCGGGCTTTCTCAGCTTCCAGCCGACAGGTACGGTCAATCTACGTCAAAATCATCGAGTGACATCGAGCTGATCATCGGGTACCACAGTCCTCCAAGGTTGCTGTCCTCGGTGCCGCTGGTGGTATCGGTCAACCATTGTCGTTGTTGATGAAGCTGAACCCCCGTGTCACTGAACTCGCTCTCTACGATATCAAGCTCGGTCCTGGTCGGTGACATGTCAACACATTTGCGGGGATGGAAAGGTTAACAATGGTGGTTTAGGTGTCGCCGCCGATATCAGCCACATCAACACCAAGAGCACAGTCAAGGGCTACGACCCAACACCATCAGGCCTCCGAGAATGCTTGGAAGGCTCCGAGGTCATCCTGATCCCAGCTGGTGTTCCCAGAAAACCCGGCATGACTCGTGACGGTGAGGAACGTCGAACGGTTGGTGTAGAACCAGGCTGATGCTTTCTAGATCTCTTCAACACCAATGCCTCTATCGTCAGAGACCTCGCAAAGGCCGCTGCTGATGCCGCCCCCAACGCCAACCTCTTGATCATCTCAAATCCTGTAGGAACCCCCCCGTGCTGCGAGAAAGGTTTTCTCTCCTGACGACGTGAAAATAGGTCAACTCTACCGTTCCCATCTGTGCAGAGGTCTACAAGAGCAAGGGAGTCTACAACCCCAAGCGCCTGTTCGGTGTGACCACCCTTGACATTGTCCGTGCCTCCCGATTCGTCTCCGAGATCAAGGGAACCGACCCTGCGGATGAGAACATCACCGTGGTCGGCGGTCACTCTGGTGTCACCATTGTGCCCCTGATCTCCCAATCCGGTCACAGCGACATCACCGGTGCGAAGCTCGACGCATTGATCCAGCGCATCCAGTTCGGTGGTGACGAAGTCGTCAAGGCCAAGGATGGTGCAGGTTCCGCCACTCTCTCCATGGCCATGGCTGGTGCCCGATTCGCCGAGAGCATCCTGAAGGCTGCTCAAGGTGAGAAGGGTGTTGTTGAGTGCACTTTCGTCGACAGCCCCTTGTACAAGGACCAGGGTGTCGAGTTCTTCGCTTCCAAGGTTGAGCTTGGCCCAGAAGGTGTCGAAAAGATCAACCCCGTCGGTCCCATCACCAAGGAAGAGGAGAAGTTGCTCGAAGCCTGCCTCACTGGTGAGTCCTGGTTGAATTTGTCCTGTTAAGGAGTCGTGACTGACTGACGTGATTTTACAGACCTCAAGAAGAACATCGAGAAGGGTGTCGAATTCGTCAAGGCCAACCCGTAAAGGGCCTGAACAGCGGAGTGAGGGCGCAAGTCGTGTGTACTAAAAAGACAAGATATTGCACCAGCAGATGGGGAGAAAATCTACCTCAACTGGTATTCTAGGTCGATAGGATATTGGCCATGACAATCGAAATTTCTTCCCCGGTTTATTGTCCTTTTGATTCATTGCATCGTATGTATCTCCTATGTGATTTGATGTGGTATGTCTTCAGTCTGTTGTGCCGGTGACAGAGAACAAGCACACGATCGACTCATCCACTGAAATCTTTGTTTGCCTGGTTTTACCTCCCTGGTAAGTTGTACCGTTCAAATATGAAAGCTTCTCGACTAGGGATCACTCACCATTAGTTCGCGCCCAAAAAGACTGACCCGCACCAAGACCAGCGAATTCCTTGTACGTCCACAAAGCAACTGATGTTTGGATCAAACACGACGGGAAAAAAACCTTTCTCTCTTTTTTACGTGTTTGCACTACTTACAGAATGACCATGACGATTCTGCCACAATGAATGAAAATCGGCCCCATCTGGACGACATCGACATCCTCACCTTGTGTTTTACAGAGCCAAACCCCGGTGCGACAAAGAACAGGGCTCCTTCAAAGGACTGACTGAGGCGATTAACCATCTCATATCAACACGCACCAAATTCAGAGGTACTTTACTCTAAACCCCGGCTGTGTTCCTGTTTCTGACCGTTTCGCTTCTTCTCCAGACTTCCGGGGCAGTCTTTTTCTCTTCCCCCAGAACATTTATATCCCGAATGATAATCAGCCAGCAGCCTCATCTCTCCCTACCCTGTGGCCCTGTGGTGGTGTCACTTGTTTTCTCCAGGAGCCGGCCCCTGATCTCATAGGCTAGCCTTCTCGAAATATCCAGGATGTCTCGGCAAAACTCCCTCCCTGCGCAGGTGGACAGTGACGGCGACACAGTCATGACGGACGACAACGATGACTGTGATGAATACGACTATCCAGCTATCCCGGGCCCTCCACCATCACCACAGCGCGAGTCTTCCTTAGCGGACGACACCGGGGTATCGAGACGGGTGCAAACACCGCAGTCTCTGAGAGACAGCGCTCTCCCGAACGCTCAACGTCGCTGGCCGATAGGTACAGTTGCATCAGGTTCTGCACCACGGGCCAGGTCTCCTCCTCAGCTTTCTTTTCGCCTGAGGGATCCGCTATTACCATCACGTCCTCCTCCTCCTCCTCCTCAGCCTTCTTTTCGCCTGAGGGATCCGCTATTACCATCACGTCCTCCTCCTCCTCCTCCTCCTCCTCCTCCTCCTCCTCCTCCTCCTCCTCAGCCTTCTTTTCGCCCGAGGGATCCGCTATTACCACCACGTCCTCCTCCTCCTCCTCCTCCTCCTCCTCCTCCTCCTCCTCTACCACCACCACCACCACAACACCATCAGCAGCAACTGGTCCAAGTCGGCACCCTCTCTGACCCTAACCAGTCGACTGAGGTGGATAGAGCCAGAGCCGTTGCTGCCGTCGTTCAAACCCTCTCATTCTGGGATGAAGAAGACGAGCGCAGAGAATCTCACCTGTTGCAAACGATCCGACAAGATGCAAACATCGCTGCCCACCACATTGAGTTCGCTCCCTTTCCTGGGCCCGGCGCCGGAGCGTCTGCCAATGCCAATCCCGATGCCAGCGGTGGCAGATACCCTTGCGTCGCCTGCATGGACCAGTTGCCCAGGGACTCCATCTTCACTGTGGCATGCGGATGCCGGTACTGCGTCGGCTGCCTAAACGCCGCTTTCCGTGCCGGTTGCGCGAGTCGGGCGTCCTTCCCGCCCCGGTGCTGCGGGACGCCGCTGCGCATCTCAACGTGGGGATTGATGCTTGACGCCGAAGTGATCGCGCGGTACAAGGAGGTCGAGGCAGAGTACAGCGCCACTCGGCCGCTGTACTGTGGCGCGGCGGCGTGCTCTGCGTTCTTGCCTGACGGGCACCACGACAGGGTCATGGAGACGGCCACGTGTCTCGTGTGCGCGCGTCTCACGTGCACACAGTGTCGGCGCCTCATGGACGAGCACGAGCACGGTCGTGGCCCCACCGGGCTTTTCGACGTTGGACAATCCCGCGTCTGCCCTGGTGCGAGCGACGGCGAGGCCGCGCTGTTCAGGCTAGGGTCGAGGAATGGATGGGCCCGGTGCCCTGCGTGTCGTACCATGGTCGAGCGCGTCGATGGGTGCGACCATATGGAGTGTGTGTGTGGCATCGAGTTTTGCTATGCCTGTGGCAATTTCTTCGACAAGGATGACTTGTGCGACTGTGCGTCTGTGAGCGAGGGCGACCGGGAACATGTGGACGACGATGGGAGCGAGGAGGACTCCGAGGCGGAGACGGATGAAGAAGATGAGGACGGAGAGGACACTGGTGAAGATGAAGACGACGGAGACTCCAGTGAGGATGAAGACGAGGAGGACACCGATGAGAATGAGGACGAGGAGGAGCTTGAGGATGCGGCTGGGAGTATCGTTTGGCCGATGCACCGCCTTGCCATGGGCACCGGCCATGGAGATGGCTGCTCGCATCCCGACACGTACGACATGGACGACGTCTTGACTTGCCATGGTTGTCTCCTGCCAAAGAACCTCCACTGGTGTAGCAGATGTGGGCTCGAGTTGTGCGGAGAGTGTCTCGAACATGTGAGATGACGAGGCCACCAGGTCGCACTCGTTGGTGCTTCAGCCTTCAGGATGGCGCTGACGACATTTTCCCTCCGAGCATGAAGAGTGAGGACGTTGTGTAAGATATTGATGGGACATGACGCCGCGTCCAAGCAGGCTGGCCATGACAGAGAGTGTCTTGAGTTTTGAAGAAGGTCAAGGAAATCGGGTCCCTTGATCCACTCCTTACTTTTTCTGCTTGACTGTATGATGGATGATTCCCGACATGATGAATATTTGTAGCGAGAATGGAATTGGACAACTCTGTCTTATCTCGAGCAAGACAGAGTTGAAATTGAGATCGAGACCGAAACCGCGGCTGCGCGACTGTGGCTCTCACGCATTCAAAACCAACATGTCCAGCTCCGCTGCCAAACCTTTCATCTCCGATGGTGAAGCGTTAAATTCACCCGTAGCGAGGTACCTAGAGGTAGATTACGAATTTCATGGAATTGGAATTGCCTGTCTTGCATCTTCATGTAGTGAACATAGGTACCTAACTATACTTCGCATCACTGAATCTCAGTATTCCACACATCCGTTTTGTTAGACTCACTACTGCTCGTGTCCTGTCGATGCTGGAGCGGCATGCGTGGATGATGGCGAGACACCTTCATATTATCCACATCCATATGCTGGCTGTCCCGATTACAGTCGGACGGGCGATGTGCCTACTCATCCGCAATTTTCAAAATACTCTTGCCTAAATTCTTGCCTTCCAACATGCCCAAAAAGCCATCAATTGCATTGTCCATGCCCGTGGTGATGTGGTCGATGGACTTGAAACTTCCGTCGGCTATCCATTTGGAGATGTTCTCGTCACGTTCGGCTCGCCAGCGAGCGATGTTAGGGTCAAACACAAGGAAGCCTTGGTATCGGAGTCGCTTGCGGACGACGGAGCTGTAGTTCTTCAGACCGTAAGGGGTGCTGGTGCTGCCGTTGTTGTAGGTCGAAATGGTTCCGCACGCTACGATGCGGCCAAAGTCTTTCATCTAAAGCGCTCGACAACATCAGTATGCTGAATGGTGCTGAAAGAATGCTTGAAGAGATCCACGAGGTGCAGAGGATAAGGTAGAACCGACAGAATGGAAAAGGGAATATATGACAGTGCTAGATTGGTTAGGAAGGACTTACATTCGTCATTGCGATGTCGAGAAGTTCACCGCCCACATTGTCGTAGCTAGAAGAAGGTGGGTTGTCAGCAGAGTGTTTTGTATGGCGAAAGATTCGTTGTATGAGCCGCGATAGCCTCGACTTACTAAATATCCAATCCATCAGGAGCAAGCCTCTTGACGGCATCGGCCATATTTTCTTTCTTATAGTTGAATCCTGACGTGAATCCGAGCTGGTTGATGATGAAGTCGAGTTTCTTGTCGTCTCCAACGGAGCCAATGACCTGATTTAGAACAGTGGTTAGTTTCACCCTGATAAGTTCGAAAATCCTGAAATTGGGATTCGTACATGTAAACCCATTCGCACCGCAATCTGACCGACGACTTGACCAACAGCACCGGCAGCTGCTGAGACGAGGATCACGTCTCCTTTCTTAGGCTGCCCAATTTCCAATAGGGAGCCGTAGGCTGTCATGCCCGTCATTCCGAGCGGACCTAGATTTGCTGTCAAAGGGACACCGGGTCGTGGCGTGATGACTTCGGCTTTGCCGGCCGCGGTCTCATCCACGGCAGAGTACGATTCAGTCGGGTGAGCCCAGAGAATAGCAATGCTGCCTTCAGGGAACTTGGGATTGTCGCTTTTCAAGACTTTTCCAATGACTTGGACGGCAACTACAGGCTTGCCTGGTGTCATGGGGGGACTGTAGGATTTTATGCTGGGGTCTCGCATTCGCCCTCGTTGACTAGGATCGTATGTGGCATACAAGTTCTTCGTGGTGAAGCCACCTTTGGGCGGTGGTGCAGACTCGTCGAACGTAATTTCCTCGATAGCCAAGTCTTTGCCCGCAACTGGCCATCCATCGGGCACAGCCTTATACATGAACGCTTTGTTGGAAACCATATTGGGATGGTGAAGGGGCTGTGGGTTTGGTGCGGATGGTCGTGTGGGAAGTATTTTGTATGGGAACGGGTCCAGGAGCTGAGCGATTCTGAGAGAGGTTATATAGAATGCAGCATTGTTCCAGATGCAAGGTATGAATGAATACTAATCCAGCTGAGTGAGTTGGTGTTGGCGATTAGTTGTCTAGGAGATTTATAAACTGTGTGCTGCATAAACCTGAGTCTCTAGGAGTTTGTCAGCATCCAGCACTGAACCTCGGCAAAATGCTGTGTAACAGGTACTTCAGGTGTCAGTACAAACCAAGTACCTAGCCAGGTACCTGGTACTTGGGCGCTTTGTGCCTGGAAGTTACCGACAATTACCGCTGAGTGTGTGTGAATGGAGGCTTAATACACAGACGAGACGATGTTCTGACATTCCACTGGTGAAAGAGACACGATTTTTAGAATCAGGTACCTACAGTGTATCTAGATTTCCTCCAGCTCATCTCTTCCTCCCTATCGATAAAGACCTTCACCTTCCTCTCCTCTCCCTACGACTCTCACCACCAATTAATTAATCCTAGCGTTCTCCCACTGACTAACAAGGCTCCTCTTCGTCCAATTCGTGTTTCAAGCTTCACCAACACACCAACACACAACGCGCTGGTCTTGTCACATTCACAGCGCAGCGTCTCACCATAGTAGTGTACCGTCGCTGTCGTTGTCAATCTCGGTTCTTCTTCGTTGTCAGTATCGTCACGCCTGCTGTTGAAATCCTCCTTTGCTTGATTGGCCTGTTCGCTGCCTGCTCTCTTCTGTTTGGCGCCTTGCGCTCACTCTCAAACGCTTGTTCATCTTTTGCATTGTCTGCACTCCCTTTGCTTTCCTTCCACATATCCCATGATAGTCGCGTCTGAATCATGGCCGCTCTTCCTACCCACCACGATTTGCTGGAACGCCTAGAAGACTATCGCACTTTCGATGAATCTAGACAGAATGAAGTCGCTCATTTGATCCAAACATGTCTACGCCTCAATTCCGAAACACTCGTCCTACAGAGTGATCTCGATGACGAGAGAGCCACACGTCGCGGCTGGAAGAAGCGAGCCGAAGAGGCTGAAGCTGCCATTCAACGCAAGTTTGTCGTCGTCCTCGTCGATGGCGACGGCTATCAATTCCGAAAGTGCTTTTACGATGCTCTTTCGGCTTCAGGCGGCTCCAAGGCGGCCAACGAATTATGGATGCGAGTGGTCGATAATCTCAAGGCTGCTCCGACCTCATCAGGCATAACGTCTGATTGTGATGTGCTCGTCAGTGTCTATGCCAACAAAATCGGCCTCGCAAAAATTCTAGTAGCCTGTGAATACATCAATCACATTTCGCAGATTGATCAATTCTTTTCGTCCTTTACCCAGAGTCGCAGTCTGTTTCAATTTATCGACTGTGGCCATGGCAAGGAGAGAGTCGATAGCAAATTACGAGGTAAACTTCCGTGAGAGGCCTGGTGTTTGTGCAATAAGGACTGACCCAGGCGCAGATACCCTCCGGTTCTACGCCAATAACGCACAATGTCAACACATATTTTTGGCATGTTCTCACGATAATGGATACATCGCCGAGCTCGACAAGTATCGTCACGATATCGTTGTGATGCCGAAAGTCATATTGGTTCACGCTGCCCAGACTCCTTCTGCTGTCAAGGCATACAGCGGCCTTCCGTTCAAGCACACCAGGTTTGATAGTGTTTTTGAAGATACAGTCTTAGAGGCGCCGGCGAGAGTAGAAGTACCATATTTCGTACCCGCTCCCGACCCGCCTTCTCACGACCCTCGGCTGCCCGAACAGAGTAATCTTGACCTGACGCCCACCGTGAGTCGTTCGAGTTACTCGTCCTCCAACCCGACTGCTCCTCAAGGATCGACGCCTCTGGCGCCACTGCCCCCGAATTCAAAGCCTTCAACTCAGGTCAGCTCGCCGTCGTCTGTCTCTGACATGAGCAAGACTAAACCCAACGGGACGGCCGTAAACGGGACCGGAGAGAGTAAAAATGGAATCCCGGTCAATCGGTTCGGCCAGAGGATCGATCTGAAGATCCGCCCTCCAACGCCTGCCGACTTGGATAAATTTGATAATCGCATCAGTCACCGCAAACTATGTAACGAACACCATCTTCGGGACAATTGCGAATCGTACAGCTGCAGATACAACCACGACCCGATCGATGCTACCATGAAGAACACGCTTCGGTACAAAGCCAGAAGCATCCCGTGCTCTTCCGGGGCGAAATGCCGCCGGTTGAATTGTTTTTATGGCCACCAGTGTCCGTGGGGGAACAATAACTGTGGTAACCCCAAATGTGCATTTATCAAGGCCGGTTTACATGACATTAAGGACTTGGAAATCGCGAGGTGCGTCGCAGCCCAGCCACTGGATTGAAAATCACGTCAGAGGGGGGGGTTGGCGAATAGTGTGATAATGATGGCCTGAAACCCAGACGGCAACGGCAAACGGTGGGTGGATTGAGGGTCATCAACAGCAGTAAGGTGATGAGCACGGTTCTGAACAGCGAAGGTGCCATTAACCAGCCACAGTTAGAAATTCATTTGTCTCGTTGAAATTGTCAGAGTCATGTCGGTTTTGACCACAACACTCGAGAGTGACCACTCAGGTGTTTGCACCGAATGCGAGCAGCGTTTATTCGAAGGGGTTTCTCGGGCTTGGGCTTGCATGAGACCCGCATGCCGGTGCATCCCTAACTAGTTCACAAGCACGCCCCTAGAGTAGGGACCTGGAGGGAGGGAAGTAGGTAGATGCCGAGGGTGAGTCTCGAGACCCAGACAAAAGTGAGAAAGAAGAAGGACAGAGAAACAGAAAGAGAAAATCTCAATTTATATTTCTCCCTAAGCAGCTGTAGGAATCTTGACTCTGAACACCAACACTTGGTTATCAAGGTCGTACCCGCTCTCATCTGCGTACGGAAGCTTACCACCGTCCATAAAGCCATTCTGAGTGATGAAGTCATTGTCACTGAGACTGAACAGGAAATACTCCCCGTCGGCCTTGGCACCGTCGGGCTTGTTGCAGTCCTCGGGCCCGGACGGATTGACGGGGACCAGGGCGATGCTTTCCCACTTCTCGTTCAAGAGGCCCGCGTCCTGGTCACCGCCATTGTGCAGTCCGAAGCGGTTCAGCTGACCGTTGACGTTGAAGTCGAGCCACGAGCAATAGGTCGCGGGGACGATGGCGGGGTCGAGGGTGCCCGAGGAGTTTGAGGCGACGGCGCAACTCGCGCAGTCGAAGCGGTTGGCGACGTTGGTGGCGTTGGAGATGTCAAAGACGTCGACGTGGCGGTACACCGAGGAGCTGGAGTCCTGGCCGTGTCCTGCGCCCGAGTCGCGTGCGAGAACGAGGAACTGCGTCGGGCTGATGAAGTGGACTTCGGACTGCGCGGCGACTTTTGTGTTGTTGGAGAAACGAGGCAGCGGGACGACGTACTCGGCCTTGAGCACCGGGCTGGTGGCGGTGGAGATGTCGTACTGCAGGAACCGTGTGTTGCGGCGGTTCGCCTTTTTCAGACCGCCGTCTTGGTCCAGCGCGGACTGCATGAGCGCGTACAGCGTCTTGCCGTCGGGGGAGACCGTGAGACCCTCGAGACCTTGGTTGTTCTGGCGGCCCGTTGGGTTCTCTGCCGGGATGGTGAGGATGTCTTGGTTGTAGCGAGGAGGGCTGTCGGCGGAGAATGAGTCGGTGCCGTTGCGTCGTGGGATCAGCGCCTCTGGCGGCCGGATGGCGGAAATCATCTGCCCTGCCGCGCTGAAGTGGTAGATGTACGGGCCGTACTCGTCGGAAATCCAGAACGAGCCGTCGCCGGCGAGGACGAGGCCTTCCGAGTCTAGCGACACGCGCCGCCCGCCCGTGCCGTTGAGACCGAAGCCGTCGCCTACGTATGTGGCTGACGGGAGGTCTGGAGTGCCGGGGAATGACAAGTATGGGCCATGAACGTCGGCGTCCAGTCCTGTCAAAGGTTGGCCAAAGGGGTCGGTGAAGCGGATGGTGTCGAGGTAGTCCAGATTCAAGTTGGGAGGACTGGGATTCTGCGCTGTCGCTCTGTAGTTGGGACGAAAGGTGATGTGGAATTTGTGCACCCTGGGCTGGAAGTTGAGCGTGCCTTCAGTGTTCCAGCCGCGATCGGGAAGAGCCCAGAGAATGCCCGAGTACACACCGTCCTTGTCCACGGTCCAGGAGTTCCGGTCGATGGCTGCACTGCTTCCAATGCCTCCGGCTGTGTCACCGAATTTGTCGCGCGCGTCAGACGGTGTGAATCCGTATCCTGCCAGCTGCTGGTAGACGTAGGTCTGCCCGTTGCATGTTGTCGTGTTGACGGCTGTGCCGGCGGGAGGTGCCGGCGATGCAAAGGCAAACCGGGCAGCGAGTATAGAGAGAAGGACAGCCTTTAACGTCATGGCGAGCAGTGAAGGTGCTGGGACAGCCTGAGTATGACTATTGGAGAGGCTTTGACAGGGGGATGTGCCGGTATTCGCGTTGATATTCGAAGAGTGAAGACGCGATTGGATGTCGGGGTGGTGCCATATGCTATCCTTTTATATCTACCGCATATGGCCCATGGATATATACACCGTGACACACGTAATCTGCATCTCTGGCCTTGTCGTGGATATTGCTGGTGGAGATGAGGACCTCATCTTGGGAGCAGCCAACACGTGTTCGGCGCATCGTACGTGATTCGCGCTCTGAACGCTCGCTTCGCCATGGCGACCCGCTGGAGTCTCTTCTACTCCGCTGCCGGAGAGGCTGGAAGGGAAATCGAGGACGAAGGGCCTTGGGGAAGAGCAACGAAGAACTTGAGAGAAAAAGAAAGCAACGAGGTGTCAAGGTGTCTCTGCCTCAGCGAGGAGGAAGTCGAACTATGCCCCTTTCGGACGGAGACTTCCCCAGCTGCTGAGGCGGGCCGACGTCCAGCCTGCACATTCTCGGCTCACCAAGCTACTATATCTGCTGTTCCGGTAACATTAGATTGATTATAGGACTCTCTACAACTTACCAAAGGACCTACTGGTTTGATGGATCTGTCGTGGATTCTTCGGCGGGTTTTGGACTGCCCTCCTGATGTGAGGCCTGCGATGACAGAATACCACGACAACATGTACCCTCTATCGAGCATATCCGCTTATGTAAACGACGTGGTACAGATGAGAAAATCAGCCTTGGTTGAAGTCTGGTTCCAGTGGGTTACAGCAGTAACCCAAATTTCGAAACCTTCTGGGTCAATTTTGGCTTGTCAACAAAATCTAGGGTAAGACAACACTCAAGCTCATCGCGTTGACAATCCCCGGTTCGGTTGTCAAGGTTCCATCATAAAATTTCTCATCTTTCATGCGTTGACTCAGAAGTGGTCGTACCAAGGGTTGTGCCGTCCGCTTTGACTTTTTGGCTTTGCGCTTCTTTGAAAATCATCTTGATTGTTTCTGGTTTCCTCTACCGACACATCCCCAAAGTTCTTGGGGATTTCTGGTCTGTTGGGGTGAGAATTTTGATTAAAATCGAGCCCCGGTACTTGATTTACTCTTACCGAGCAAGCTCTTCTTGCTTCGGCAGGCCTGACATGACCTTGCGGACGAGGCTGCGCGGCATCATGAGGGTTAGGTTATCTCGTACTCCGTATCCCGTATCCAGTCTCCAGCCCAAAGTCAGACTTTGCGAGGCGCAAGGTTGCTGCCATGCACTCGTTCATCACCGCCAAAACGACCGCTTGGTACGTATCGATTTACCACAATGATTCCCCTTGACGAGGTTAGCCGAGGCCACAGACTGGAACGCAGAATGGTTTACCTACCAGATTTTTACCTGGAATTTTGCACGCTACTCCACCAAGAGACGTGGATATTAGGTGAATCCTGGTCTGAGATCAATCGTCCCTATATGCTGACTACAGCGAGGGTTCAGTGGAGTTTACCTTGCCATGATTTCCTCGGGTTGAACATTTTTTGGGGGGATACCTGATCGCACCACCAGGCACGAGCCTCTCAAATCCCCAGAGCATACAGCAAAGATGAAAAGAAAACGAAAAATCATAATCTGTTGGGGGAAATGCTGGATTGCCACATGTTCCAGAGGGTGCGAGATATGTTGATTTCAATGCATATAAACATCGTCTGTGGTCATGTATTGTTGTTCCTCTATCGAGTCGCTCATCTGCTACAGTTTTATAAACATATCCTATCTCGAAACATCCTTTCAAAGTCCCAATGGCTAAAGCATCCTGCAAGATATGGCGTGCCATCATGGCTACGCTCGTCGTATTTGGTTCATCGTGTCTCGGTTCGTCCTTTTCTCAAAGTCCTTGCTCTACGAGCCTCGATGAATGTTGAATCACTGACAACCCGTGCAACATGCACAGCCGTCCCTGTTCCTGAGGACGTAACTACGGTGGAGGTTCCAGGTCCAGCCACTCAGTCGGTTCCTGGTATTCCTCATCCCCCACTTCCTACCGTGTTGGTCCATTCTACAAAGTCATTCGGAAGTTTCGCGCTATCAAAGACATCGACCGCGGCATCGACTCCGGGGCCAGTAGGAAAGAGGACGTGGGACGATCACCCTTATGGACCTCCACATGGTCATCATTATTTCCATCACGGTCCTCATCACTCTCCCGCTGGGCCGGAGCCGGTTACTGCAGCCCCGTCTCCCTCTTCTTCTCCATCTTGGGCGAGTACCTTGCCGTCTAGAACTTCTTCTGGAAGTGCTCACGGAGCCAAGTCTACGTCAAACGGAAATAACAACGGCAACGGCAACGGCAACGGCAACGGCAACTGGAATAGCGGCGACGACAGTGGTAACAAAAATGGTAAAGGCAAAGGCAATGGGAATGGGAATGGGAACGGCAACGGCTCTCCACAGGGTACTGCCTATGTCAAGAACGCGTGCCCCTTCACCGTCATGAGCAACATTGTCCACGGGGCCAGCGCAGAGTCGCACGAGGCTCCCGAGGAAATATACTCCTCGATCGCGCCCGGGCAAACGCTCTCCCACCCCTTCTCGCACGACCCGAACACGGGCGTCAGCTGGAAAATCTGGCGGACCGACGTCTCCAACCAGGCGCCCGTCCAGTTTGAATACACGTGGATCCCGGACGCCAAACGCACGTGGTGGGATCTCAGCATGATCGACGCCGGGCGTGTCGATTGGCTCGAATCCAAAAACGCCGGCAAGGCCATTGTCGGCGATCAAGATGGCTACGGGGCGTACGTGGGCCGGGTGGGCGTGAAGCACGCCTTTGTCAACGAGGGCATGTCGCTGGTCCCCAGCGCGCAACAGGGGATATGTGAGGCGGTGGTGTGCCGGCCCGGAGAGCAGTTTTGTAAGACGGCATATAACGTCTGGAACGACTGGGGTCAACAGAGGGATTGCCATGAGAGCGTGGATTTGACCTTGACACTGTGTGAGTGAACGAGAACGAGGCTTTCAATGTTGACGATGGAGACGTTCTCACTTCTTGGGAATGGTGAGAGGGAGAGGCAGAGAAAAGCGGACGGTGGAGCTACTAAGTTAGAGCGCCTTGACGGCGGTGGGCGGCGGCGATGACGATGACGATGTGGACGTCGTTGTAATAGAAATAGTAATAGTAATAGTAATGGTAATAAGAGTAGATGTGGATGTGGGTTGTAACGGATGGCCGGGTGTGTGGACCATAGTGTATGGTGTATGGCGCATCACCGTCCAACCCACATTCATGAGAGGTTTTGTACTCTTGTGTGTGTGTGGGTTTGTGTTTGGCCCCGGAAGAATGATATCATGAGTTGTTTCACGTCTCTCGGAGATACCTAGTAGTCATATACTCGAGGGACAATGAACGAATACCATTTACGATAGGTTCAGGATATCAGTTTCAAGTGGCACATCTAGAGTCCCGCCGTGAAGAAATGGCCAGTTCACATTGTCGAAGAGTCGCACTTAAAAAAAGCATTCCCACAGGCTGCAACCTATAACCTACAAACAACCAAATCACAGTCAAGGAACTGCTCTTTTTTACTTCTTGTATTTTGACAAGATGTATCGTGGGTTGATCGTTCACTCGGCCAAACCACCTCATCCTGTCAAACTCTGCGAGGGTGGAAAATGGTTCCTCGCTCTCTACAGAGGGGTTCAAGGGGGGCTCTAGGCCATGTAGACGTCTAGATACCGTAGCTGTGGGAGGCCGGGGAGTCCAGGGAGGCCGAGGAACGATCCTCAGGGGGTTGGGTAGGTTACCCCAGATTCTGACAGATAAAGGGGTATTATGATCGCCCTTCAGCCTCGTCGTACGGCCATCGGCAAGGGCCGAAAGTTTCTTTGAAGGAAGGCCTGCCGACTGGTTTCAGTCGAGTCGATGCAAAGAAGTACCGAGCGACGGCCAGCAACCCCTTGGTCTTTCTTAGTGCAGAGACATCCTATCGCAACCAACCTGTGTACATGCAGGCACGTGACTGTGGACAACTGCACTGGACACTCGTGTTCTGTAATGGTGATGGCAATTCCCAGGATCTTCGGCCGCATGAGCACGTCAATTAGCTGTCGCGGCTGTTTTGATGCACGCCCTGATTCTTGTTGCTTCGTCCTTCTCTTCCGGTTGATGTGTGTGCTGCCAAGGGTATCCACATCTTCATTCATCCCGAAGTCATAGGCAGGTATGCTCATGACCGTGAGATTGAAGCAGGGAGAAGGGGGGGGGGGGGCAGGTTGACTCGGGGGTGTTTCTTCGTGTTGTGCTGTGTATGCTAACTAAAGACGGTCTTGCGCGGTCAAGTTGTTGGAAAGGTTCTATGGGGACTGCGACACTGGAGAACAGGCAGCGAGAATAACAGGCGGGTGAGGAGTATTGCACGATAAGGAGGAGCAGGTGGGGGCGAAGGAAGAAGACTGCATAGGAATGGAGAAGAAGATACCAAGAGGGATGTCTACAGGAGGATGTGTGACGAGGGAGTCAGGGGCCATGCGAGGTGATCAGAGTAGTCTTCAAAACACCACATCTGACGTACGCAAGCGAAACCCATAGCAGAACCGAACCATACATTGAAGACTCAGCCCAATCAATCCGCAGGTCTTCGTTCAAGTACAAGGCGTTGTGCGAATCTATTCTCCCTTTTACGCTATGCTCCTCAAGATAATACTGCGCTCCAAGTTGACAGTCCAGCTACCGGAGTCGACGAATAGACAATCTCAAGGTCAATCATCAAGACTTAATCTGCAATGCATCTCAGACAAGCTCTAGCTTCCTATCCAGCCAGAGTAGAACTGAAGTTTCGAGCGCACCTCTATCGTCGCAAAAACTCTTCAACCTCAAACCCGACCCTACGCTTCGCCTTTTCCCAATTCTCCATCTCTTTGGCCTGATATGCTGCACTGGCTGGGCCCGACACTGAATTCGACGAGCTAGATACCCCTTTTGCGACCTGATTCTCTCCTTGACTCTCTGCTCCTGCCCCGTTGTCTTCTCCAACGGCCACAGATGCGCTCGTTTGGGTGGACATGCCAATGATGGCAGTCTTGACAATAACGGCACGGCAGTCATTCAGTCTGATCTCTACGCCCGAGTGTCCCACCGAGCTTGAATATCTCTCTCGTCCGCCCATGGGAGTATTGACGATGCCCCCGACCGATGCCCGACCGGGTTCCACCGCGTCGCCTTCATCCTCGACACCCTTGACCACGATTGTGATGTCTGGACCGATACTTCCGCGCCAGAGAGTGGCGAACCACTGCCAGTGTGCTGGTGGTGAGAAGCCATCGCTAATGGGCATGGAAATCGACGAGGCATCAACAGTGGTGAGTTGGAAATGTGGAACGAGAGCGACGGGGATAGCGTTGCTGCTGAGACGTGAGAAAGGTACTCTGTCCGGATCAGACACAATAGACCGTGGTTGGGGAGTCCGCGGCGGTGGGATTCTGGACGACGGCTTTGTAGTAGTGGGTGGCGTTGTTGGAGGCGGAGGGATGCGAGTAGAGTTAGATGGTCGAGAAACTGTAGTTAGCGCTGGTCGGACACTACCATCACCCATGCCTGATGTGCTCTGGCTTCGGCCTTTGCCTGCGGGCGACTGAATTGGAAGTTCAGCAGATTTGTCTATCGTCTTGGGGCTGAATACAGCCGAATTGGACGCCGTATTGCCCTTGCCATCAAAATTCGTAACCACCTTCTCTAGTGTTTTGCGCTCATGCCCAGTGTCTGTGGGATGATGAAGATGCTCTTGCAAGGCCTCATGAGATTGGGAGGACAATCTGGGCACAGAATAACGAGTCATATCAGCATCTCCTGGTCTTGTACTGATGTAATCAACCATCTCCTTGCTGATTTGGTGCCATTCACTGAGCATGCTCAAGTAGAGCTCAGTGGTCATTGCTCGAGTTAGTAGTGTATTAGACCCAGCCCTCTCGGTATGGAATGGCGTTGGTCCACCAAATATTCTGACGGCAAATTTCCCTTCCTTCTCAAGTTGTTCCGCAAGCGAATTCATCATACTGTGGACAGTTGCGGTATCCATGCCTTCGATTGCTATGATGGCTCCACGTACTTCAGGTTTCGGAGAGAGAGGACCAGGAGGAGGTAATGGAGCAGATATCTGAGAAAGGACCTTGATTTTGTTGAGGACTGGAATTGACATGATCATTGCTTCAACCCCTGAGCCCTGTGATTGGACCGACGGCGATTTTATCGGCGTTTGGGATACCATTGTTTCAATAGGAGGTAAAGCAATAGTTGATCTTGCTCGGTGATGTGAATGAGGTGGCCGAACGGGCTGAAGTTGTGGGGGATGTGGATATACTGCTCGCGGAGGTGAGACGATGGCGGGTTTGGCGACTTGCTGAACGTGCTGGACTGGTACCTGTGATGCGTGTACCTGTACAACCTCAGGACGGCTGTATCCGCTGTGGTGGACTGGGGATTGCGCATATACATATGGTGTTTCGTGGTATTGTTCTCGACCAGTGATATAGACGCCATTGCTATTGAAGCGTCTTCTCTTTGCATCCTGTGTATCAGACGAAGGGGGAGTCGGGAGTGGCTGGGCCGATGGCAATGCGTAGACCAATCGAGGGTCGACTCGCTGGTAGGGATATGCTTCGATAAATGCTTTCTGCTGGCCTTGGGGCTGAGGTGACGCTGGTTGCATCCGTTGAGGATGAGGAGGAGGAGGAGGATTACTGACAATGTAGCTGCGTTTGGCAGGAACTTGCATCGCCATGGCTTGCGATTCGGCAGAAGTAGAAGGATTATGTATCGGACTCGGATTGTTGTAGTAGCTCATGGGTTTCCCACCGCACTTGCGGCATGGATCTTGCGGCTCAGTGGCAGAAGGACCAGATATCGAGGGTTGATTGCTGACTTTGCCGTTCCGACGAGGCTGATAACGATATCCAGGATACTGTTGCTGATGGCGGGCTTTCTCTTCCTAATGAGAACCACGTCAGTGACAAAAGGCTTTGTTCAAGAACATAGTTGTCTTTGGCTCACTTCCGCAAGCATATTCCATTCCTCTTTGGCCTCTGATGACAGCCTCCTCCATTGTTCACCGATGATCTTTGACACGTCCGGAATTTGAAGCCCTGGATTTTGTGCCATGATACTGGACTGCCGATGCTGACGGAACAACATGAACGCTGTTACCCCGTCAGTCAACCATTAAATCCAGATTCTATACGACAGAGGCGGCTTGGGTTGGAACATGCTCACAGTTTCGTGGTCTTGGGATCTTCGGCTCAGAAGGACATAAGCATAGATGTTCTCTGGCACTAGGTCCGATGGATGTTACCTCAGATTGAGGTCTGTCCCCTGACATTTCCACAGAGCCAGCACGTTTGGAGGGGGAGGTAGAGCTAGAGCTGGCATTTGAACCGGATGTGCGCTCTCCCACTTTGGTTCCGTGCATGGGGCGAGGCACCTCTGAGATCGAAAGTGTACTTCTTCGGGAAGTGCCTTCTCCTCCATCATTATTAGCAGGGCGATCGTGAAATATATGATGGTGCGATAGCAATGAGGCGCGGTGCAACGGAGGATTGTGCTCGTTAAGGGGCTTCGGGAGACGACGATACCAGGCTGGGGCAGGAGGTCCGCTGGTAATGGAAGTCATAGCGCCGTGCAAGGAATCCTTCGATCATAACCATCCAGATTCCTGAAGTGTTCGAGCCAACGAATGAGGTAGAGTAGAAGGCCCAGTCTTTGTAGGGGGAGCACCAGACTCGCCATCTTCAGTTTACCTCCCATGAAGTTCCCTTATCTCCCAAGTTTGACTTCCTTGTTGCAGATTGAGCCATGACGAACATTCAGAGGCGAGGCTGGAGCAGGTTACGTAGAGTTCCTTTGTTCTCTGCTGGGCCTGAGGCGGGAAAATGCGGCCTTAATCACCGTGCACCCGAAACAATATCAGCAGGAATGCAGTGTGGACAAAGAATGAGCCTCTTCCAAGTATGACGAGGTGGAGCAGAGTTCATGAAACTGCGAACGGCCGGGTCTTGAACGTGCCATCGTCGAACCATAAGTCTTGAGAATGATTGCTTCAAGGTCGGTCGGGCTTGGAATTGGTTGAGATCACTGCGGTTCAAAGTCCCCATTTCAGACGCGACTGACAGACACGCAAAGAATATGATGGTTCCCAGTGGCAGAGGTGGTCAAATCGTCTCAGGTTCTGAACGTGCTTCTGACTCTGTGATTTCGTTGCCAGGGAACGAGGTCGAGAGAATGTGTTGCCACTTTCGCGGAGGGGCTTTCACTGAACCCGCAGAAAAGGCTGCAGGAAGCTCTTCGCATACTTCTTTCGATGAGGTACTTTGGGGCCCCCAGAAGATGAGTATTGACAGGTATTGTTGTGGTGGTTTTCTAACCATTACCTTGCCGACGGGAAGGGTTGTTTGGCTGAACCACATCTCGGCCTTACGATTGCCAGTGAGACCTGTTTCATCCGGCATCGTTGCCCTGCCATTCTACAACGTGCGGCGGAGCTTAAGCTTAACAAGGACTTCCTGTAGGAAAAAAGCAAAGCCATCCAGATGAAGGCTGGGAGAAATCTGAAGAGTAACTGCTGAGACGGAGGTAGAAATCGGAACTCAGGCTGACCAAGAACATCGGCAGACGGTCCGGGACTCATAGAATCATAATTCATACTCATACACTCGTGCACCTCCATCCCTTTTGTTCTGCAATGATCCAACAGTCCGAGGATGGCACAGGGTCGAGGAGATGGACTGTCTTTACAGAAGACTTTTCTAGCCAGCAAAGACACGAACATTCAAGTCTACGCTGGCGGTTGCAATAACACAACGGATTTTTCCTCCTCCGACACCATCCTCCTTCTTTGTGATCGTCAACGCGCCGTTGCTGTCTCCGTTCGTCACAGGCTGTCCTGGAACATCTGGAGCCCATCTGATGCTGCTGATGAAGTGTTGATGTGCCTCGTCCACCACCTTCACGCATTTACACTCCTGTGACAGATCCCAACAACGAATGGTCTTGTCATCCGAGATTGAAATCAAGTACCGTCCACCAGGATGAAAGACAAGTCCTCGCACCCAGTTGTCATGGCCTACAAGAGTCTTGTGGCATGTACCCCTGTTGTCCCAGATTTTTATGATCTTGTCTCGGCCTCCAGTTGCCAGAAATTCTCCACTGCTGCTCACAGGAGGAGGCTTTTTGTAGCCAGCGATGCCACTCAGATGCACATACGAGGTACTCGGAGCAAATGCCACGCACTCTACCACGTGCTCATGCCCAAGAAAGGTGATCTTCACCTCGCCCGAGCTCGCATCCCAAAGTCGTGGTATTTGGTCATTGCCTGCACTAAGTAAAAACCTGCCATCGATCGAAGGCGTCACTGCCCTGACCCAGTCCGTGTGTCCTTTTAACGTCCTTAAGCAGTAACCGGTCGTTACGTCCCATATTCGGAGAGTCTTGTCTCTCGACGCAGACACCAAGGTGTTACCAGAGAGAGGTGCGCCCGCGGCGCCCGAAGGGATAAAGCGGATACAGGAGATCGAATGATCATGTCCAGGTAAGGTCCGAATGTTCTTATACTCATCACTGGGGTCCCAAAGTCTGATTGTTAGGTCGCTGCTACAACTTGCAAGCAGTGTTCCCCCTCTAGGACCGCCAAAGTCAACATCTAAGACTGCTTTAGTGTGGCCTTTAAGCGTCCGCTCCAGCTCTCCTAATTCCCAGTCCCAGATCTTGATTGTCGAGTCTTCCGAGGCAGAAGCCAGCGACGAGAAGACAGGGTGGAACGCAACGGAAGTGACCGGTAATCGATGTCCTTGCAGGATGTGTCTCGCAGGACTCCGAGGCAACCAGGTCATTGGGTCGACCTTGCGGTTGGATGAAAGAGGAGTCGCGGTATCAATCTCTTGCTGGAGAGCGGCATTCCTTGCCTCTAGGTCCATGATCTTTTTCTGCAGACGCACCACTGAAGTCCATTTCTTCTCGAGTAGAGTCTCGTACTTTTTTGCAGTAGCATCGTCAAATGACTCTGGTAGGCTGGATTCTCGTCGCAGGGCTACAGCACTGTCGTTCATGCCCACAGAAATGAGGTAGGCGACCATAGATTTGTGCCTGCAAGGGTCAATGGCTAGGTTCATGTATCTGATTCTCATTACTCACAGTTCTTCCGCCTGCCGAGCGGTGAGGAGTTGACTCATCCTCAAAGAATTGGGCTCCGGCCCTCAGACCAGTCCTTAGACGCTCATGCAACGGAACGCTGATGTCGCGCAAGTGGTTCTCAGGGTGTCGCAAGTGCACACACTTGCGGCAGAATAGTGGTCGTATTCTCCACCGGTGGAGGTGCGTGGCCGAGAGGGACAGGGGACGCTGAAGTTGAGTGAAAATCGTGACACAGATACAGAAGTCCGATCTGTCCTCGGTGGTGCTTGAACAAAGCAGAAGTCGATGCTCTGTGAAGTAATTCTCGACCGGATGCTAATAGAAGGAGGGGAGGCCTTCGTGTTGGACTTGTTGCTCGTGGTGCTGGGTGCGCCGTGGTTGTTGTGCAAAAAGCCAATGTTTATCTTCCCGGACACTGACACCAACAACCACCACCTCCTCCTACTCCACCATCCGCTTTCTTGCATGTGAACCACCATAATTTCGGTCCCAACTCGTGTCTGTGACGGTCAAGAAGGTTGTTGTACGCGAGCGAGCGAGTCTTACTGCTTGCCCTCCTTCGACCGCGCCTTGAGAGAACAAAGGTGTCGTGCCGACTGCCTGCGTCGCTGCCTCCCTCGCGCGCAGTGACGGCGCCTACCTCAGATGAACACACAATAACAAAGAGTGAGTTGATCGCTGTTCTGTGAATTGCTTACCGCGCCTTTAGCACCCTGTTGACAGTCCCTGCTGCCCCCTGCCAAAAACGCTCACGTTGCTAATGTTTTCCGACAGTCCTCTCACCCATCCGACTAGAAAGAAATCCTCCTCCGCAAGATTCCTCTCGATCCGCCGAATCTTTTCACCTGGCACCATGGCCGACCAAGAGGAGGACTATTCTAAACTCCCGCTGCCCGACCGGTTCACGCACAAGATATGGAAAGTGCGAAAGGAAGGGTATGAAGCCGCCGCAAAAGCATTCCAGCTCAGCCCCGATGAGTCGGACCCGGCGTTCAGGCCATTCTTACAGGACCCAGGGTTGTGGAAGTCGGCGGCAGGGGACTCAAATGTCGCCGCTCAACAGGAAGGCCTGGCTGCGCTCTGTGCTTTCTTGAAATACGGTGGCCAACAAGCGGCAGTCAAATCACGGAACTACACCCTCCAGTCCATCTACGAAAAAGGCTTATCGTCAACACGGCCGCAAGCAAAAACGAGTGCTCTCGAAGCACTGCTTCTATACATCGAACTCGACAAGTCAGACCCGGTCATTGAGGAACTCCTACCCGCGCTCTCTCACAAGCAGCCGAAAGTCATTGCGGCAACCCTCAATGCCATCACCGCCATTTTCCACAATTATGGCGTCAAAATTATTGAGCCTAAGCCCGTGCTGAAAGCGCTACCTAAAGTGTTTGGGCATGCGGATAAGAATGTTCGAGCAGAGGCTCAGAACCTTACCGTAGAGTTGTACCGGTGGCTGAAAGAAGCCATGAAGGCCATTTTTTGGGGGGAATTGAAACCGGTGCAACAGCAAGATCTCGAAAAACTGTTCGAAAAAGTCAAAGGAGAGCCAGCACCGAAACAAGAGCGCCTAACGAGATCACAACAAGCCGCCCAGGCTTCTGCACCAGCTGCATCCGGTGGTGACTTTGCTGAAGATGATGGTGGGGTTGAAGAAGAAGAGGTCGAAGTTGATGCTTTTGATCTCGCGGAGCCTGTCGATGTACATTCGAAGATACCAGCCAATTTCCATGAGATGATTGGTTCGACTAAGTGGAAAGAACGTAAAGAAGTTCTCGACGCACTTTTCGACAGTCTGAACACTCCGAGGATAAAAGAGGCTCCCTTTGACGAGCTAATACGGGCTCTCGCCAAATGCATGAAAGATGCCAATATTGCTGTCGTCACCGTTGCAGCCAATTGCGTGGAGAGATTAGCGCTGGGCCTGAAGAAAGGGTTTGCGAGATACCGCTCGTCTATCATGTCCCCAATGATGGAAAGATTAAAGGAAAAGAAACAATCAGTCTCAGACGCCCTCGGTGCTGCTCTAGATGCAGTCTTCGCTTCGACCTCCTTGTCAGACTGCCTCGAAGAAATTTTGGGGTTCCTTGCGAACAAGAATCCCAATGTCAAGGCCGAAACCATCAAATTCCTCTCGAGATGTCTGCGGAATACGCGCGATGTACCTTCGAAGGCCGAACAGAAACTGATTGCCGATGCAGCAACCAAATTACTGACGGAATCAAACGAGGGAATTCGATCTGGCGGCGCAGAGATTCTAGGCATCCTGATGAAGATCATTGGAGAGCGCGCCATGACCCCATACCTTGATGGTTTAGATGATATACGGAAAGCCAAGATCAAGGAATTTTTCGATACCGCCGAAGTCAAGGCGAAGGAGAAGCCGAAAGCGGCGCCTGCGCCTCCAAAGTCTGCCCCTGCTGCTGGAAGGAAGCCAGCTCTTGGTGCAAAGAAGCCCGTGGCTAAGAAACCAGCTACGGCGGCCGCTCCACCGGCAGAAGACTCGACACCTCTTCAACCAAAGCCCACCGCCAAAGCACTACCGAAGCCCGGTGGCCTTGCACGTCCTGGTTTAGCACAACCGTCTGGTCTGAAACTTGGAGGTCTCAAAAAGCCTGGAACTGGTTCTTTGCCGAGTGGTGTGGCAAGTCCTAGTAGACGAGTGATATCTCCGCCCATGAGCACAGATGACGAAGATGTTGCCGCCCCCTCCCCCTCCAAGTTTGGCATGGGCCGTGGCGGGCTTGCTGGACGACCGTTGTCAAGACCTGCTGCAGCTCCCTTATCACCTCCATCCGCACCACCAGCTCTGACTGGTCTCTCAGCTATTGAACGTGCAGAGCTAGAAGAATTACGTGCTGAGAAAGAACGTTTGACGGCACTCAATGACAGCCTACGGAGCAGCAACGCCAAGCTGACCGCTGAAATATCAGAACTACAGAATCAAAACGCACAGCTAATAGAAGACCACACACGAGACGTGCTGCAAATCAAAGCAAAGGAGACACAGCTTGTGCGAGCACGAGGCGAGGTTGATGTGCTAAAGGCTGAGGTTGAAAGTGTTCGGAAAGAGAGTGAACGGTACAAGCGTGAAGTGTCCAGATTAGGCCGGGAAAGTATCGGTCGAGAACGAGAAGACCTAATGCGCGGACGAGTGGATGAGGGCCCGAACTTTGGCATCGAAAGTGGTGGCATCTATGAAGATTCGACTGTTCATCGATATCCTGCCAACGGAAATGTGTCAAGACCTACGAGCAGCACTCTACAGCGGACGGGCAGCACGGCGAGCTCGCAGAGTAGTCGAGCCCCGACTAGCAAGCCTCGGCCTCAGAGTGGCTATACGCTCAGTCCGAGTGAGGAGAAAGAGAACGGCGGTCTAGATCCGATGGCGGCTAGAAGAAAGATGAGTCCGCCCGTCAACACCATGGCGAATGGAAGTGGTCGAAGTAGTCCACAACGACCTACTTTTGCGAGTCGGGAGGCCAGTGAGACTGGAAGTATTGGGTCGAGGGAACCTCGTGCAGAAGAGAACTGGAAACGAGCAGCTGAGGTTACGAGCCAACTCAAGGCGAGAATCGAGGCTATGAAGGTTAGTACTTGTGATGATGGCTTCCCGGCGAATACTAATACATGACTACAGGCACGACAAGGTCTGGCTCGACCTTAAGCGTTTGTTTCGAGGCCAAGCTAGATGTCCTAGACATTATGCCTTGGCTTGCACACTTTTCCCCGGGTCATCGAGGCGGTCTATTTGCTTGGGATCTTAGGGCAGCTTCATGACGCTGGGTGTTCCACAACGAAGACGCCAGCATTGCTCGAAACTTGTCACAGCAAACGCTTCTTCCCACATTTGAATCTCGCATGAAGTTTTTCCCCTTCAAGATACCACTTTTTGTTCCATATTGTTTGTCAGTCTTGGGGGCTCTGGAGGTTTGTTTCAACGATAGCGAGAGCGAGAGCGACAGGTCCACCAATGAATAGTCTGGGGGACGCAAGGAAGGTCCAGCCAGGCAGGGTTTTAACTTGAGTCCTGACTGCGTAATGTATATGGTACCCTTGGAAATGATAACGGCGACGAGTATAATATCTGTCTCTGCCCGGAGTATCATAAATGTGTGTCTCTCGCCCACCTGGCCATTCCCTTTGCCCTACCTGACCTGTCACCCTACCCGGGCCACTCGTGGGATCTAAGGACCCTTCAACCTATACAGGATTCTTGTTGCCGATTCCTTCTTCGAGGTAGTGTGTGCGCGTGTGTGTTTTACTTTCCCTACGCCTCGTTGCCCGTCAAAGGTCCTCAATGATGCGTAGTTGCACATGATTGGTCAGACATTCGGGGCGCACAACTTCCAACCTTGAAGCCACAAAGATAATTAATTACACAACCGAGGCTTTGCCTCTCTTTCTACGAGTACGCTCTTGTGCCCTGTGCGTGGGAGTTCATTAACGTTTTGTTCAGTCTCTACCTTCCTATTCAGGCAACCGACTTTCCCCTTTGGTGGTCTGGGAAAGAAAAGGCGCCCTTTTTCCTCGCTCAACATCGCTTCTGAGGACCTACGGCGCGCTTTTTTACCTTTGAGTCCAGCCGTACAGATTCTTTGTTCGTTGTACAGAGGAAGGTGGTTGCAACCGGCTCTGCTGTTTCTTGATGATTTTCGTTGGTGGATGGATGCCTCGGATCCCTCTTTTTGGTGCCTGGTTCGAGTTCGGTACGGTACCCCGGTACCCAGACCTTGGAAATCGATAGCTTATTAATAAGGCCCAAGGTTTATCGAATAGTTGATATCTCCTCGTGTCGTGCCCTTCCTCGCCCTCTCTCCTTCTTTCTTGGGTTTTCATACTCTTTCCTTCCTTTTACAAAGTGTTGGCACATACTGCGGACCAAGTACTACCCGTTGTTACTCTCCCTCCCTTACATGTCGGGACTTGCGGTAGGTAGGTGTAGGTAGTAGGTAGGTACCTAGTGGGTAGGTATCTCGTGTACGTACAAGTACAGCGTAACACATATTCACGTGTGTCAAAGATTTTCCTTTTTGTTTTCTTTTGGTTGCCTCCTCGCTAATTCCCCACCTACCTGGAGACTTTCTTGCAGACGTATAGGTAGAAGCCAGTGAGAGTAAAGACTATCCAGGTCTGTACAACCAGCAGGGTGACATCGACTCAGGGTGTCAACGGTGAGGACGATACTCCGACCCACAGAGGACTACACGGCGACTACAGGGCGACTACAGCTACACGGGTAACTTCGGTAGAGTAAACTTTTGGTGTCATTCATATCATTTTTGTCTTGATAAGAGGCAACGGCATCTTCCCCAAGTCAGACCCGACGGTTGAAGAACCGCCAACCCCTCACCACGAACCGTCCAGAAAGGGTTTTATTCTTCTTTTGCGTCGAGAGTCGTAACATGTGGCGGGGTCGAACTCGCCAGCATGTCCTCACGCCATTTAGTATCTTCAATCACAGGTAGATGATGACCTTCCTGAAACATCATACCTGGCGTCGAGACCTCTTTTCGACATACCCCATCTCGTGGAGTTGCTCATCCACACAAGCTGCGTCTTGTTCGCACTAATTTCTCAGCGGGCAGCTCTCCCACGATCCTGGAAACGTATGGCCCCTATTCTCCATGTCTTTTCAACAGGAAAAGAAAAGGTCAACACGCTTAGATCTTGATGGCACTCTCAATGGCCTTTCTCTTCTTCTCTTGCTTGGCAACAGCCTTGGCTCCCATGATACCACCACCCCAGTGTCGTCGGTGCTCCTCGTACTTCTTGGTGTATCCCTCGTTGACGGTGCCGACAAGCTTGCTAAGCTCGGCCTTGTCTTCACCCTTGACTTCGGTCAAGGCCAAGACGGCGGCGGTCTTCTTGTGAACGACCGTACCGAGACGAGCCTTGCCCTTCACAATGGCATAGGGCACACCCATCTTGCGGCAGAGAGCCGGCAAGAACACGACGAGCTCGATAGGGTCGACGTCGTGGGCGATCAGAACGAGCGACGCCTTCTTGGATTCAATCAGGCCAACGACGTGGTTGAGACCGTACTTGACGGCATATGGTTTCTGCCACAAGACCTCCATGTCAGTACATGTACGGAAGACACAAACAACCCCGAATGCGCATACCTTGGAAACATCCTCCTTCTTCTTGCCCTCTTGGACAGCAGTCGCTTCCTGGTGAAGACGTTCCTTCTTTTGAGCCTTGCTCTCAGGTCGGTACTTGTTCAACAGCTTGAATGTCTGAGCGGCGGTGTTTCGGTCAAGGGTGTTGGAGAATTGTGCGATCGCAGGAGGAACCTTGAGACGCATGTTGAGGATCTTCTTTTGGCGTTGAAGACGGACATATTCTGGCCACCTGTGAACCGAGGCGATTAGTATGGCATTTCTTTTCACCCCTTCCAGGAACAACTCCTTCTGTCTGACTTACTTCACCATGCGCGACAGGTTGCGCTTGGGCTGGATGTCCTGGCCGATACCGAAGTTTCGTGGTCGCTTCTCGAGGAGAGGGTTCTACTCGAAGTTAGCATGATCATGGACGGGTGCGTTCCAGAAAGACAGTCAGACTCACCTTGGCAGCCTTCTTCGTAGAACCGGCCTTCCCCTGAGGGAAGGGCGCGGGCGCAGGCTTCTTTCCTTTGGGAGGCTATCATTGAGAAAAAGAGAGATCATCAGCACATCATGTTCATGTTTCTTAATGATCCGCATCTTTTTGACTCTAAGGAGACGACGAAGAGGGAGACGTGTTGCTACACACGAAAGTGCCCACATCGCCGTCTCCAGCCATGTCTTCACCAACAAGGTTGTTTTGCGCATGCTGAGGGCTCAATCAAGAGTTCAAACACGGACAAGCAAGCCATTGTCGGCGGCATCTCGACGCACGTTCAGAGTACCTTGCTTCGGTAACCTGATGTGCACCGATAACAGAGCGTGTTCGGAATCGTGGCTAGCTTACCATTTTGTTTGGAAGGGGTTTGTCGACGGTGCGGGCGAGGTGAAGCCTTGAGAATGTTGCGAACAATCCAATTCCGCAAATTCAGATCGCAAAATGTCTTTGCGTGTGGAAGACGGAAGACTGGCCTAGTCCAAGACAGGACTGGCGTGGCTTGGCACGAAATTGTGCTGCACGTGATCACCGCCCAGCATTTTTGGCTCCAGCCTCGAATATGAGTTCAATGGGCGGAGGCAGCTGGCCCACTCACTCCTCAGTACAGCAGGCATAACAGCAGATGCCGTAGATTGATGATAGTTCATTAACAAGCTGATAATTCTATTCATGTGTGCGATTCAAAAAGAAAGGGGACAGCATTCAGAAACGAGATCTGCACATCTCGTTCCCAGGTAACTCTCCTCTCACTCCATGCTGCCACTCGTGGACCATGCCAGTGGCCTTCACCTAGCCATTCTCGACTTTTGATACACCCCGCTTGTCTTGCTAGCCCTTTGTAAATGTTCTTGCCACCTCGCCGGCGGCCTTTTCCCATAAACGCCCTAATCACACAATAACACCGATGGAAATGCTGTCCCTATTTTCACAACGAAAGCCAACCCGACGACCCGCTTTCACCACTCTCTAGAAAAGCACTTATGCAAAACCGAAGTAATCAGCGCCAAGGTTGATGGCTGTCATCAAGCTACCCTTGAGCGTGTCGAAATCATCGTAAGCTGGTAGATCAAGCTGATTGAAACAAGTATGGCTGGTAGGAAGGCGATTCTGACTGGGGTCCCTGTAACATGGTTAGCATTCGCGAGGGAGTGTACTGAAACGGAAAACTTACTTGTGAATGCTAAACAAGGTATTTCCTTGCATTCCTTCCAGGTCTTTGAAGCCATTGAGGGGGACCTTGCTCGTGCCAGTCACAAATTGGAGTAGTTTCGCTCGCTCTTCGTTGCTCATTCCTCGGACAATTCGCCAAAACCAAGTGATCTGTGGACTGTTGGCTGTATAGTTATGATACTCGGTATGAGCGCGCCAATCATCCACATCGATCTCCGGTAACCCAGAAATCAAGAGCTCCAGCTCTTGCTCGTCAAAAATCGCAACCAATTCAGCAGGAATGATATCATGGAAACCTCGAACAAAATTTTCGAGCTGCTCTTGGACCGAAGTTGTGAGACGATAGCGGACTTGAGCATTCACGTACTCTCGCTTGTTCTCGTCAGTGACAGGGATGTTCCGTCCATTTGGAATCAGATCAACCACTTTCTCTTCGCCAAATTGCTCTTCAATGACGGAGAAATCCTCGGTGATGACATCGGTGATGTCGTTTTCCAGAATCCAGACCAAACTCTTGTAGTAGTCGAGATCCATTGACTCAAGGTCTTTGAGATTGGGTTCTTTCCCAAGTAGTCGCTTGTAGACTGCTCTGCTGAAGTGAGCGTCAAGCACACGGCCTTCATGCAGTGCTTTTCCGATGATACGACCAATAAACTTGAAATACAGAAGATGTTCACCATTGATCCAGCTGAGAGGATTAGGATGGAATGTAGTACGATCAGAAGCGACTGGCTGCCACAGGGCCCAGTCAGGGTTGAACATGCCACGGGCGAGAACTTGGAACCATTCTCGGGTAACACCCCCTGCGTCAACGCCTTCTTCGCCATTGAATCGAATGTTCAATTTGCCGTATTTCATCTCATCGGCAGTCTTGTAATACAAGGCTTTGTAGGAGTCCTGGAACACCTGGTCACGCCGAACATTGAGTTGTAATGGTGGCTGAATGTGCCGCTGTTGATGGAGGCGAGAATGAATTTGTTTCGTGAAATAGGTGCGTTTGTTGTCAAAGTCTAGCACCTTTGAGTTCTTCACCAACAGGCTGAAACTGCCATTGCCCTGCATCAGCTTCGGTGACTGGCGGACAATGTCATTCAGGATTTTGCGATGTTCGGTGGTGAAGTTGAAGAACAGTTCGTGAACTTCGTCCATTGTTTCTGGAGCTGGACTTCCTGGCAGCTGGTCTCGAACTTGTCGAGCCAAGACCGAGTCCTTGAGAGAAGTGTTCTTGCAAACAACCATGAGTGACTCAATCAGCGGTAGAAGAATAGTCGCAAAGCCGGTAATGTTGTCTTTATCTCGGATCGTGGTAAGACACTCGCTCAGTTTGTTCCACAATGGTCTGAGAGCAAGGCTATCGTAAGAAGTTGTGAGGATGCTCTTAGAAACGCTTTTGTCGTCCGCCCCATCCGCGTCTGATTTTGCCGCAGATAGATAGTCCAAGGCCTGAAGTACTCGCAACAACTTGACTTGATCGGATCCTCCATGCGAAAACTTGGTCGAAGAAACTGCTTGAAGATCTGTAATCGACTGGGCCTCCTTCAATTGAGGGAGGAGCTCCTCGAGGTCTGTCCAGATTGACTGCGACAGATGTTTGACATGGTTGATCAGTTCTCTGCTAAAGACAGCCGCCGTGTTAGGAATGCACGAAAGGCTCGAGAGCGTCTCCAAAGTTGAGTGGAAAGTGTCACTATTGCACTCTGGCGCCACGAAGATGCTGACCACGAGCTGGAGGTTGTGCTCTGAAATGACTGGTGGCTCGAAAGGCTTTTTCAACTTGGCTTCCTCACCGTTCAGATCGTCAATTGGTCCTGGCGCTTCAGATTGCTGGGCTGTCGCGCCCGCGCCTGCGGTTGCGGTTTCGTTGTTTGCTGGAGTCGTAGTAGGAGCGTCCCTGATTTCGACATCTCGAACTTCGCTACTCTGTGGAGCTTGTGACTGTTCTGCAGACGCTGAGGTTTCGTGATTTTGATCGTCTTGGGCAGGCGCTCCATCTTCTAACGTCTTCTCCTTGTCTTTGCGCAGAAGGACTGCCAAAGGTTGGGTCACTGAAGATAGAAGCTCTGCCAAAGACTGTAGACAGGTGGAGCTCTCCACGATCAGCTTGCGGTCCAGGAGACCTATCAAGTCATTCAAAGGATATTTGACAGTCTTCGTCTGTTTGACTTTCTCCTTACCCTTCTTGGAAGATTGCCCGACATCTACTTCACGTAGGAAGATGGTCCGAGTGTGTACGCTGTTTTGACAGAGTTGTTTCAGCGCTGATAAGCATTGTTGCACAACCACAAGAGGAGTCACGTCCTCACCAAGACCGCCACCAGACTGTACCGACAATGTACGCTTCAGTGGTTGAGGGGTCTTCTGTCCAACAGGGACTCTGGCACGAAGGGAGAGATTAGCCAGACTCCGTTCCACGGCTCCCACATCGGTCGATCCTTCCTTAAGGACCACCAGCAAAAGATTGATGACCTCAAAGCGAGTCTGGCGGTTACCACAAATGTTTCGGAGGATGTGCCAGAGGTTGGTGCGCAGAGATCCTTGTTGTGGAATGAACATTAGGCGCAGTAATGTGGCCACGCCAGATTTGTCGACCATTTGCACAATGAATCGCTTGTTGTCACGCTGAGCCCCATCCTCATTCCCTCTGCCATCGCGCCCTTCGCGATCACTGACATTAGGATAGTGGAAAAAGCGCCTAGCATGAGCGCGACCCTCGGCTGCGTGTCTAGGATCAAGCTGGCGCAAGATCTCAGGCGGTTGTTCAGCAAGGATGACCCGTCGGAAAGCTGGGTCCAATGTCGCAAGAAATGTGTCGTTGTCCATTTCCTCTACCTGTGGCATGGCTCCGGCGCCCGCAGCAGCTTGTCGTCGAGCTGCTTCTCTTTCACGTCTGCGCTGGGCATGAGCTTCTTGTTGTCGAAGTTCTTCTCGAATATCCTCAGGAAGAGCATTCAGGAAGTCTGGGTCGATCACTGCTGATTCGTCACCTTGTTCGCGTGCCTGGTCGCGTCTCAAGGCATATTGTTGCATGACAACCTCCTCTCGAAGTTCCTCGGGAAGGGCTTCGAGATAGTCGTTGTCGATGTCGAGGCCAGTTATGTCAAGTTCACGGCCTCGAATGGTCGTGTAGACCCGAGGTTGTGACTCGGATGGTTCGCCTTCGATATGCTCTTCTGGAAGTCTCGTTTCGGTACCCTGGACGTCTTCCATCGGCTCAGTGTCGTTATCGTCGTGTTCTGAGGCGCCTTCATCATGGTCTCGTGCCGCAGCAACGGCTTCTTCGGCTCTCAAACGTTCTTCTTCGGCTTTCGCTGCAGCCTCACGCTCTTCTTCCTCTTTCTGACGTCGCTCTGTTTCTATTCGCAGTCGTTCCATCTCTTCACGTTCTGCTCTCTGCTCTTCTTCACGCTTGCGTCGGCGCTCTTTCTCCTCTTCTTGAGCCAGAGGGACCAAAAGAGACATAATGAGTAATTGAACGCGTTGAAGTTTATCCACATAGGTATTGCCGAAAAGCAGGCGGGCTTCCTCTTGCCATCTCGTCATGGTGAGGGCCGGGACAAAATTGTAGAGACGGGTCGACTCTTCTCGGCTGTGATGTCGAGGTGCTACACCTGACATGGCTGGTCGCAAGACGTTCTGAATATCTGGAAGGTTCAACTGAAATTCAATACGACCGTCTGGGCCACGTTCGCCGACACGATGCAGTGCTTGGAGGATTGCATCCAGCATTGCGCCATGCCCTCCGGTTTCGATTGTATCTCCTTGACGGATAATGGTCTGGAAAGCGGTGCCGCCGAATGGGGGCAGCCCAGGCAGCCCCGCGATGTTGTCCATCCCAGGCGCCATAAAGAAGTTGGGTCCAAGTGTGTCGACGCGACGCGGATGAGAATGGTCTTGTTGAGGTCGTCTCAAGAGAGGATTCGTGCCGTCATCCATCCCAGGTCGACCGTGTTGCGGAAGACGACCAGGGCGGCCCATTGCTATCAGATCATCTCGACCCCCAATTCGACGACCCATGAAGCTGGAAAAGTGTGTTGGGCCGCGGAAATGTCGCGGGCGTGGACGTGCATGTGGAAAGTGCGCTTCCCAGATGACGCGCTCGCCGTCAGCTCCAGCGCCAGCCAAGAAGTGATCGAAATCGCCGTATTCCATGTCCTCATTCTCGTCCATTTCGTCAGGATCATCGACATCTTCATCGTCTTCGTCCTCATCGTCAGGATCTCCGTTATCGGCTGCTGGGACGATAAGATCTGCCGGGATATGGTGGGTGTGAACAGGTGGACCTTCCATTTCGTGGTCTCCAAGAACACGAAGAAGGTTACTGAGGACTCCTGGAGCAGGAAGGTTCCCTTGTGTGTCAAGGGGCATCTCGTCGCCGTCGAAATCGATAGTGGGATGATCTTCTTGACCCTCGCTGAGTTCATCTTCGTCATCTTCCTCATCTTCCCACTCGCCTTCGTCACCATGGATATCATTGAGACTGTCGTTTTCATCGTCACCGTTGATCTCGCCACCATGCTCATCGTCGTCTTCCTCGACCATGATGTCGTCATCTTCGTCATCATCATCTTCGTCGTCTGTATCCTCTTCGTCTTCCTCGTCGTCATTCTCATCCTCATCCGTGTCCACTTCCATATGAGGATTGTTGACGACGAATTCGATGTCCATAGGAACGTCCCCAGGGAGACCTTCGATTTCACCCTCGGGGCCCATGTCCTCGTCAAGCTCTTCATCACTGACAGCTTCATCATCATTGGGTCCGCCGACGCCGTCATCGTACTCCATCTCGTCGTCGTATTCCTCGTCATACATCTCCTCATCGTCCTCTTCCTCATCGTCTTCGGAATCCGACTCTGAGTCACGGTCTGGGTCTAGCATACCCAAGGCGGAATTTCTGAAAAGGTCCGGGGTTTCCTCACGATCCTCGTCCACATCAGACACGGACGATGCTGAAGAAATGAGGTCCTCGTCAGTGCTTGAGCTAACAGAGTTGACGAAGTCGGGCTCTGTCAGACTAAGATGTGTGGCAAGAGTAGTAAGTTCTTGCAAGGGTCGAAGTATGAATTTAATGACTCGTTTGGATCCGGGGAACGATAAGTCTATCTCCGCAAGTGAGCTTGTCAAGACCGCTGTAAGATTCTTTTCGAACATCATTCGTGCAAGAGCCTTGTAGGACGTGTTCTGTGACCCGGCAGCTCCATCAGGTACGACTGGTTTCGTCAGAAGTCGGTTGAACATATCTGCGAGACAAAGGAGTTTGCTATATTTGGCTTGCCGTGAGTCGCTGGAAGAGATAGCGTCCTTGTAAGATTTAATGGCATGCTCCAGAACGAAACGCCGCACATACTGGAGTTCTGGTTCGTTGTCTACCTCGTCAACTTGAGGTTGTGATGGATGACGCTGCGAGGGTACTACCGGGCCCGACTCTCCGGTCTTAGAGCAAAGAGCTACTATCACCCTAATTGCCCAGTCGCTCGTCAATAACTTTTTCTTGAACACGAGGGAGTCTTCTTTATCAACATAACCAGACGGAATCAAGCCATCCAGAAAGTAATTGAGAATATTGGCCCGAGGTTTCGAAGGTGTAGCAGCCTTAGGGTCCGCCTTTTGATTGAAGGTGATGAACTCAATCTTGGTAGAATTGTAACAATGTAACAGCTCGGATAAGCTGTACATCAAGAAGCACCGGTAGGAGAAGATCGGGTGGTCTACTTGTTTGAATTTTGCCTTTTCGACTTTCTGCTGGGCATGAGGTAAGGGCATAGAGATGTCGGCCGTCTCGAGGGAAGATGATCTGTCGGGGGTCTGCTCGGGTTTCGTTGCCACTTCTGTGGAAGGTTCCTTGTCCTCCACGTTCCTGTATGTCAAAATCTCCGACAAGATGAAGTGGATGACTCCGTCGGGATGCTCGATTACTGGAGGTCTCGTCTCTGAAACCTTGCTCTTGTTGTGAGCTTGGGACGCATCATCGGGGACCTCTACGGTCGCTGCAGGTTGCATTGAAACATCCTCACTCTCCTTGATCGGCCGTGTCTGTGCATCTGTACTTTGATCCTTTGATTTGGAAGTGTCATTTTCTCTGAGAACAAGGTTAACGGCTCCGGTTCCATGAGGTGTCCATGCAGCTAGTTTGACCATCTCATTTGTGACTTGCACAAAGAGTTCTGGAGAACGCAGGACTAAATGATAAAGCTCCCGGACATAAGCCGTGGTATCGAGTTGGTTTCTGGGACTTCTAGAATTGAACAAGGCTTTGATCTCACTTCGCATGATTTGCTTCACGGTGTCATCGTCTTCCACTATGTGTCGCAAGATGGTCATGAAAGAGTTCTGCATCCGATGATTGACGCCGTTGACAAGCTGCTTGACCATCAGGAAGAGTCTCTGCAGGTTGCGCTTTTCAGCAAGGCGGGTTGCGATGTCTCGGGACCGAGTCAAGATGACGAGTACCCTCGTGACAGCGACAGCCATGTTCCGATCTTTTCCAACGCGTGGAAGAATATCGACGAGTATGTCGAACAATTCTTGTTTCACCTTGCCATCAAGGACATCAATCGGGACTAACTCTGCCTTGCTGCTAGTCTCAAGGTCATTAGGCGGATTCCATTTGATCTGTGCAGGCTCACTGTCTCTTGACAGCATCTTCTCGATAATCAACAAGACGGGAGCTACCCATGGGAAGGACTCGTCAGCTGACCGTCCATCTGGAGCTGGTAAACGAAGGTAGGACAGAAGTCCGTCAAAAGACTCTTGGAAAACTCCGAGAGTTGTGTCGAGAACATCGCCACTCTGGATAAGCAGAGCGATGAGATGGGCACTGGCGGAAATTTTCTTCCCGGTAGCCTCAATGCTTCCTTCCTTTGAATCTTTGTCGAACTGATTTGAGAGAAGCCCTCCCAAGAGTACCTCAATTACTGTCGTCCAAAACACTTCATGACCTTGCCTCGAGGCCTTCGAAGCACTGAAAATCAAATCAGACAATTCAAAGGTCAGATTGGGATGGTTGTGAAGAATGTTGATGCAGCGCTCTGGAAGATCCTCTCTGAGCTCATGTCTCAAGCGATTGAGTTCCTCAACAGTATGGGGCGTAGGGACATTTAGACCAGGGGAAGGTGGAGACGGGTGACTTGACTGGCGCTCTCCAACCGGGCCATCGTCGTTTAAGATGTTGCTGAGGTCCATAGCGGACGATACCGAATGGCCAGAATTACCAGATGGCGCAGACCCAGACGATGCTTGGGGATCAGATGCCACAACATCCTCCATCTCATTTGAACCATTGGCGCTGTTGACAACCTCGGCGAGCGCGGCTTCGATAGCCCCACTGGAAGCTGTCAATACACTCGGGATAGGGCTTGTGATGTTTGGAGTCTCTCTGGTAGTTGCGGTAAGATTGCTTTCGTCCGCTGGAATCGGGAGTCGTCTGCGCCATGGATTCGACTTGAAAGCTTTGCAGTATTCCTCTGCAGGGTTGTTACTGCTGTTTGGAGAAGGATTGACTCGGTACAGAGCCTCTCGAGCAAGACTCTCATCATAGCCTTTCTCTTTAAGATAGTTGATTCTTTGAGGATCAATGCCCACCTTTCTTGGAGAGAATGTCTCCAGCTTAGGAATGCTCTTCCGGTCTCGGACGGCTTCATTCTCGTGATCGGCAGTTTGGATGTGATTCAAAATGGAAATCAGCTTCTGTACGACATCGTTTGAGGCCTGATCGGCATATTCACTCTCCCAAATCAACTTGGTCAGTGGAATTGCTTCGGTGCGTAGGTTCACAAGGACTTGACTAGGCACGAACCAGATCTGCTTGCTCGGGTCCGTCATCTTCATTGTGTTTGATTGGGCAGAATCCATTATGTTCTTGGAGTTGGTGAATTCGTCTAGGATATCGAGGCAGATTTTAAGCCCGGTATTGGCAGAGAACATGAACTCCTCTACCTTGCAAGACTTAAGCTTGTCAAAAAACTCTGTTCCGATTGATGTCAAGCTCTTAATGCCGCCGGCTTCGCGAAAGGCCTCGATGACGAAGCTTTGTCTAGCTGGAAGTGAGATCGGTCCAGACGTAGGATGACTGTCATCGAAGAAGCTCCGGCGGACATTGTCCAAAGCAATTACCAAATATGTGAACCGAGACGTGACATGCTCTTCGGTGGTTACGGGGCTGAGGAAGTATGGCTGGAGTTCGGTAAGATAGGCTTTTGCTAGAGCCTTCGCGACCACGGCATTCTTCTGGCGCGAGAAGGTGTCGGGGCGTCGTCGCCCGGTGATCCCACGTCCTAGGCGGCAAAAGAACTCGGTAATGGCTGCTGGAGTTTCGACAAGGAGATAGCGTAGAGTTTGAAGATTCTTGAACGCAGCTGTGTGCTTGTCCTTGGCTAATTTATCACTGCTGACGGCGGCATTGGTATCGTTTCCTGTCGGATTTGAAGCCGAGTCGCTATGGATTTGCGTCCCATTCCCACGGACACTCAAGATTTTGTCCACCTCATCATCACCCGTTGAAAAGTTTTCGGGACGCGTTTCCAGAGCCCATCCAGCAGGGATATCCAGCTGTATGGCAATGTCTTCTCGGTAACATGCAGCCGAGACGGAACCCATTGCCTTCACGATTTCCGCAAAAACATCTGCGAGATTGACTTGAGAGAAGAGCAGATTTTGAGTTGATCTCGTGTTGTACATCGGAGCATTGAACACTTCTGCCAGGACTTGAGCAAGGCTGAACACTGCCATCAAAGCCCTAACCACATGAGTCCCGGTGTTCTCGACGTCTTGACTAGTAGATGTCATTTCGGATGACTGTTGTGTCGGGTTGACCAACTTCCCAAAGTAGCTTGACCAATCCTTGGGTTGACACTGTGCAAAGTGTCTCAACTCATTGCAAGCGAAACGTGCGCGGTCTGACAGAGTAGGGAGAACGATGTGAGGCTTGCACTCAGCCATCATGTGTATGGCAGCGGCCAACTCTTGGAACATCCCTGTAATTCTGTCGAAGGGCTCATTTGACACTGGTAAGCTTGGTAGAGTCACGAGATCCAAAACCAAATCGCAGGCTCCATGCTCCAAGAAGATGTTGCACAGGCTCTGGTTTTCGAAAAATGTGACCAAGAAGCCAACGGCAGGCCTTACATAGTCGTTCGCTTTGAGACCGTCGTTGTCTTCATCCCTGGGGGTGTCGGGTACGATGCTGGGGGGTAAAATCGAGTCATCGATAGTCAGCTTGTTCCCGTTAGGCAATTCCAGGACTCTAGGGGGAGGAGCGATGCCATTTTCTGTTGACGGAGGGGGGACGATCTCAAGCGAAAGAGCTTCCCGGCCACCACAAGGGACAGGGAACTCTTGAGAAGGAACCCAGAGTTTTGGTCCGGCGCCAAAATTGACAGACAGTGCCCTGCTGATGTGTCTTACGCGTGACAGCATAACAATGACTGCACTCATGACTGCGGTTCGCATATTCGGATGGTGCCGAATGAGCTCATCAAAAGTTGATCCGAGGAGGGCGAAAACATTGGCATCAGTCAAGACTTTGACATGCGCTGGCGACTCGAAAATCTCAAAAAACTTCTCCAAAACACCAGAGGCCTTGAACTGATCGAAACCAGCATTCGTCAGACATATAGCACCAAACGCCTGAGACACATTGACTATTGCATCTTGCACTGGTGGTATACCCTGCGGACGATTCTCAGGTTGGGACGATACGGACCTCGTATTCCGAACATCCTCAGCTTTCTGGCCAACTGTGACAGTATCCAGGAGACTCTGTATGATGCCTGCTTCCGAGATGACGGTATAGCTAGTCGGCTCATTATGAAGGAACCCACATATCGCTTTGACAACTTCGCTCCAGGTGTGCGCACCGAAGGCTGTCAAATGATCAGTGACGAGACGGAAGGCTCGGAGGAGTGCTTGGGAGTCAACAAGGCTTCTCAAGACACGATCTGCCTGGGGCCCTTGGTGGGTACTGATATCATTGATCATGTCGATGATGGATCGAATGATCTGCTGGTGCATGTACGGAATCTCATAATCCGTAACGCGAGTCTTGTATTGCGCCGGAATGCCCTCACCGTCCTGCAGCATGGACCAGGCGCCATGCACCAATTTGCTCAGAAGATTGCTAATGCGTTCGAATGCACTGTTTGCCAGCAGGGTCGTGAGGCCGTCCTTGAAATGGTGGAAAAACATTTTGACGAAATCAAGCATCTGCAAATGAACACGCAGAGCTTTTCCAGTTGTGACGTCGAAACCAGACAGATATGTTGTGATGAAAGAGGAAGCGATGACAGCCTCGCTCGACCGGCCGTGATGACCCGCCACTTCAATCAGTGTCCGAGGCATAGAGAAAATTGCTTCCCGCCATTCATCTCCCACTGGAGTATCGGTGCTGTCGTGATCCTTAGCAATGTCGTTCAAGCCTTTCAATATCAATTGAGACAGAAGGCCTTGCGAAGAGCCGGCTCCTAAAGCCGTATTGATCTCCGAGCCGAACGACTTGAAATGGGCTAGATATGTCATCGTCTCCATCGCAAGGGTTTGTAGATACAATGACACGGAAGACTGCCCTCTTTTCGCATCTTGAGCTAAACTCACAAGCTGCTGGATCAACTCGTGAGGCTTGTGCACTCCAGTTCCGGTCGGAAAAACCTTCTGAGAGAAATCCGCCTCGTTGAAAACATTGGCAAGACTCATGATGGCGAGTAATCGAATGGCGAGCAGTTCCTTCCGAGTCTTCGCCGAAGTCATCAAGCCGTACGCGACACGAAGCTGGTGCAGCAGCTCGTATCGCGCATTGGGCGGCATGTCTTCAGGTTGATCTCGCAGGATGGCTTCGATCGAGGTGCTGGCCAGCTCTGTGTGTGTAAGCTCGATGCAGTGCAAATCGCTGTCTGCGGTTTGCCGTCCACCACTCTTTTCGTGGGAGTGCGCATTCGGTGAACCACTCGTATCCAGTCTGCTGAGCCCGGACGATTGTCTGGCAGGAGTAGGTGTTGATGGAGCTTCTGGAAGATCGGAAGATTCATCCTTGCCAGCTGTGTGCTTCTCTGAACGCTGCGATAACCATGTAACTTTGACATATGCCCATGTATGCCAGTCTCGGTCAGGCGTAAGCGCTACCTTCCCAGCGTCCTTATGGTTCGACGCATCCTTACACATGGAGCGGAAGTCGTTCGGGCTGACGGTGACGGAGCTTCGCCTAGCTTTGGTGCCATGACTCGCTTTCTCTTTTGACTTCGTCGTCTTCACCGGAGACAGGGTGCCGCGCTTGCTTGATGGTAATAGCTGGCCGAAGGGAGCTGCCAACTTTTGCAAACGGTCGTGATCAAAGTCGTAGAACTTGCCCGCCAAAGGCCGCGACCCAAGAGCTCTATCGGCAAACCGCTGTGCTAGATAGAAAGTGATGCGTAGAGTGGTATGTAGGAGGGACAAGGACGTGGTGTTGAGGAGATCATTCAAGCGATCTGTGCTGTTGTAGACTGTACGATTCGCACATTTTTCCACCAGCAATTTCGAGAAGACCAGGATCGCTTCCACAAGCTCTCTATCACCTTCCGGTCCAAAACCTAACTCTTTCAGTCTCTTCTCATCGGTTCCCGGACTCTGTTCAAGCAATAAGGATATGCCAAATGGGGTCGTCTGTGGACCTTTGTCCAGGCCGTATTTTGCATTAAAAGACTGAAGGATGCTATCGAAGCGATCAAGAGGTTCGATCCAATTGTTCAAATCACCACGAGGGTAGGGCCATCTTTGCGACCAGCCGCTGAAGAGGGCGGGGAGATCTGCGAGAGGGACGGTGGAAACTTTTTGAACAAGATCTGATACCGCAGGTGACTATAGCAGCTGAATTAGCATGAACTCCATAATTTGACCTGGATGTCCGACTCACCAGAGACACCTTGTGCTTTTCCTGTGGCTTCCTCGTAACCTTCCCCATCTTCACTGAAGACCACTATGTTGCAGCATAGGCTGCATCTAAGAAGTGCGCTTTCGATCAGCCTGAGAAATCCACCAGAGTGCGACGACGCTTCGGAGAATAGGAGAGATGGAATATTGTAGGAGGTGGATGCAAACTCCTGGTCTGCCCTGACAATTCGGCCTAGTCACCACAAACGGGAGGAAGATGCAATACTGCAAGATCCAGGGCAACAAGGTCTCACTGCAAGTTGAGATGTGCGGCAGGAAAGATGTACTGTCCCCGGACTCCTTGCTTTCGGAACGGAACTGGTATTAAAACTGCAGATGGAGCAGCGGACAACAGCAGCGAGAATGAGATGAAGGAGAAAGGGACGAGATGGCTTGCATGCAGCGTGAGCGATTGAGTGATCGGACGGGTTGTTAAGTGAAGGCGACGGAATTAAAGCAAGCGCATGTAATATGCGGGTTTGCGGGTGTCAGGGCTAAATTTTGAAAATGACGTCTAATTGCGTACGGAGTAAGTTGGCCGCCTTGGGATTTATTTACTCTTATTGCTCTTTTTCCAGCCGGGTACTTGATATACTCTCGCTCCCTCTTCGCCTTCTCAGCCTCCCCGTTCGGCCTTCTGGAGCATCTCAGAACTTCCAGGGAATCAACTGACGTATGTTGACTTACAGGGGGCACCAATCTTAGTATATTTCGTCGCGATATTGTTTAACGGCCACCTGCACTCTAGGTACCCAGGAGGGTCTTTCATCCCATGTTAAGTACTGCTGCCTGCTACAGAAGCTTCTGGACGTATCAAGTGACGGTTGAATGAAAATTGCTTTTCCGTCCAATTCTCTTTCATAACTGCCTCTGGTCTGGCACCACCAACAAGCCGAGAGCCTAACCGTATCACGCCTTTCCTTGTCTCGCATCAATCGGCCTTAATTCGAATTCTTTGACGAGGGGAATGTCGATGACCGAGACTCTCGCAAGCTCGAGGTTCGAATTAGGCTTTCAAAAGACAATATCCAATCCTCCGATAGCTCATGATGTATGGGATGTCTGATCAGCTCAGTTCGCGATCTTCGGCCATCATATGTTCCTGCCAGTCAACCTTCATCGAGAGTGGATGAGGAAAGCTCATACTCTCCTCCTTGTTAAGATACGTGGTCAAGTCGGTCCCATGTAAGGTTCGGAGTGCCCCAACTGATCCATCTGCTCGTCTCAATCCTTTTAGCTGAGCAATGACTTGGAGAGCGGCAGAAAACGCTGAATCCCGCAGGAGTTGACACAGACCTACTTCCCCTCCTAACTCGATTGGCGTAGTTTCAGTCTGTTCCTGAGAAACTGGTCAGTTGACGAAGGCACCTGCCGTACTAAAGAGAAACTTACCAAGTCGCAGATAACATATTGCCGAGGAGAAATCTCAATCTGGTGACCTCCGTCCTGAAAAGAGAACGAAGTCACCCCCTCCCTGACAAATGTCGTTGGGGAGACCTTGCTCATCACCTCTTTGACGGATTCGTGAATCTTGTTTTGTGAAATCTGGGAGACGCCCCCCTCGCCCTGTCTAAGAAGATAGTCCAGAGCTTCAGCGAAGTGCCGCGACAGATATACATAAACCGTAGCCGCAACAGGGATGACTTCCTCCCATACGATTTGTTCAAATGGCATCCCCACATGGGCGCACGTTTGGATCGCTTTGTTCAGGTAGGTTTCAAGATCACCAGTCGGATGCGAATGTAATCCAGCATGATGGGTCCGGAGATTCTCAACGCGACTTTGCAGAGATTCGGCAAGGCGTCGAAGTGCCTTTTGCAGCTTTACACACGTGGCAAACTGGTGAGAAGAATCTCGGGATGTGCTGCAACAGGCGTATACAGCAGAGAGCAACAGGTCCAGATCGTCAGAGGGCATATGAAACATAGCAGCAACAAATCGTACATGAGCTTTATTGAACACATCATGTACAATGTCAACTTGCTGGCGTCCCGCAAGCTCGTAGGCCTCGTCCTTGATGAAATGAACAATGGCACTTGAATAGAACCTCTTCGTGATGTCCGCCAAACCATCAGCTTCCAAAAGGATACTTGCCAAAACAGGCGACTGCTTCGAGATCCACCCCACGCGACGGCCGGCCATGAACGTTTCAGGATGCCACGTAGACCGGAAGGCATCCAGATTGCTCATCATCAGCTTATACGCGCCCAGAGTTGTCACTCTTGCGGGTGCAGCCACATGGACTGGCTTTTCAAAGTCGTATAGCTGTGCCTTCTTCAAACCCGTGAGAATAAGCTTGTTCTCCTCAGGCACCACCAAAGGATAGTGCGCATATATAGAATCCCTTCGATAGCTGTTGGGCAATGCATTTAGCACGAGCTTATACATGACGCAGCCATAGTCTACAGAGGGATCTGAATCGGCTCGGTTGAACCCATAATTTGTGAGGTTTGCAGGACTGTAGTCGACCGTGTAAAACCTATCACCTCTCACTAGTGCCACAGCGTCGGACAATATGGCCCTTGAGGTCGTGAAGTTGGTACAAAGTCCACTGCCAGGTTTCTTGGCTTCTTTGGCGGCTTCTACTATCACCCCAGGATAGATTTCAACATTGTCCGGATGGCCGTACAGTCGCCTGAGTTGTTCTGCAACAATAGGGTCAGGATTGATGTCTTCGAATTTCTCGTATGGCTTGAGCTTGAAGTATTCGCGGAATTCATTGAGACTCGCTAAGTTCCACGACCGACTTTGGATTATCCCAAGAATCTCAACGTTTTTAAGGATCGTAGGTACATGGCTCGCACCATACCGGCCAGCCACATCAGAGACCGCCTTAGTCCAGATGGCCGATAAGTCTTCATCGGGATATGTTCCGTCAGATGAACGCTTGAGGTCTGCGAACGGTCGTTGGAGGGGGTCTTGACTCAGGCTTTGTGCCCATTTGTTGAGACCAGAAAGAAATTCACCGATATTGGCGGGCCCGGCTTCACCGAAGAGTTTGTGATAGACCTCGTTTGTCCATTGATCATCTCGTTCTGAAACGCACGAGTGCCAGCGATACACAAGGTTAAACTCTGCCGATACTGAGTTTCCGGTTGCTTCAGGAATCTTGTGGCCAAAAATGGCCTTCCCCTCCTCTGACCTTGGGTCGAGATTCCAAGCGCTGTCGACCCGATTCAGGTTGAGAATGGTTCTCACATAGTCCTTCATAATGATGTTGATGTACAAGCCAGTCGTGATCAGCCTGGCAGTCTGGAAGAGAGCCTCATCATACTCTTTACGCGGATTTGAACCGTTCTTGGAATCCCCAGAGGGGCGCAGGATCTTCGAGAAGCGTCCACCCTCATCGATGAGAGCCAGATCTTCTGCAACACGGTTGTGGAACCGATTGAACATTATGAGAAGGACGCCGACTCCTGGCGGGAATCCAAGAATTCTGATATCAGAGAAGCAATCTGGCTTTAGCTTCCCATTCTCCAGTGTCCGGACAGCCTTTTGTTGTTCGTCAGAGCTACCGTAGAGCGGAGCCAAATCGAGGTAAGAATCCACCTCTGAGATGTTGTAATCGTCATGGCTAGTATGAAAAATGTCGTGGATGATAATGGTGGCGACATAAAACAGTACACTTGAGATTTTGTTAGGATGAGGATCGAATTTCTTGCGAGCTAGAATACTGTCGAAGATAACCCCGGGATCCGGACGAGCCACAGGCTGCAAGAAACGCGGGCGAACTGTACGAGCATAGGGTTGCCCTGCCGCACCAAGGTGAGGCCATAGAATATTGTTGCCCGATCCATCGGCATTTCGAAATATGAATTTATGGCCCAGATAAGACTGTGGAGGATGTTGAAGATCAGTCCATAGCACGTTCAGGAAGGCATTAGTCAAAGTAGCGCTCGTTCGGCTGGTGACCGGTAGGTCTGCAGCGAGTTGAACGATACGCTCCATGAGATAGGTCTTGTCATCGATTGGCTCGCCCTCAACTCCCACGAGCGCGACATCCTTCACTGTCTTCAAGTTGCTGAGGTTAAATGCTCTGAGAACATTGATAACTCGTTTGGATCTTGTAGTCTCGTCAACCGACCCAGACCCGATGGAGTCAGCGGAGTTCTGTCGACCACCATCGTTCTTGACCAAAGAACCCGATTGATTGGTCGACCTCAGCCGAATATCACCTTTTTGAGATTCGGTGTTCTCAGGAATACAAAGCACAGTCTTGAGTTTTGAGAATGGAGACGGCATCCTGACCAAGTGCTTGCCCCGTGAAGAGCAATCAATATGAAATGGCTTGCCAGAAGAGATGGAGTCTTGAATAATACCCTGTAAAGATACGGCGCGAGAATTTCCACGTTAGTGATGGCTTGAACCTGACTTGACTCACTGCGAAGGGGAAAGCAAAGCCAGTAAACGGAGGATACTGATTCAAGACGCGTCGACAGCAGAGCAAAATGGGAAAGACCGAACCATAGCCAGCCCCTTTCTTCATACGGCTGAAATCTGGGGGGAGCCACCGCAGCAAATAGTAGGTAAATAGTCCCGTTCTTTGCTGCAGGCCATTCGACGAGGCATCAAGCCACAAACAGCCATGTCTAGAGACATGCCGCTAACCAGTGTAATTTACATAAGACCTCGGGAAGAAGAAGGGCAGCTAGTTGTGCTGGACTAGAAGCCAGCGGATAACAGGACGCGTCGCCATGTAAACTGTAGGTAAGTAACGTAGCATTGCGTTTGCATTGTGGTTGTCCCTGTGTACGGAGGCGAGGCGGATGACGGCTTCTGCCGCCATTGGCAGCTTCGTGACACGTCCAAATTATTCGTATTGCAGCTGGGCTGCGTTTCCCGTCAACACATTTTTATAAGCAAACCACTTTGCGTACTGACCATCAAGACCTTGGTTTCCTCCCAGCACTCACATCGACCACAAGTCTTCATTACCTAGGTGGAACAACTCCTAATCGAGATTCAACCCGTGCTCCCAGTTCTCAGGTCGTATCCATCAGCATGGCGTCCAAGCCTGTGACATTACAGGTGCGCCCTCGAGGTATACTTGAAGAACAGCATTACCCTTTCCAATGCTAACAAAGGTGTAGGGAAGCCCATTAAGACCCTCCCAGAGACTCTGAGCGTGGCTGGCAATACAACAACGGCCGAAGTATACTCGGAACTAGCGAAACATAGCAAATATTCTGTACACCAGCTACGCGTGACAAAAGGCTCGGATGGCACTGTCATCCCAAATGCCAAAGATACCACGGTGTATGTCACTGGGTTACGGGATCAGAGCACGATATACGTCAAGGATCTGGGAGCGCAAATTGGATGGCAAACCGTCTTCATCATTGAATACGCTGGACCGATCATAATACATCCTCTGTGGCTTGCCCTTCGGCCGTACATCTATCCTGCAGCACCTCAAACCACGTCACAAGTCCAGAAATTGCTCTGCTGGCTCGTCTGCCTACACTTCGTCAAGAGAGAGCTGGAGACGGTTTTTGTCCATCGTTTCTCGGCGGCCACCATGCCTTTCCGCAACGTTTTCAAGAACAGTTTCCATTACTGGGCTCTTTCGGGAGCTTTAATCGCCGCATTCATTTATTCTCCATCTTCTGCTGCTGCTGCTGGCCCGAACCCTGCTCTCATATATTCGGGTTTACTTCTTTACGTCGTGGGCGAGCTCGGAAACCTGCACTCTCACCTAACCCTGATGGGCCTCAGGTCGTCCGGAGGTAACGAGCGCGGAATTCCACAAGGACCTTTCTTCAGCCTTGTCACATGTCCAAACTATCTCTTCGAGACGATCTCATGGCTGGGCGTGTACCTTGTGAGCGGTCTAAGCTGGGGCGTTCTTATCTTCATCATCATAAGCGTGCTGCCAATGGCGCAATGGGCTAAAAAGAAGGAAAGGAGATATCGCAAGGAGTTCGGAGACAAGTACAAGAATAAGCGTTATACCATGTTGCCAGGCATCTGGTAAAGGCGCAGCCAGTGCAAGGAACGTGGTAGGTCAGTTTGATATCTTCAAGAACTGAAGTGCACAGCACCCTGAGTCTGTATCAAAGCACCATCTATGTTTGCAAGTGTTCGGTTCAGTAATTACCCCTTGTACATGAATAGAGCATGTGGAAACCCAGGCAGAAGGCGACCACAGCAGTGTCAGTCCAAAATAAGATAAATCTGCACCCTGTGCTCGGGTCCCCATTCAATAACCATTACAAGAATGGTTGATTGCTTGCGGTAAATAAAGTCTCTGTGAACTTCTCGTCAACATCCGAGAAATCTGGTGAACGATCTCAGTCTTGTTGTCTTGAGTAAGACCGCAGGAGGGACACCTGGAGGAGCACTAAGTGACACATCTCATCTGAAGTCACCCTTCAAACGACGTGCCTAAAGCGGAAACATCGAACGGGAAAACCGCACACTTCTCAGACGCACAATGTCAACAAGCCTCCATTCGCACACGAGTCCAGATGTCATGCGAGAATGAGCACTCTTTTCCGAGATTGAGACATCTACTTGAGAAACGATGCAGTTCGCAATACCACCGCGCAAAACGTCGCAGCCTCCCCTCCATGCACGCACCAATACCGCAGCATCCGCAGCATACGGAAGACGAAAGCAATTACAATTGCTGGGCTACGTAGTCCTCGGCCTCCTCACCTTCTATTTGACTCTCAGGTTCTGCTTATGGAGAGGGACCGAAGATGCCGAAGATGGTTCAGCCGCAATCGAGGGTCGACAGGACGTGGTGCTTGTTACTGTCTTCGACTCCAAAACTATGAGTGAGGATTACATGAAGATTGTCAAGCTGAACCGAGAAGACTATGCTGCTCGTCATGGTATGATCAATGTGCTAGCCTACAGGTACCTAGGTAGTGAAGCATGCTAAGATCCGCCAGGCTACAAAACCTTCTACACCAACGTCTCCGGTTACAGCACACTGGTTGACCCTGCGCCCTCGTCATGGACAGTCATACCAGCGCTCCGACATGCTTTAACAGACCACCGATCGAGTGACTGGTTTTGGCAACTGTCACCAGACGCCTTGATCACGAACCCTTCATTGTCGCTTGAGTCTCACATACTGCAACCCCTCGACTCACTCATGCTGAAAGACCTACCTGTCGTACCGCCAGACTCGGTGATACACACATTCTCCCACCTGAAGCCTTCTCGAACGCACCTCATCCTGTCACAAGATATGGACAACCTCGCCCATACCTCCTTTCTGCTCCGCAATACTCCTTTTACGCCTTCCACTCCAGATAACTGGGCACAGTATTTTCTTGACGCCTGGTTCGACCCGTTATACCGAGCGTACTCATTTCAGAAGGCGGAAAACCATGCCCTTGAACACATCGTGCAGTGGCACCCCACGATTCTAGCTAAGCTCGTGCTGATAGAGCAGCGACGCTTCAACTCCTACAACTATGCAACACCGCCGGTGCGCGATGGAGATGGCAACCTCCGAACACACGATAGCATGTGGCAAGAAGGAGACTTTGTTGTGAATCTGAAGGGTTGCAGAGAAAGTGACAAGCGCGACTGTGAAGAAGAATTGAGACACTACTTTGCCATGTGGGAGAAAGAGGTAGAGAAATTAGATGGCAAGAGACCAGAACACGATATCGGGCCTGCAAAACCCAAGCCGCAACCAAAAGAAGAGCAACCAAAGCCGCAACCAAAGGAAGAGCGACCAAAGCCACAACCAAAAGAAGGGCAACCACAGGCAGAGCCGGCAGCCGACGCTTAGGCACTTTTCTCTCTTCAAGGTCTTAGAAGTCTCATTCAGTTCCAAGTTACTCTAGGGACAGTACGAAGGAGGTACTTCAGCGGGCGTGATGCTTTCTTGGAAGTACGAAATCAAGTCCAGGATGCTCTAACAGACCAATTTAACGAGACTGTCATATATGCCTCCTGGTCCTAACAGGTTCTGGTCATGAGAAGTCAGGAGCTGGATCGAAGGCAGATTTCATCATAGCGAACGGCGTTCGAATTGTGCTAACAGAGATAGAAAAATAATTACCAATGTTCCATTTAGAAGATTCGTCAAACACGTTCACACAATGACTGCCCGTCATATCAGGCGTACGGAACTTGCTGGCACCTTTTTAGTATCGAGCGTTTCGTCCACATCTTTTCGTAAGATGGAGATCGGAGTGGCCGACTTGGAGCAGACGACGGAGGGTTCAAGCAAAGTCGCCTCGTTCAGCCCGCATCTTGTCGTATCTCAGGACTGCACCCAGCAGGACTTGGGCTCCAAGGGCACTATCTGCTGTCAGCAACATGGCCTGTGGTGATTGTTATGGATAACACTCACCAATCTTCCGGGCTGCAATATTCTACAGGGTTGTGGCTGATGCCATCCTTGGTTGGGGTGAAGATCATGCTCGTCGGGCATCTGCGGTTTGTATAGCAACTATCGTGCCCTGCGCCGCTGATCATGTATTTCCAAAGTTGGCCGTCATCTGCTGTCATAGGCAAGTCTCGTACCACCTCTTTGGCGCTGGCTTCGACGGCAGCGATGCAGTCGGCATGGAAATTAACAGCAGGACTGTCCACCAATTCCTTCCACTCAACCTTGCATCCCTTCTCGCTCTCTTTCTCGGCAATCCTTGAGAATGCTGCCTTGCATGCTTTTTCAATCTCGGCAAGCTTGTCATCCTGGGTGTGCCGAATGTCAAGGGTGAAGGTCACAGTATGGGCCATGGTGTTTATCGAACCGGGTAGGCCATTCAATATTCCCGTCGTCGATAGACCTCCATACTCTTTGGAGATTTTGTTGGACTCGACAATCAACTTTGCGGCGCAAAGCATCGAGTCCATTCGAGCATGGAAAGGGGTCGTTCCAGCATGTGAATCACGGCCTTTGACGGTGATTTCAAACCATTTGAAAGCCTGCACACCTACACATCATCAGCTCAGTCGATTCAATCGTTCCTGACGCCCTACCTTTGACGACACCAATTCTTCTCTTCTCAATCTCGAGAGTTGGCCCTTGTTCGATGTGCACCTCAAAGTGACATGCCATGGGGAAGGCTTTGTAGGATGCTGGCTGTTCACCCAGGTACCCGATTCGCTCGAGTTCCTGCTTCATCGTCCGCTTCTCCCCGTCCTCGCCCGACGGGGAGACCTCAGCTAGGTTCCACGCCGTCTCCAGAGGCACCGCCTCTGCCCATACCCCGGAAGAGACTGCCATCATGGGGAACCTGGCACCTTCTTCGTTGGTCCAATTCACCACACCGATGCTTCCTTCGGTCTCGACATTGTTCTCATGTAAGACTTTGAGAACCTCCAGGCCCGAGTTGACGCCCAAAATGCCGTCGTAGCGCCCACCGGTGGGTTGCGTATCCAGGTGTGATCCCATCATGATCGGAGGCGCCTTAGAGTTCTTACCGGGGCGTACAGCAAAAAGGTTGCCCATCTGGTCAACGCTAGTCGTGCAGTTCAACTTCTCGGCTGTTGCAATGAACCAGTCTCGGATTTGCTTGTCGGCGTCGTTCAAGCTCAATCTAGCCATACCAGTCTCGGTCGGATGGCTTCAACACTTCAGTCTGAGACCTTTGAGGCGAAGACTTGGGGTACGTACTCTCCATAGCGATGCGCAGCGCCGTACTTGCAGCCGGCATGTATTGCATCGAGAAGTCGTGACTGATTTACTTTCAAAGAAGAAAAGTCCTGCTTGGTGTGTGTACCGTTGATACCGTTCGTTCCGTTGACCCCGTTGGTGGCCATTGTTCTGATCTAGGTTGACTTGCCCTTAACAGACTCTCCTCAGGATTTCGGTATGACTTTGCCCAAGGCTGGAATGCAGAGAATCCTGATACGAGATGAAGAAGAAGCAAGTTCTCAAATCTCTGAACTCCCACAACAAAAGTGTCTCATCTCTGTCGCCACTATGCTTCTCCTGTGCGCCGCACGGCAGCGGATAACTGGTGGACTTGTCCGCATCTCCTGGTCAGAAACGCCCTTCTCTGGGTGGATATCAGCGCTGGGAGAAATACCGAGGTGACCGTTCGTTTCTAGGCATGAACCGCTGGAACCAGTGAGTGTTCAATGAGAGTCTCGCTAAATCGGAGCGAAACTCTGGACCCCGGATTTACTCTCTTCCAGAATGGAAGCCTTGTAAGGCTTCGTTGGCCCTCAAGGAAGTTAAGTACTCCCTTAATGGAAGTCATAATTGATGATTCACCCTTCGAAGTCTTGTTTATCATTTACATGAGTAGCGTCGATGGCTATGGTCCGCCGTCCTTGATTTGACAACTACAAGTACGAAATACTCAACGCACTTCTCATTCCACAGTTATGCCCATGGTACTTGTGTGGGAGCGTTTGCTTACCAAATCATGCATTGTTCGTCAGTCTTCAACTCCGACTCGCATCCAAGTCACATCTTACCTTAAACAGCTATGCTTTGAAGGCTGTCCAATGCAACCGGCAAGTAGCATATATTGAGGTTCAGCTTTCAGGTAACACAGAACTACGGTGTGCGTCAATCATGACATTTTCCAGGAGACTGTCAATGCCAACGCAAACGTCAAATCAGTGTCGGCCGGAAAGCCAGTGAACAAACTACTTTAAGACATCCCACAAATGTTGTTTTACCTCAGCCTTATTCTTCCATCGTTTCCTTCATCACTATTCACCTCACCTACGTCTTTCCAGCACACGTATTTACTCTTTGACTTTTTTTTCTTCTGTAGTGTCACTCTTTTGCCTTTTCCTTCTTTGCGCTTCTTCCCCTCTTCAACAAAAGGTGTTGTGGCTTTCAGGCGTTAGGTTTTTCAAAAACGTTTAGTTCGGCAACATTGCGCAGATGGTCCATGCCGCTTCTCTATACAATTGCCAATGTCCATCATGGAGCCCGACAATACCAAGCTACAGTCTGATGTCGTTGAGACCAGGCCGGAGAGTTCAACACCACCTTTGCAGATGAACCACCTTGCGGAGTCCGAAGCCGACATCTTCCACAACCACCGGCGGCTTGTTGACTGGGTGCTTGCCAACAACGGCTATTTTCACCCCCATGCGCAAATTGCGTTCAGTAAGCGCAAAGGCTTTCATGCTGTTGTCGCCGATGGACAGCAAGTTTCTGCTGGCACCCGGGTCGCTAGTTGTCCCATAACGACCACCTTATCGGTCTTGAATGCTCTTGAAATCCATCCATTCCAGAGCCATGGTACGCGTTTTCCAGAGCCCTTCCTTCGAAGCCAGAGGAAGAACCCCGAATCTCTGGCGGTTTTCTTCTTAATGGAGCAGCTTGTGCTTGGCGACAAGTCATGGTGGGCGCCCTACATTGCCACCTTGCCCACCGTCCAGGAGGTCACAGACCAGCAATTTGGTGAGGAAGATCTGATATGGCTGCAGGGCACGAATCTTCCAGGAGGAATATCTGAGCGGATATCGAAATGGAAGGAAATGTACCTGCAAGGAATTGACGAATTGAAGCATTTCCAATGGGAGAATGCCGTTAGTGGCGAGTATACATGGTAGGACTTGCGCATTAACTCGCCTGAGGATTCGCTGATTTCGAGCATAGGCCGAGGTTTCTATGGGCGGCAACCATATTTGGAAGTCGTTCTTTCACTTCCCAAGTCTTGGACGCCACTGAACCGGCAGAGCAGGCTTGTCACAATTACCGCGAGACCCACGATGGTTCTAACGAGCTTGTGAAACTGTTCTCTCAACGGTTCGCAGTTCTTCTTCCCCTGATGGACTTGTTGAATCACAAGCCGGGAGCACAGGTGGAATGGCAAGCCCTGTTCAACTTCGTCGGTCTTCAACTGTTGGAGAACTACGAGTCTGGACAAGAACTCTTTAACAACTACGGGCCTCGAGAAAACGAAGGGCTTCTATTGGCCTATGGTTTCACGGTCCCCGAAAACCCCTTTGATCATCTAGTTATCAGCATCAGAGCCCCTCCAGGCTCACCACTGGCCTCGGTACACACTTGGAAACCAGACGCCAGGTCTGATCCAGAACGCAGATGTTACATCTTCGATCATCGTCACCCTAGGTCAAAATCCGCAACATTCATCGAGACGTCCCTGTTTTCGTTTGATCTTCTGGACAACATTTCAGTGCTTTGCGCAAATGAGCGGGAACTTCAGGTGATGCTTTACAGGAAGCAGACTCTCATGAGCTATTGTCTCGGCGACAAGCCCAACGACAAGGCCAAGTTCGAAGATGGTCGGATAGTTTTGGCCACAATCAGCCAATTACTTATGGACTGCTCGGCAAGGGCATTAAGACTCAAGGCGACTGATCCTAGCCGATTTGACCCTCCTGTTCTACCTGGGAGTCTCAATCAGCAGAATGCAAAGACCTACCGAGACAGTCAGCTGAACATCGTGGAGACGGCAATAGCAGTCTGCAAGTTCGTGCTCATGTGTGCAACAAGCAACGATTCTAGGGAAGTCATCGAGAAGAAGTTGCAACGAGAATTGCCAGAATCGAGTTCCAATACTCTAAACCAACTCCTTAAACGTCACCAAAGTCAATTGACTCACTCATTCGAGCTTCTGACACCGTCGGCTGTCCTTGACATGCTTTCGAACGAGTTGTCGGCCTGTGTGCGCAATTGTGTAGCCCGCATCAAAGCCAGCTATAACACGACAGGAGCAGCGATGTCGCAAATGAACATCGACAAGATTCACCACACGGTGATTCTTGCCGCACTTTACGAGGACTACTCGCATGGTGTCCAGTTGCCACGCAGAATAACCCGGTGGTTGAAACAGTTATCAGAGTGGTACCCTATGGATTCCGAATGTTGGGCGTACGTCCCTGCGCCGGGACCTTGGGAGCCAGGTGAAGAGCCCCCTCCCGAACTCATGGATTTGCTGGCTGCTAGGGCGGCGATGTCGCCAACGTTCCCCGCCGAATCTAACTTCAAGAGGTGGCTGAAGCCGGAGAGACTCTGCTGGGGTTGGAATGTAATGGAGGAAGAAAAAGTCAGAGTCCCAGCAAGCATCTTAGGGGAGGGTGGGATGGAGAACTATGGACAAAATGATAGCAGGATATTGATCTATTGGCAAAAATACTAGTGTCAGATGGAATGAAGTAAAAATGATTTCGACTCTTTGGACTTGGTCTGTTTCTTGTTGCTCGTGACGCGGATGCTTCTCCGGGATCGCCCCTACTCCGTACAGTACATTGGCGTCCCATAAGTGGCCATACGTCGCGGCCGTCTTCTCTTCGCGACAGACGAATCTCGCTACTGGTTCAATACGGCGAATCATTAGGTCATCTGGCGGACCATACGCCCACTCAAGTGCTGGCCTGAGCTTCCCACCCAATCAGAGAAGCGGCTTTAGAAGCAAGACGACATTGAATTCCGCAGAACATCTCGTCGGTTACGCTCACATTGTGCCTTTCGTCCCCTTGGTTGGTGCCGGCAATTCACCATCGCTTCTGCTGCCTCTCGTCCAGTCTGCCATATACCTTTGCGGAAACAGCAGCAGCAGCAATAGCCGCCATGATCGTTCGGCCCGCTGCCACGAAAAGCGTGGCGAAGGCCGCAAAAACAGCAGCTTGTTCAGTTTCGAGACCTCTTGCGGCCGCCACTAGCAACTCCTCTCTCCAAACCCGCTCCTACGCCACTGTCCAGGAGGGTCAGCCTCAGCAGCGCCGATATGGCGGGCTCAAGGACCAAGACAGAATATTCACAAACCTCTACGGCCACCATGGCGCCGACCTCAAGTCGGCCATGAAGTACGGAGACTGGTACAAGACGAAGGAGATTATACTCAAGGGCCACGACTGGCTGATCAACGAGATCAAGGCTTCTGGCCTGAGAGGAAGAGGTGGTGCTGGGTTCCCTTCAGGGTTGAAATTTGTACGGCTGTATCCCATCTTGTCTCCACGGTGTGACTTTTTGTGATGGCACATTCGCTAACCCTGTAACGTCTGTAAACTACAGTCTTTTATGAACTTCAAAGGCTGGGAAGAGGACAAGCGCCCCCGGTACCTTGTCGTCAACGCCGACGAGGGAGAGCCCGGAACGTGCAAGGACCGCGAGATCATGCGAAAAGACCCCCACAAGCTCGTCGAAGGGTGTTTGGTGGTCGGGCGCGCGATGAACGCTACCGCGGCGTACATCTACATCCGAGGCGAATTCTACCATGAGGCGACAGTGCTGCAGCGGGCAATCCAAGAAGCGTACAAGGAGGGACTCATCGGCAAGAACGCCTGCGGTTCGGGCTACGACTTCGACGTTTACTTGCACCGCGGCATGGGCGCGTACGTGTGCGGCGAGGAGACGTCGCTGATTGAGTCGCTGGAGGGCAAGGCCGGGAAGCCCCGCCTGAAGCCACCCTTCCCTGCCGCCGTTGGACTGTTCGGGTGCCCTTCGACCGTGACCAACGTCGAGACGGTCGCCGTGTGCCCTACGATCGCGCGCCGCGGCGGTAAGTGGTTTGCCGGGTTCGGTCGCGAGCGGAACCAGGGCACCAAGCTCTTTTGTATCTCGGGACACGTCAACAACCCGTGCACGGTCGAGGAGGAGATGTCGATTCCGCTGCGCGAGCTGATCGAGAAGCACTGCGGCGGCGTCCGCGGCGGCTGGGACAACCTCCAGGCCATCATCCCCGGTGGCTCGTCGACGCCGATTCTGCCCAAGCACATCTGCGACGACCAGCTGATGGACTTTGACGCCCTCAAGGACAGCCAGTCCGGTCTGGGCACCGCGGCCGTCATTGTCATGGACAAGTCGGCCGACGTCGTCAGGATGATTGCTCGACTGAGCCAGTTTTACAGGCACGAGAGTTGTGGACAGTGCACGCCGTGTCGAGAGGGAAGTGCCTGGACGGCCAAGATGATGGAACGATTCGAAAAGGGCCAGGCAAAGGCTAGGGAGATTGACATGATTCAAGAACTGACGAAACAAGTCGAAGGACACAGTATCTGTGGTGAGTCTTTTTTTATCTGTCTCTTTTCGCTCGTGAGGGAAGGATCTATGCTAATCTCGTCCGTTCTTTGTGTTTTTGTGCAAATTGTACAGCCCTAGGTGAAGCGTTCGCGTGGCCCATTCAAGGTCTCATCAGACACTTCCGACCGCAACTCGAAGCCAAGATCAAAGACTACGCCGCCACCAACGGCTCCGAACCCCTGGCCGGTGGATGGGAACCTGATTCCGCAAAGAAGGGCATCTTGGTATCTCCGGGCATGTAGATTAAAGATTAAAGATTGAGATTGAGATGAGAACGAGGAAGTCCGTTTGTTTGTTTTGTTTTTGTTTTGGTTTTGGTTTTTTCTAGCTTTTACACAACCGGCAAAAAAAAATACCAGGTACGTAGTTTGTAGTGGGTGCGACTACTGCTACCACTGTGAAGCGGACCACTTACTTGACTGCTGTATTGTATTCCTGTGAGCAACAAAAGGTAGTGAACCAAAGGTGCCTCTTTTACGAGTGTGGTGGAGGTGCTCGATCTGCCCGTCGTAGCCACACAGTTAGCAAGTCTACCTGAGGTATCTACCTACCTACCCACCTCCCGGCCTATCTACATTACCCAAGTTGAGGCGGCAAAGGGCAGAGAGAGAGAGAGAGAGAGAGAGAGAGAGAGAGAGAGAGAGAGAGAGCAGGGCTACACAGCAAGCACCCGAGTTTGTCAGAGAAGGGGGACATACAATGTATCCGGCAAGGCCGCCTTAACTAGTTGGGACCGACTAACAAAGCCTAATGGTTGGCCCTGACCCTTGCTACGGCTATATAGATAGTATATCCACCATGTTACATACAGGCGGTCGAAGGTGTCGTGGCGAGAACACGGAGGAACCCCCTAACGGGTAGTGGCGTTTAGATACTCTACATGCTGTACGTTGCCCGAGGGTCTGAAGAAGTGTCCACCTTCGTTTTACGCCCTGACAAGTCATCAATTAATTAATCCAGGTCTCTACGCAGTAGCGCATGGCAGGCCAAAAATTGGGAAACGGCGAAGCGAAAGCTCTTCCCTCTTCCCTTTCGAATGATCCGGTCAAGGCTGTGTATATAACAAGACCAAGACCGTCCTTCCGCCACTGCAAACTCAACGGTTATTGAAATCGAAAGCCCAGGAAGCCAACCGGCTTTGACGACCTGGCGGGATGGAGTGAGGTCTTGGGAGTTTTCTTGGTGGTGCCGTGCTTCCCACGGGCGTTTGACAGACTGTTTTTACGTACCGCATCCTCACGCTCTCCTCTTGCTCTGCCCGCTTCGACTTCGGCCGCGTTTGATCCCTCGTACGCCCTTGGGGGTGTAGGGGCACGGTGGAAGGTACCGAGCTCTCGACTGTCTCTGCGTAATGCGTCCTCACGTTCGCCTTCGGGTCGGCGGTTTTGGACTTTGGCGAGCGCATTTGATGCCTCACGGGCTTTGGAGGTACGGCCGCGATGAAGTGCATTTTCAATGTTCTGGCGACTACCTCTGGACGAATATCCGGAATCGGGTGTTGCCTGGCGTGCAAGTTGACGAGTTGGGACGATGCTTAAGCGGCCCGCAGCCACATTATCGCGCGCACGGAGACCGCGTTCCCGCTCAGTGATGGCAGTAAACCCAGTTGCATGGCGGAAAACAACAGCCCTGGTCTCCCCATCATTGCGAATGGAGACATTAGGGCTGTTGGCTTCACTGGCAACGACAAGCTCTTGCAGGCGCGAACACCGATGTCTTTTCCGACTGTTGCATTCCTCAAACAGTGTGGCTGGGCAATGCCAGTTGTAGTCGCGTGTGAGCCTCTGCAGGGTTTTGCTGCCGCCATTGCGATGCTCTGCAAGGTTAATGAGACTAGAATTGCAGGAATTAGCGCACTGCATGAGACCGAAGGTCATTTAGATCCCGGAAAAAACACCCAGGACGACGATATCTATTGCCGACCGGTGATGTACTTACCAAGGAAGCGATATTGCCAGCAGGTCATAACCTTTGGGTATCTCCCGCCAGATACCTCTGCCACATGGACCTGAGAATGCCGATGTATCCTTTGGGACGATGGGGTCATCAAGACCTTCGTAAAAAAAGACGAGTTGAACCTCGTCCAAGAGAGGCGCCCAGCCGGATGGAGCACGCCCATCCAGCTTGTGTTGCTTCATCCGTAACTGTGGTTTCATGCGAGCTATATCAGCAAGCTCGAAACCAATAATCTGCTTAGCTCAAGTGTCACATGGTTAGCAAAGTCGAAATAGTTGTGAAATGCCGGATGATTGAGTTCCACCTGGAGATACCAGCTCTTCTGGATTAGTCCGAAAAAGTACTTACTCGTTCTCTGGTCTGAAAGACGAATCTTTTAGCCCTGCAGCACTCACGCTTAGCAAGCTCCATGGCTGCCAGCACATCGCGGACGTAGTCTTCGACGGTAAACTTCCCCTCCTCCTCACTCAGCAGCTCATTCGGAGCAGCTTTCTTAAGTGGTCGGCGGTAACAGGCCCTCAAGCAGTCGAAGGCCGCTTGACCACCATTACCATGACGCTCACAGGGGGGTATCTCGTAGTTTAGACACTTTTGTAGCTCCGCCCTGGTTCTCGCTAGATGAAGCAAAACACTCACAAAGGACACCATCCAGCCTCGTTTCTCGGACGGCGAGTACAGCACGACCGGTGAGTTTATCATCCGATGTAGGTCGGCTTCAAAATGAGCCATGTATTGATTCTTGCGGCTGCGTGCGACTTTGTAGGTCCTGCTCCAGGTCAATGTGAGCACTTTGGGTAAGCTGAACGTGCCTCCAAAAGCCGAACCGTCGAAGACTGTCTCTCGTTCCAGTTCACCTGCTTTGGACCAGTCCACCGTCGCGCGCTCGCTGCCAAGGGTTCCAAGAGTTATATGCGGATCTGACCAAAGACCTAGGAAATGTCTAGGTTGGTCGCGCAAGGAATCCAGATCATCTACCAACAATCTGTTCCTCGTGATCTGGAAGGGGAGCTCCCGAGATGCCAGGCCCTCAGGGTAAGGTTGGAAGTGCCATTGTACGCAGCCCAAGTGCTGACGGACAGGATACACAAGTGAATGCTGATACATGTGACAAGGGTTAGCGCCGAGTTGGAAGTTCTCTTAACCAAACGCAGTCCTCGGCAGTAACTTTTGCCTGATCAAAGATATACTGCGATCGCGCAAGTCGTACGTGAATGAGACATACCTTGCCATAGAGTATGACACCACCAGCCTCAACGACTTCGTACTGCAAGCCGGCCAGAAAACATAGAAGTTCAAATGATATCTCCAGGCCGTCCACGTCCCATGGTCTTTCTTGCGTCCAAAAATCTACTGCGGAGACAGTATTAGGAACCAGTTCAGTCCAGCAGGCTTGGGTATGAGGGACAATCAGAGGCTCCAGGTAGTGAAGAGTTAACTCGTATCTGCTTGAACCAATACGTCTTTTCTCCCGCTTTTTCCAACGGGCCACGGCAGCCAGTAGTTTCGAATCGCGGTCGCGTCCAGTGACCTGCTGGAGAACGGAGAAAAGCCATGTCAAGGCCTCGGCCATGTCAGCTTGGGGCGCAGCAACGCCATCAAAGGTTACGGAAAAGTCCAATCCTTCCCGATCCGGCGACTTCCGATATGTGGATATAGTCAAGTCGCTCGAGGGATGAGCGGTGATCCGTTGTTCAAGTTGAACATGTCGCACGTTTCTTTCGAGGAGAGTAAACAGCTCTTGTATCGCCCCTACAGAATCTGGCCAAGTTGCCGTAACATATTCGCCACAGGTAGTAATCCAGGGTTTCTGTTCACCAGTTAGAACAACCAAGTCCCAGAAGTGATCACCGTCCTCCATCTCAGACGTCAAGAAGTCGCCAAACACGTCATTCATATATAAAGCACATTTGAGAGGCTTATTCCGGTCTTGACCCTGTTCCTGAGCGAAACATCGACGAAAGTCGGGATCCCCGGGCTGTACTGGGCCATCCGGTCTGTGTATTATGTTCCGCTCTGCGATATCGATGTCTTTCGGACGTCGTGGTACGATGATTTCTGGATGCCGCGGTGAGGTACGCTCCAAGTCCAGGCTGGGAGACTCAGGCTGTTGCCCTGGGCCAGGGGTTGTCAAGAAACTGTCCTTGACAACAGGCGAGCTGCGATGCTCTGTGCTTTTCGATCTTTTCGACCTGCGCCCGCTGTTTTCGCGTGCAATAGTATGTCGTGTGACCAATGTGCTCGATCTGTCGCTGATAGAGCCACTAGGACTTTCCTGTCGCTGAAATTCAACTTCGGGGGGAGCAAAGTGGAAAGGGGGACGCGGGAGGCCCTTGTCATCCCTGACGCTTGTGTTCCCCTCCTGCCCCTCCGTAGACCACTTGTCTCCATCACTTTCCTCGACCTCTCTGTTGGCCCGGTAAGCATAGTCTTCGGACTCGTCGTCGCTCACCACCGTTGGCTGTTCGCGCGACAGCTTCTCGCTCCTTGTGCGTTGAGGTGCCTCTAATTCTATCGAGGCAGGTTCTGAAGCATCCGGCTCGACACCTGCGACCTGGAGATTATCGTGATGTTCGCTTTTTTGAATCTCTTCAAAGTCAGGGTGACCATCGTTCTCGTCATCAATGAAGAGTTTTACGCTTCCATGCCGAGATGTTATGGATTCTGTGTCACTGCTATCCATGACATTTTCGAACGAGGCAAGGGATGTTCAGCAGGAAAGGAGGAAGATCCCTCTAGGCAGATATGGCGGCGCTGATGACAAAGCCTTACTTTCTCAATTGGTATCAAAGGTAGAATAACCTGGCGATGCAGCTTACTCCTGGTAGACGCAGTTCGAGTCGAGGATTGTATTTCAGTGCAGCCGACAATTTCTAAGCGATATCTTCCCTTGAGGTTGTTCAGCAGGGCCACGAGGCAGTGGAGACTGCGGCCGGTACATTCTTCGGCCTCCCTCACACTGTCTGCTGGGTAAGTGGTGGCTAGCTGGTCTCGTACGCGATCGGGATAAAGCTAGGGCAGCACCACCGTTGGCCCGACCGGTGTCCAGCTTGCAGATTTCCTTGACTTTGGCGGCAAATGGGAGCAATGATCAATCGTCCAAAAGAGCCACAGCGCTTACGGTGCGTCGTTGATTGGTACAAACAATCATCCACGCTCAAGATGCTTTTGATCATTCCCTGCGCGGCCAGATACTGGACCAACGTCTCCGAGGGCTTTCGATTCCGCTCGAGCCTCGCATGGCCGGTATCCAACTTATGTCGACATAGCTGATCGCAAGTCCGCGACATTGCACTTCGCCGAGCGTCAGCGGGGCCATGCGGTCGTAGAGGCCGCTGACAAAGATCAGTGGGATGGAGGTCATGTTGTGCCTGACCTCTGTTTACTCTCGGTGCAATTTCGTCGCTCGTCCAAAGAAGGTCGATATGGGATGTTCTTGAGTCCCTGGCTTGGTGACGGGACCTTTTGCCGATGTTGTTCTCGATTCGATGCTCTTTAGATACCAGCGCTAGGACTAATGAGTCGACTAACGAAAGTTGCTATGGTACAAGTTGGCTGTACTGATACTGTAGGCTTAGCTGAAATGAATTAGGGGGGTTTAGCTGGGTAACTATCGCCGAGGCCCAAAGGGGAATAGGCAACCGGTAGCGCTCCCTGTGGCTCCCTCGTGCTCGACCGGGCCTCCTCGATGCTCGCTCACGTGCGCCATTAAAGCGGCCTCGCTCCCTTACCTGAACGAAAAAGGGAAGGGATAAAGCAACAGTTCGGGGCATACATAATGGATATGTCCAGTATATTACTCCGTACCTAACGCTAGATCACGGGATAGTACTCCGTACTGTAGGTACTACTACGAGTCCTTGATACTCACACTCGTACTAGAACAGTAACCTTTATTCGTTGCTTAACACTCACCCTCGTGGCACTTGTACCATTTCTCAAGAGATATTCATGACGCGATCATAGGCATTTACCCAACTATGTATCAATTGGACACAAGAATTTGTTTACTGTATGTATTAATCTAGAATGATGATCGTGATTGATGATGACGGGTTGACTTGTCCAGCCAGATACAGCATCTCCCAAGCAAGACAGCCAGCATTCATTCGTTTGTTCATTCCATTCAATCGAAGCTCACTCTGTCTCTGTCTCTCTCATGCTGCTGCAACGGCAAGTTGTCTAATCCAATCTCCGGGACTTTGACCTACATCCAAATCGCCTGCTTTCTCATCTTTTCCTTTCACCAGATTCTCCTGATCATCTGCCACGGCCCTGCTAGTCACATCCTTCCCTAGATTGCTAGAGTTCTTCTCCATGCCCGTTGCGCCGGCTTTTTTCGGCCGTTTGCTTTCTTCTTTCCTCTCTTTCAACTTGCCCGCTATTCTAGCTAGCTTCTCCTTCTCCAGCTGAATCGTTCGTTGACGCTCAACCAATTCGCGGTGCAATCTCTCTCGCTTCTCTTTACCGGTACGTCCGACACGCTTGACTTCAGCGCCATCATCAACAGCTTCACATTTCAGAACCATGAAGCTGACGCCGTCGTGAGGTGCCTTACTTCCTGGCGACGAGCCGTCTGTCCCTTGTTGCTCTTCTGGCCAACTTCGTGACCTGACGCCAAACCGCGCACTGCCCGCATATCTCTCCAGCTGGGGTAAAACCACTAGTGTAATGTGCAAGTCTTTATTTTCATCCACTGCCTTTGGCTTGTCGGGTGCAGGGCTGCCTTCGATCGTGGGATTCTGTTCTTCTATAACTTTCTCCAGCAGGGCCTCGTCAATCCCGGGCGGATGTACTGCGCGGATAAATCCAGAATGGATCGCGGCCGCCACTGGGTCAGAGTCATCCGTGTAGATGCCCGAGCCCCACAGGTAACGCTCTGCACAGATGAGGCCTCGTTCGCGCTCTCGTAACCAGACCCGCGGCACTCGAATAGTATATGTGCAGTTGATCTGTTCGGCTTCATTGAACACCGGAAGCAGATTGGGTCGTATCGAAATATCAAACTTTGGAGAACTGGGCTTATTGATGTCGACTGAAGTCACCTCAGGGTCATATTTGTAAAAACCAAGGTGCCGCCGTTTGTTCCGTCCGGCGATGGCAACCACATTCGAGATCCTGATGATCCTCTTCGGTCTGAATAGTGAAGCATGATCTGTCGCCGAGGACTGTCTTTGTAGCGCACTCAAAGAGGGATGAGATGTCGGTGTGCCTGTGCGACGGATCGTACCAAGAGCATTTTTTCGCGCAGTCTCCTCGAGGTCCAACTTGTACGAGTGTTGATATTTACTCCTCTTGCCTCTAGTAGGCGCCGCTTTCTTCATTTCGCCGGTGTCGCTCTCAGCCCTTGCGTCTTCGTCAAAAGTCTTGCGACTTCGCTTGCCCATTCCCGATGCGCTACGAGACATCTTCATCAGGTTTTCCTCGCTCAGCCGAGCGTTGGCGTCGTTTTGTTTGAATGGACTGGCGGGAAGAGGTTGTGGGGTGGGCGTTGGATTGGCCGATGTCGTACCGAGTCCGCTGCCAATCCCAGAGAAGACTCGGCCATGCTCGCTCTTGATACCTGCATCTGGTACCGGAGTTTGTGCTTGAGCTCCTTGCACAGCCTGAGGGAGAGGAGAGTATCTACCGCGTTTGGACTCGCTGGATAAACCAAGGATCGCTCTGTGCTGCGATAGTTCATCGCTGCCCTTGCGCACCTGATCATCTATTGCGCCTGATTGTGAGGCAACGGAACCAGCGAAGGGGGAATAGGGTCGATTGCGGAGGCGATCTCCAAGCACTGATCGATCACTTTGCGATTGAACCGAGTCTTGTCGCGCCATGGCATGGGCGCCGTAACTGGGCTCGACTGCTGTGCCATAAGGACTTTGGTAGGGCCGAGTATCATTGCCATTTTGCTGCGGCCGTCGTAATTCTGGCGATTGAGATTGTTTGTAAGGCCGCTCGATGGGTGCTGAAGTTGGCTGTGAAGGAGGCCCAGCATGGACAGGTCTTGAAAGGTTTGCTGATTGTTGATGGCTGTAACCATACGATCCGCTATAGCCATTCTGACGTGGAGGGTCGATACCACTTACGGATGGATGACTGGATCGGTCCAAATGCACCAATGATGGAGGAATGCTCTCTGGGCGGGTCGGAGGCGGAGGGACCACGGATAAAGAGGTGGTCATACTCGGTTGTGGCTGACTCTCTGGCCTCTGCAAGATGCCACTAATGCTCGTACGGCGACTATGCTCGTCAATCTCATCTCTTGGAGGCATTGAAGCACCAAAGGAAGGGGATGGGTATGTATTTGTGGATGGTCCATTGCGAGGCTGAGTTTCGTAGAACGGGCCCGGTCCTTGGGTCATGGTACCTGAACTCGAGCGGTGCGGTCTGGCGCCGGTTGCTGTGTTCCCGAACCGGTCTGGAGTTTTCGACCTTGGCTTATACGTATATTCACCCAAGTTCGGCTTTGAAGAATATTGGGGCGGCGACATAACAGCACCTAGTGACATGGATGGGCCCGAACCTGATGGCTGTCTCGAAGATGTGCTGGATGCCTGGCTATGGTGGTGATGATATTGGTCATGGGCAGGTTTTTCAGGTTCCCCACCCAGCATCGACGATATCGACATACTACTTCCCGGCCTCTTATATGATGGCGGAGGGCCATTGTTCACAGTTGGTCCAGAAGAAGGATGTGGGAGAGGAGGTTGAGGAAATCTCTGGGAAGGAAACTGCTGCTGTGGTGAGGGCGGTAGCATCGACCGCGACTGTGGCCCGTACATTGATGACTGGTTATGTGCTTCGGAGTAGCCTGTGGAAGACGAGGTCAGCAAGTCGCAACCACGTTGTATACGGACCGAAAGCGAAGAAGTAGACGAGAAGTGTTCGCATCGCAGTTCTTGGAATTGCGCATGCTCCCGTCTTTGTCGAAACAATCTGGTACGCAAGGGTGTTCCGTAAGATAATTACACATACCGTTATACGATCGCGGTGGACTATTCGGAGCGTTGTACGTAGGAGAATGGCCAGGCATCGCCATAGAGGCCGGTGCTGGATGTTGAAGATGCGCAGGCTGATGGAAAGAAGGATGGTAGGTGTGAGTGTGATCAACGGGGGGATGATGTGGAGGCTGCTGCGGGAAGTATTGAGTGGACCCTGTGGGAGGAAAATTCCGAGGTTAGCTCGTACTGTTTGGCTCTCGTCGAAGCGACACAAGGAGGGTGGTCAATGGTCATGGATGCAGACAAGGAGAGAAGAGCAAATGCTGTGTCAGGACCGAGTGACAGTAGAGTAGACGAGGATGGAGAAATGCGGACAGTGGACAGTGGACAGTGTGGACAATACGGATAATGAGCAGTGGATGCGAATCGGACAGGATGTCGATGCTTGTACGGGTAAGTTCTCGCGGCAGCAATAATAATAGCGTTCCCTCTCGTTGGTGTAGGGTGGTGTAGGAGACCTGTACTGGTACCACAACGGGTCGCTGTGTAGAGGAGAGTTTGGGCAGACAGGGGGGACTGTGTGGTGGCTGCTCGTGCTCGCACAGATACGAGTAGATGGATGCTCGCAAAGGCGCAGGGCAGCGCAGATGGTGCAGCTGTCCGGGGAGGCCAACAACAAGTGTCAAGCAGGAACAAGCAGCAGCCGCGCAGCAGCATGACACGCAGTGCTGGCTTCGGCTACAGGGGCCTCGGGGGAGTCTCCGCTAGCCCACTAGCCGGTGCCTAAACCGGCCTAGACGCGTCCCAAGGTTCTCTAGGAGTCTCGGTGGCTGGCTCCAACAACACCACCCAGGCACTTGGTGGACTTCTAGCGTTTTCGGGAACCAGCATCCAAAAGACCCCATCAAGGCGAGCCCCATCCTGATGGTTTTGCTTTTGTGACAGCCGATGAAGCTGATCTCGGGGCTCAGACATTCCCAGAACTTGTTGCTGCCTCGCCGCCTTCTCTTCGCTCGATCGCCATCGCTGTCAGCGGCTTCTTGCCGCATCTGATGCTGGGTTCGGGTTCGGGTTCTGGTTCGAGTTCGTGGTTTCTTGCAGCGGCCCAAAATGACCAGGGTCTCGTTGATCTCAGACGCCCCCTAGAGATGACGTCGATCCGCCTAATCCCCTGCTCATTGGCCCTGATGGCGGCCCGTTTTTGGAATGGTGTTCACAGCCATTTGTTTGTGCGTTTTAGCTGCTGCTGCTGCTGCACGCTGGCAAGAGTCCAACAAGTCCAGGTCCTTCAGGTCGCCCCAATGGTTGGCTGCCTTGTCGTTCTTCACCCTTCTGATGGGTTTGTTGTCACCGTCTTTGGCCGCCTTTGTAGGTGGTATGACCATGTGCAGCTGCGCCAATGCATGCTGACAATACCAGGACATCAACGCATCGGGCATTTGAGAGGTGAGGCACGTTATTCTCCGAGGCGGAAAAAAGACAGGAAAACAAGGAGTACACAAAACATCATGAACGGTGCGCAGGCGCAGAACAGTGATTGAACGGCGGCTCAGAACCCATTTCTGGACTCACTATACGTACCATGTGCAGAGTGTCCAGCTTCTCCCCACGAATACTGGCCTTCGCCGTGCCATGTTCCATAGTGTTCATATCGCGGTTGTACGTGGTATGGACCAGTTACTCCCTCAGCATGCGTGGCTCCAGGCCCTCCTCTTGCAGGATGCAGTGGTCGCTGGTCGTCAGAGACTCGCTGTCGGCGTTGTTTGGACTTCATGACCGTGTCCCGTATACAAGGCTCGGGTGTTCGCTAGGTCCGAGAGGATGGGCTCTTCGCAAGCAATTGTTTGAATATGTTCGATAATGTTTCTGCCGTAACCTAGTCATTTGAATAGCTTTAAGTATAAGGACAGTATATTGCTTCAACCTGTCCCAGGTCAGTGACCGTGAATAGTGAGTGCACGTGCTGCTCCTACTGAAGCCTGGATTGATCCTCACTCTATCCGAGGGCGCGGGCCAAACATGTTCGCTTGATTCGCGGGTCGCTTAACGATGGTCGGGTCGGAAAAACCTTGGGTTCAGGGGTCCCCGGGTCCTGGAACAGTAAGCAGTGAATTTGTTCGGCAGGGAGAAAAGCAAAGATAGTGCAATCTACAACACAGACAAATGACTCGAAAATCTCGAAAAATCAACATGAAAGGTACGACGGACACACTGGTGGATGCTTCTCTGCGGCCCCGTTGGTGGCCCTGGCTGGTTGCCATACATAGCTAGGTACTCAATTACCTTCCCAGGTCCAGGCGATAAAATAATGGGTATCTCTATACGGACGGTGATACGGATACCTGTCAAGGCTTCTGCATGCTGCGCGCTAAGAGGCTCCAAACCTTGTCACCCTGTATGACTGGCCTTGATTGCGCCGGTATTGATGCAATATTGACCTGGACTGACTACGGAATCCATGTCTGTATAGATCCTGCCATGGTACAGGGTCTCTACGAAGATCACCTTTGCTGCTTCCCAAGTCCTGACTGGACCCCAGCGTTTCTTTGTTTTCAGACATTGTGGCACCGTCGCGTCCTTTTCATCGCCTACTATTGTCCTTAGCCTGCGGTCAATCCCGCCGCTGGTCGATTGACACCTGTCATCCGTCATAGACTGAGGGCGGCCTACAGCCACCATTTCCGCCGAACACACCTTCAGTCGCTTTCATGATGATTTCATGCTTCGTTCTAACTTTTGCATCCCCTGTCGAGCCGACCCATCACTGCTCAATGACGGAGTCGGTGTGTACCTACAGTACAGTAGATTCATGACCGAAAGGTCGCCTCAATTTCAAGAGCATCGCTGCCGCCTGTGATGGTAAAAATACTGATACAAACATCTCACTATCTAATCACAATTTCTTGCAGTAATCCCTGCCATGACGAACTTGCCAGTTGCAAAGCCAAACCTCAAACCCCATGCTAATGAAACCAGCAATACAAATCCCCCCAGAGTCACTCACAGTCGTTGCCGATAGTGAAAACTCCCTTTCCTCCTTCGGAACGTTGTCACTGATTTCGGCAAATGTGTTGACATAGACCAGCCCTCCCAACAACCCTTCCCAGAATATGATGGCAAAGACGACATAGACGTTTGGGACGAAGTTGAAGATTGCATGCAATGCCAAGAACACCAGGTTGGCAACCTGCAAGAAAGAAGGTAGATAGAGATTGTGGATGCGTAGGAAAGGTGTAGATGATCTTGAGATGAAGACCCCGGCTTGATAGATCGCGTTGTATGTTGGATAGAATGCCCGGTAGTGTTTGAAAGGTGATTCTGGGAGTGGGAATAGTAGTGTTGGTGCTACGCCTTGATTGATCGTGTACTCGGCCACATAAACAAGAAGGAGGGGTAGCATGTAGGGTAAGAATAGCGACCTGGCCCTTCTCAGATTGCGTTGGAACGTAGTCCAGCCTGGAGCTTTTGCACGCCGCGGGAACATGGCCGACGTCGAGCCATCTGGGGGTGAAAGTAAGCCTTGTCGTTGCTCCTGTTCAATCTCTTCATTCTGCTGTCCCACAGGTTCATCGGCTGCGTGTCTCTTTCCATGTCGTCGGAGCGGTCCAGGAGGAAGTATTAAAAAGAAGCTGATCAACATCACGATTGGGAGGCAAGCAGAGGCCAGAAGGGTTGTCCGGACGCTTAGACCCCAAGACGTAGTTGCAAGCGCATACAGCCCTGCTCCGATGAGACCAGCACCTCCTGTTCCACTGCCCCAAGCAGCGAGACTGAATGGCCCGTAATAATGGACCAGCCCAAGGAAGGTCAGTTCTCCAGCGCCACTGCTGAGAGAAGCGAGTACGACCCCTGCCATTTTGGTTGCTATTGTCCCTCCATCAGTGTATGCCGGGGTGAGGGCGATAAGGAGCATGCCGACGGCCGACAACAGAACGAAGATGATGATTCGGACCGAGTACGGTATCGCTTGGATAAAGTAGGGCGCGCATAGTTTGGTGAAGAAGGAGGGAATGACATCTGCGAGGAGGACAACGCCTTTGGGTACATTTGGTCCGACCAGATCGAGGGCTGCGGAGAGAATGATCACGTAGAGGACATTGTTGATTAAGCCTGTCCGATCTCTTAGCAGCTGCTGGAAGAATTCCGACGACATTGACAGGGCGATAATGCACTGCACTTACCGAATAGCCAAAAGGCCACACAGACCCGTGGATCAGCACCAGAGAATAACAGCCTCAGCCTCTCACGAAACAAGGCCCAAGACGAAGCCGGAGAACCTGGTAGGGGCAAAGTCATTTTTACAGACAACGAGGAGGCCTACCTCGTCCTTGATGGAAGCGCCACGCAAATCATGGTCGTGATGTGTATAGAGGAACGAAAGAACGGGTGTCACACGAGACTATCATGAATTCAGAGAAACAACATCCGCCGGGTTACGTATGGACTGTTATCTTTGATGACATCGCTGGCTGTGTCAATACCTACAAGGCGCCGCTTTTACAAGCACCCTATGAACATTTTTAGGTATGATTGTGTTTGATCTTAGGTACGACTACATACTCTACATAACCTTCTGATCTTTTCGTCGTTGTTCTGCTGCCATGTCCATAAAGACAAACGACTCGGCCATAGCTCGCCTTCCCGATGCAGCCATCCTAGAACACTAGGTATCTTTTTGCTTTGGCGAGCGTGCTACAGATGTTCCGATATTGATCCTCACTACGCGGCTGAGAGGACTCGCACAAAAGCAAGCACCCGCTGATCTTCTGGTGTCTCATGTCGCGTACGGAGTACAATGCCCGCGATATTGGGCCGTCAATCTATGCTTTCTAAGGTCCGAGCATGGGCACAGAAGGATGGTCCACGTCCTCCCCGATGGCACTAAGGAGAGATGCTCAACAACCGGACTAATTGGCCGTCGGCGACATTACACTCTAGCAAAATCAGGTGAGTGGTCAGGTGGAACTCTTTGCGGTTCACAGTTCGCCATCCACAGTACGAATTGCCTGTGATTGTCCTTCCCTTACTGGAGCTGCCGAATGGCAACCACTATAACACCTCCTGGGTAGATCATCGAGAACCCAACTTCAGCCAACCACTCCTGTCGCAAAGACAACTTTCTCCTATCACGGCTCGCCGATTTAGCCCTCCCTTTCCAGTCAACAGCCCAACCTTTTCATATTGGCAGTCCCAGCCTCATCCAACGATTTCAAACCTTTCAAGGTACGTTGATATATCGAGCTCGCTGGAGATGGCATCTGATTGATGCCAAGCAAACTGTTTTTGACCAATGCCGACACGGTAATAATTGGATCAGGGATATCTGGCGCCCTGATAGCAGACAATCTGCTTATCCGTGATCATGGGGAAGGCAAGAAACGTCTTGTCATACTGGAAGCCCGTACCGTCGCGAGTGGAGCGACAGGGAGGAATGGTAAACATGCCTCAGCCCAAATGATGGCGATGATGCTGATCGGATCAAGGCGGTCATATAAAACCAGACTGTATTCGAGGATTCGCAGACTATGAGCAGATGTGGGACACGGAAACGGCTCGAAAGCAGTGTGAATTCGAGCGGGCGAATCAAGAGAAGCTCTCCGCATTCATCAAGGACCAAGGCCTGGCCGATGTCGCTGAGCTGGTGGATTATCGGGCCGCGGACTGCTGCATGACAAAGGCAACTTGGGCAAAAGAGTTCGCACCGTATCAGAGTTTCTCAAAGGTTTGGCGGAAACGTTAATGATATCAACATCCTGGATGCCGACGAGGCCCGTAAGGTGAGCTTAACGGTTCCAAGACAGAGGCATTCTAAACCAGACAGGTACTGCGAGTCGATTGTGCAGGGGCTATTACATACCCAGCCTGCAGTCTGTGGCCCTACAAATTAGTCATTGCGTTGATTGAACGCTGTCTTCAGCATGGCTTGTTCTTGTACAGCAACACTCCGGCGCTGGAAATCACGCCGTCTTCGAAACCAAAGTGGAAAATCAAGACGAGCAAGGGTTACATCGTCTGCGATCGAATCATCCATGCCACAAACGGATATGCGACCTTCCTGATGCCTGAGCTCTCAGAAAAGCTTGTGCCACTCCAAGGTCACGCTGTCGCGACCGACCCCAGCTCAGATTACTCGGAGACTCCACTCAGTCACTCCTACGCCTTTCACTGGGGCGAGGACTTCCACTATCTCATCCAACGGCCGAGTGACGGCAAACCCCTGATATATGGTGGTGGAGACACCGCTCACCCCGACGGGCCCTGGCTGCTCACCAAGATGTCGACAAGATTGCCTTCACTGGAAGCACCAACACAGCGACACAGCGAAGCAAATCATGAGAACGGCCAGCGTCAACCTCAAGAACGTCACGCTTGAAACGGGTGGAAAGTCACCTATCCTCATCTTCGATGATGCCGACCTAGAACAAGCGACAAAGTGGGCCCATATTGGTATTATGGCCAACCAAGGCCAGGTCTGTACCGCTACAAGCAGAATCCTTGTCCAGAAAGGGCCACTATACGACAAGTTTATCGCCCAGTTCAAGAAGGTCATTTCAGAAACGAGTATCATAGGCGATCCGTTTTCCGAAGGCACTTTCAGGGTGCGCAGGTGTCCCAGGCGCAACACGACAGAGTCCTCAACTTGATTCAATCAGGGAAAGACCAAGGAGCTAAGGTCGCTCATGGCGGATCAGCTCACACCTGCCAAAAAACCGGAGGGAAGGGATATTTCATCGAGCACGCCGTCTTCACCAATGTCGAGCCTTGGATGGATATCTATCGAGAAGAGATATTTGGCCCAGTAGCGGTTGTCGTCCTCTTTGAAACCGAGGAGGACGCGGTCGAGCTCGCCAACAATCACATCTACGGCCTCGGAAGCGCAATCTTCACTCGCGATGTCGAGCGAGCTCATCGTGTGGCGGAACAGATCGAATCGGGCATGGTTTGGATCAATAGCAGTCAAGACAGCGACGTCACAGTTCCGTTTGGAGGAGTGAAACAGAGCTGTATTGGCAGAGAGCTTGGTGAAGCAGCACTGGAAGCATACACCCAAGTCAGAGCGGTGCATCTGAACATGGGGTTGAAGCTGTAATCATGTTTTCTGGACCTTTTTTGCGTCTGGGCGGACAGCAGGAGCACCGCGGCAGTAGCTACAAGAGATTAGATAAGTAGTACCTGATGGATGGATAGATTGCTAGCTTGCTGGTTGAGAAGTGGTTGTGAGTCTGCACCTATAAAAAAGACCTAAGTTAGTTCTAGGGAGTGGGTTAGCTACCAAGTACCTGAGTTAGGAGCATTGTAGAGGTGGTTCCTTAGTGAGTGAGCCCGGGGGATCGGCACGCCTTTACCCGTCCGGGACTAAAACAGCCAGGGCGTTCACCTACAGTAAGTAAGCAAGGCTAATAAGTTAACTAACTAGTATGGCCGCATCGTGCCTGGTAAAATGACAATGGTTCTCCCTCCCGTCGCTTCCACTTTAATCAACGCACGTCTGATCATCCATTGTTCCTCGCCCGTCAAGATCGCTAGCGTCTCGACCTCTGAAACTAAGAATGCCGACGCTTGCTCAACACACACCGCAATGTCTTCGCTGTTGGGATTCGGAGATACAAGGTACTCGACTGATGAGAACAAGCTCCAGGATGCTCTTGAGTCGCTGAAAGCTTACCTGGCATCTGAGGGTGTGCCGGGGATATACCGACCTTCAAGGCCCTACTTGATCTGGGATCGAGGAATCATGTGGACCTGTGCGTAGAGACGTTTGTCCCGGGTCCCCCTTACGCCGCTGTTCTTCTTCTTATGGATGTCTAGGTATGGGTACTTGCGGCGCCGTCTGGCTTCTCTGGCAGATTGCCTTAAAGTCCGGCAGGCTGCCGTTGATTCCAATACGATATCAGGAGACTCAAACAAAGACGCGTTTACGGGAATGGCTGACGACCAATTTCACATGCAAGACTGAAGATGTCCGACGAGGCCGATGGTGGACCATGGTTCTAGCCGCCTTCAGCCACATCGACTTCGCTCATCTGGTTTCGAACTTGTCCGCATTCTCGTCGTTTTCAAAATATCTGATGTTCGTGGGCATTGCGCCTCACAGGTTCGTCGCACTCATCCTGGGTTCTGCGTTGAGTGGTAGTTTGGCCGCAACGTATCACCAGGCTTTGATGGAGAAGCAGGAGCACGTCCAACGCAGAAGCCTCGGAATGTCGGCGGTGTGTATGGGATTGATCGCGGCTGTTGCCGTCCTGTCTCCCAATGCGACTATGTCGCCGATGAACCTTGGACGGATGCCCGCCTGGATGGCGGCATTTTCCTACGTGCTATTCGATACATATATGATTGGCAGCCCAACTTCGATGACCGGACACCCCGCTCACGTTGGAGGTGCCATCTTTGGAGCAGCGTACTCTTGTATCGCCCTTCGAGGAAGACTACCCCTGGCAGAATGGTTGTGGAAGTGAAGAGATGGTCCACCTTGCAGACCGAGGGTGCAGACCGAGGGTGAATATCTCGCATCTTTGGAATGTCTCGTTCCATGTCGTATTGACTGGATATTGGCCGTCGACTCGACAAGATGGCGACGTGGCATCATCTAGGACATTCTACTCGAACCAGGCTGAGACGTCCGACTTATCAAAGTCTCCAGCTGTCAAGATGATGCAAGGCATCGGTTCGACTACTGATTTGGGCTGAGGGACCATCGTCTTCTTATCCCCACAAGCCGCAACAACCAATGATATCAAGATGAAGCCGACGATGGATTACATCAATTATTAATAAACACCCAGCAGATCAACCTGTATTCGAATACCAACCAAGCAGGCATAAAATTTCTCAATCTGCGTTCGAATACCTTATTAATTGATAAGACACCAAGCAGGTATAAAAGTTATGCATCGTGTTCGAATGCTTTAATTGACGAACAAGCAGACTATAAAAGTCGTGCAAGCGTGCTCGAGCTTCTTCTCGATACTCTAGCATCATATCCTGTTCGTGCCATATTTTAACACACTCTGGGCTCTCCACAAGACCGCAAAGATGTCGACATCCGGCAAGAATGTTTTCCTGATTGGTCCCGGGTTTGTAAGTGTTCCTGTACCTTCCTCAGATACCTACCTACATACCAATAGCCTCGTTTTTCCACCTCGACTTGCCACTTAAAACGCTAATCACATCGCTCAGATTGGCCGAAATGTCGTTGATATACTTCTTTCGGAAGAGTACACAGTCACAACGCTAGTGCGACGCGAATCCTACGGGGCCGAGCTCCAAAAAGACGGCATCAACACAATCCTCGGCACCCTCGAGGACAGTGATACGATCACCGCGCAGACCGTCGCCAGCGACATTGTCATCCACACCGCAACGGCCGACCATCTACCGTCGGTCGAAGCGGTGCTCAAGGGGGTGCGAGCGCGAGCAGACCAAAACAAGCAGACCATCTTCATCCACACCAGCGGCACCAGCTTGCTCGGTGACGACTCCAAGGGCCAGTACAAGGGCGACAAGGTCTTTTCGGACGACGCGCCGCAGGACATTGACGCACTTCCGGACACGGCGGCGCACCGCGAGATCGACCTTGCCATCCTCAAGGCGCGCAACGACCTCGGCGCAAAAGCCAAACTCGTCATCATGATCCCGCCGCTAATCTACGGGGTGAACGAAAAGTACAAGCGCCTCAGCATCCAACTCCCCACGCTGACCCGCTTCGCTCTGAAACACGGCTACGCGGGCCAAGTGGGCGCCGGAGCGTCAGTGTGGTCGACGGTGCATGTGCTCGATCTGGCGAGGGCGTACGTCACGCTCCTCCACTGGCTCGAGAAGACGGACGCCCACGAGGTGCTCAAGAACCCATACTTTTTCTGCGAAAACGGCGAGGAGTACCCCTGGGGCGAATTCGTCAGGACCATCGGCTCAACCCTGCACAAGGCAGGCCGGATCCAAGACCCCAACCCGCGTACGATCTCCGAGAGCGAATACAACGATCTGTTTGGCCCGTTCACCGCCTGGGTTGTCGGGAGCAATTCGCGCAGCAGGGCGAAGAGGTTGCGCGAGTTGGGATGGGAGCCGCGAGAGAAGGATGTCCTGGCGAGTTTGGCCGAGGATGAGATCCCCATTATCCTAGAGGAGAAGGGAGAGTTTAGTGGCTATGCTGGTGTTGCCGCGTCGGGAAAACCTTCGTGAATGTATTACACACCTTACTCACTTGTAGAAAAAGGGGGAAAGGGGGAAAACAAGACACAAAATATGTCATTATGTTGAGATGGTGTAACCTTGTAAAGCTCAATGTATATATACATATGTGTGTGTGTGTGTGTGTGTATGGATACGCAAACTAAACGCAGCGTCATTGTCTGGGGGATTGTATAATATATCCAGCTCGGTCATATCCGGCATATCTTCGAACAAAACTGGAAGAGAGACGAGAAAGCTATCGTTGTCTCTCCTGCACATAGATAGACCGGTTACGCAGTCGGAACCATCGCAAAACGCAGCGCCACCACGAAGCGGGCCGTCGAACTAATTGATATAGCCTGCCTATGCATAGTGCTCGACGACGATGTCCATCTTCTCCGTCATCATCAGCAGCGTCCCTCACGGCGTCACCGGAGGGATCATGCTCGACTCGCGCAACTCGCGGATGCTCATCGCCTGGCGCAGCGGCAAACTGGGCTTTCCCCCCCTCTCGACGGCGGTATCGAAGTCGGGGCACCCTCACGAACTCAAAACGATTCGCCGACGCCGTCAAAGGGTCCGCTTCAAGGAGCTCAAAAACGACGATATCCAGCTCATGAACCTAGCGAGGGCAGCCAGGGTGTTGAACGTCGAGGAGATTGTCGACCTGAAGGACACGAGAAAAGTCTTGTGTCGTTGGCCAAACAAGATCTCATCTTGTAGAAGCGGTTGGCTGGCCGAGCGTCGAGCGAGATCCATGATCCGTTGACCGAGGGAACCAATCAAGTTCCCCGGGCGAAAACCTGACAGACCCGTTTTATCTGCCACAGTACTCCGTACCTAGGTGGGTAGGTGGGAAGGAAGGGACCTGTCTCTCAGTCTTCGCCACTGCCAAAGCAATCGTATTGCCGTTAGGTTGGAAGGAAACTGTCTCAGTCGTTGCTACCGCCACTGCCACTACTCTGTACCAGCGACCTCCTCTTGTAGTTCCTCGAGCCCATTCTTGCTCTTCTTCACGTCGTCCATTTTCCCAATCCCCTGCAACGTCAGGTACACGTCAGTGCCCCAACCATACATGCTCTGCACGGCAATGCCACCGCCAAAGTATTCGGCGTAGGCTCGTCCCAAGGGCAATCCGTATCCCAACCCAGCTATGGAGCTCTGGTTTGTGCCGCTGTTCGATATGGCGTTCAACCCTGCACTTCCTCCGGTCTCGCCGGCCGCCTCTATGGCTTCTTCATTGTTGAAGGTGGTGAAACTGTACGACCAAATGTTGGGCAACGCTTCAGGCGGGATCCCACCACCTCTGTCTCTGATCCTCAGGGTGATACACGGAGCAGCGGCGTTGAGGGGCCCGACATCGGCATCCGGGGAAGAACAGTACTCCTCCAGACCTTCTTGGGAAAAGTCGAAGGCATTCGCCTCGGTCACGGAGAGCTTCCTCAGCGAGTCGAGCTTGGTCGTCGTGACGTTGGGCGCCGACGCAATGGTGACTTCGATAGCCTCTCGCTCATTCCCCGACTCAATGGTCGCGCGCATGGCATTCTTCAGAAGCTCCGTGATGATGTATTCCAGGTGCATCGGTATATGGGCAAACTCGGCATCTACTTCACCATTGATCACCAACGAAGGTCTGATGCCGTACTTGAGTTCGCACACCTCGGCCACGAACCCCTCGCATTGCCGGACTATATCGGCGGGTCGTAAAGCGAGGTCGATCACGCCAACATGGTTAGGGTCAGGCGGTCGAGTGGCCGCATCGCCTGTCGAGGCCATGTGGAGCGCAAGGTGCTGTTCGGCAACAAGCCTGGTGCCGATTCTCGCGCGAAGGTGCTGGTCCAGGAACCTCGTCACTTCAGCGGGCTCAATGTACTTTCTGCACTGGAGAAAACCCTGGGCCAAGGTGGGGATGGTGTTTGAGTGTGTCCGGACGATGTCAGCCATCGCATCCGTGAACCTTATCTCTTCATCTATCGTCTCTATAGGCTTCTTGTAGAACGGTTCCAATGTCGACAGTGAGTGGAGGTAGTTGTTGTAGATCTTGGAGACATGAGGGTTTGCGACCACGATGAACGGCAAGTTTCGCATAGCTTGGATTCGATGAGCAAGTCTGGAAGGGAGGAGGGAGAGGGTAAAGTTCGCAGAGGAGAGGAGAGCGGCATCTCGCAGTGGAGGTTTGCCATGTCTGTTCGCTGCCAGTCAGTACACAGGCGGGGAGGTTGTTACACTACGGCCGGAACACACCTGACCAGGTCAGCGAGCGTAAGTGGACGGCGAGGTTTTGCTGCGAGTCTGTAGATCTCTTCATCCGATATAGTTGCGTTTGAGGGAGGGTGCGACCACTCGTTGGTGGAGGGATGGAATGGCTGCTGAGACGTCTGAGTCGCCCATCTGCGTTGGAGTTGGAGCGGTGGAATATGCCGCCGTGGGATGACGTGTTTCAGCATGGTATTTGTTCAAAGCCGAGAGATGGCATGCCTTGCAGAGCAAGCTGGGGGAACTAGCTCGTGCGATCACTTCATGGATTTTGTCCATGTGCAGTTGCTCTCTGTCAGTGACTCAAAGAGCAATGAATCACACGAGCACAGCGGACGTGATGGAGTACTGTAATTTACTGTATACCAGGAAAGTCTGGCGAAGCGTCCCCGCACAAAACTAACACACAGCAGGTACGTCACCGGCGTTCAAGATACGAGTGATGAGTGAGGATGTCAGTACGAGTCCAGAGTACAAGGACTCGCTCACCAGGCTACCAGCAAGTGAAACATCCCACCTACCTGTACTCAGGTATGTAGGTATCCGCATTGGGAGATTCACATCCGGCAGATGCTTTCGTGTCCATCCATGGCTCTTAGAACCGGTAATTGAAGATCAATGTCCTGCCGAGTCCATGTACTCGGTACGCCTCAACCCAATTCATCGATATATTATCAGGTAATTCTAGGTGATGTAAACTTGTGAACTCAACAACACCTGATGCACCTCACCGGCCCCAGCAGTGATATGTACCTATTTGAATCATCCCACGGCCAATACTCAGTTTTTTGCGGCAACAATCACAAAAAAAACATAAGAGATCAAAATCCTTTCTGTTTGCCAGTGACTGAACGCAAGAATGTGACGTGCTCCCGAACGCCGTCGCTAGGTAAAGAAATTCTTATGGATACAAGCAGTTGATTATAGGTTGATTGTTTGCATGGTAGCTGAAAGAGACATGCGAATCCTGTGGTCGTGATTACTGTGTGTGCTTGTCGAGCATGAATCTTGCACGGAGGAATGGCGTCGGCTGCACCCGAGAATGGGACTCAGTCCACACCAGCGTAGAGGTCGACCACAATGTTGATGGCACTGTGAAGAAGCATTAGCAGCTGCGATGAAAACCCCATCAAGCACGACTTACGCAACCAGAATTTCCGCTGCGATGAGCACAATAACTGTCGACCGTCAATTAGGTACGCATCCCCGTCAACAATCCACATGGGTATCTTACCAATCCATTCAAGCACCTCACCATGTCTTCGACTTCCTTGTTCTCTCAAAACAGCCAACAGATCTAACACGGTCAGCATTTATCCAGCTTGGTCAGCAAAGACTTGAACGTACCAGCAATAACATCCAGTCGCTCAGTAAGTAAAGTCACGCGTTGCTCGATTTCCAAATAACTCCTGACGGCAGCATAAACTGGCTCTAGATGTGGTTCTGCCCACATCAGCTCTGGACTGTCAAGGACGCTCCCTTGCAGATGAATGTTGATTCTGAGAATAAATAGTTCTCCCATCTGCATATTCAGTTGTCGCCTTGTCAAATTCACACTGCCCGTCTGAGCAATCACCGCGGGCAAAGGACTCGTCGCGTCAATTGTCTCGCTGACGAGATCTTCGAATAAACTCGTCTTGACGCTTTGCGACAAAGCGTGGCTGATGGCTAACTTTATCATATGGTTGCGAGGTTCACGCAGACTGATAAAGTCATTGTAGATCCGGGCCTGGTACTCCTTGGTATAGTAGAAGTTGAAGTTCTCTGTCTGCACACTTTCGGTGGGCAAGGGTGCATCGCTGAACTTGGACATGTCGTTCAGAAAGCGTTGCTCTTGCTGAACAGTCATTCCCCAAATCACCACAGTACCGTAGTCAAAGATGAAGACCTCGGGTGTGTGCACGGTGGTGGAGAACTCAGAACTCGAGCGTTCGTGTTCAAAGTCAGGGCCCAACTCTCCAAGATCGACTGTCGACGGTGACGCATCGATAGCCATTTCCGAGGACTCTGTGATCATGCCAGGGTGGCCCATCTCCTCCTGTAGATCTGCCAGTTCTCCTCTTCTCTGCTTCTTGTTATCTTCTACCTCGACCACGCTGTCCGAGTACCTCCTTTCGGCAGGCGTCAACCTCGGGCTAGCCATGGCTCTGGCGAATCTCTCCTGCACGGGACTATTGCCTCTGCTGCTGGGCTTGTTCTTGTCATTCTTCTTCAGGTAATCATAGTCGTAGGGGCTGTAAAGACATTCGTCGAACAGCTTTGGATTGGCGCCCCTCGTCTTGGCTCTGGACTTCATGAATTTCATAATGGCATCGAGGCGATAACCTTGGGCAATACAGTAAGCCGTGACTCTTGGTAGCTTGTCTCTGTCCGCCTTTCCGAGCCTTGCAGCGTCCCTTCTAGCGTTTGGATCTTTGATCCTCGTAAATTGCGAATATACATCTCGACCGCTCTCTTCATCAGGCTCCTCGATATCGGGGTTTGGCAGGATTTTGAGCTTTTCTGTTGTCTTGGTCGTCCTCTGGGCACCAGGCCGAGGAGCTCCGGTGAACGGCTGCGTGGTGGGTAGAGGCGCACCATGACTATTTCTTCTCCGCAGTTTCGAGTTCAGGGCACTCAGCATAGGTTGTTGTTCGCGCTTTTGTTGAGCCGGGCCGCCGAGAGCCGCCGATGGACTTTGTGAAGGTCTCAAGGAGCCCGAGGACGTTGCCCCGGACTGTGAACTGACCGAAGTCATCGGGTTGAAGGTGACAGTTCGAGCAGATCGTATGCTGGGGCGGGCAGAAGAATCAGTTGACGTTCTATGCTGCGGCAGAAGCGGGGAGGACTCGCTGATGGCGGTTGCCATGGCGCGGCTTCTACAAGGTTGCTTGCCGTGCGAGGAGATATTGAGCGACAAGGGTAGAATGCTGATAGTGCAGAGGAATGGCAGGATTCGAAATGGATCGAAGGGTGGATGGCTTGATGGGATTCCAATATTGATGATCTTGTTGGAGTACAGCTTTGGGTTACCTCATCGCTTCAGGAATTGTTCGATTGCAGTGGTCGCAGGCGACGGATCAACTCACTAAAAAGTCCCAAGCCGCCCATAAATCTCCACTTCCCCTGCGCTGAAGGTCAGTGCCAAACACTGCTAAAATCTCAAGCACGTTTTTCTCCTAGGTGCCTATCACTCCATAGCGCCGGTACCGATTATAGCTTAGGTACCTGAGGCAAATAAGCTGCTACAGCCCGACACACCACTAAAAACGGTGAAGTAGCTCTGCAAACATGAGCCACACCTGTGAGGTATACGAGGACTATGGCTGATAGCTCCTCGAATGTGCCATCAACTACCTAGGCAGTCACCTCAAGGTGGTACTGAGCATCTGCTCGATCGACAGCTCTTGTACTGCAGGGTGAAAAGACTGTTCAAAATCAATTCCATCACTATGCTTCTGCCAAAAACTAGGAAGTGCTAAATATACATAGCTTTGAACTTGCTTTTGCCCAAGCCAGTCGCTCACGCCCCCAGAAAGTCGTAATTAGTAATAGTAGGTCTCATCTGGAGTTCGGCCACGAAGGTATTTTGGCTCGCTTCCACGGACGTAGATGTCCTCGAACAGAATCTTTGGCACTGGATCAGGAATGGGCATCTTCTCTGCTTCTGCCACCTCGCCGTCAACATCCTCTCGAGCCTTCTTGTCGATTTGTTTGAGTTCCTCCTCTGAGCAAACACCCCAGTCAAGGATCTTTTGCTTGAGACCTGCAATGGGATCATTGGTAGACCTCATCCGCTGGATTTCCTCCCGGGTTCTGTATGTCGTACCGGGGTCGGACATGGAATGACCGCCGTACCGGTAAGTGACAAATTCAAACACCAGTGGTCCCTTGTCTGCAGCAGTGTACTCCTTGCCGTATTGAACGGCCGCCTTCATGGCCAGAACATCCATGGCGTTGATCTTGAGACCTGGGATGTATTGACCCCGCTTGTAGTATTCTGTGGAGGCAGACGATCGAGCAGCAGAAGTGCCCATGCCGTATTTGTTGTTCTCACAGCTGAAGATGATTGGCAACTTCCACAGCTTGGCCATGTTGAACGCCTCGAAAACCTGACCTTGATTTGAGGCACCATCACCGTACAGGGCGAGAGTTGTGGTCTTGCTGCCAGTGTACTGGTGCGCAAAGGCAATACCAGCACCGACGGGCACCTGTGCACCGACAATACCGTTACCGCCGTAGAAGTTTGGAGCGAACATATGCATCGATCCACCTTTTCCATAGGCAATTCCTTCGCGACGGCCAAGCAGTTCACCGATGATGGACTTGACGGTACCACCTCGCATCAAAGCGAAGCCATGGCATCGGTAGGCAGTGATGATAGCATCGTCCTTGGTGATGGCATGCTCGATGCCAACTGCGACGGCTTCTTGACCGGTTGACAAGTGGCAGAAGCCTCTAATCTTCTTTTCCTTGTATAGACGATCCGCAGCCATTTCCATACGTCTGCGACTGATATCAGAGGATAATTCGTCGCTATTCTCCAGCATTTACTCACCGGACAGACACCATATCGTAGTACATCTGCTTCAGTTCCTTCTTTGTGGTGTTGAGGGTGTACGGAGGAGGATCGAGTTCGTATGTCTCGAAGCTCTCCTCGGAGAGCTTGACTTGGAATGGCTTGTCATCTTCCTAATGATAGTCGTCAGTCACAATGACCTCAAGACCGATGAGCAGCGGCCAACTTACATCCGGCACATCTTCTCTCTCTGCGTGAGAGCTTGCGGCGTCTGTGGTGACGGACCTACGAGCAACCTGGTAAGCTTGTCTCTTTGGCAACGACTGGAGGCCGAAGCCCTTGAGGCAAGCTCTCGACAACATCTCCAATGCAGAAGAACGAGACAAGTAGACTAAGAAAGGAAAAGAGAGGATGGTCAGTGTGAGTGCGACCGGACAATAATTGATGAGTGTAATCTACTCTCTAGCTTTTGGCTGTTGGGAAGCCGAAAGGAGCACTAGCTTCGTTCCTTGCGGTCCGCTGAAAATTGTCCAACGAACATTAATATCCGAGCCCGCGAACAGGGCGTGGCAGCATTTCATTAGTCTGACAAAACATTTAATACTCAGATAACGGCAAAGCAGCATTTTCCTGCAGTCCATTTTGAGCGTTATCGCACTGTCATTACACCTCGTGTCATTCTAGGATTCCGATATGGATATGCTGTCCGGTAATTCAAACTCCTCAACGACAACAACAGCCTTCACACCAGTGCAGAAACACGATATTTTGCAAACCACCCACCCAGCCATCCTTGAGTGATCTTGCTGGCATACACTCCTGTAGCTCCGAGGGTATCACGACTGACCCAAAGGTCTGCGCCGCTGCCTGAAGCGACTGTAATGTCACTCCGATTTTGGACCTTTCCTCGCATCTTAATTTGATCTGCCAAAGCGATGATATGGCCGTATTATCCACTTTTGCAGCCACCAGTTCTAGTAGGGGCCTTGCGCTACCATACCTGGCTGTGTTCCGTATCCTCCAATTCCGCCTCCTTGATGTGCTAGCTGTGATGGCTGACGCATGGTAGCACTGGCGTGGGTCCGTCCTTGGCCGGCAAAGTCTGGAAGATCTTGGAACCATGGGTGCCTCAAGGCGTCCTGTGCGCTGATCCGGTTCTCGGGACGTAGTTGCAACAATTTGGATAGGAGATCGAGACCAAGAGGATCGATTTGAGGCAGTAGAATTCCGAGTGATTGGGTGGCAAAGGAAGGGAAGTTGCTCTTGTATTCAGGTAGTTGAGATATTCCAGGCCAAGTTCGTTCGGATGGTGTCCCCATCAGTCTGAAAATCTTCTGTAGCTGATCCTCATTGGTGGTTCCGGGGAACAATGGACGGCCGGTGTACATTTCCGCCATGATGCATCCTGCAGACCAGATGTCGATACTGGTGTTGTATGTTCGCGAGCCCAAGAGAACGTCAGGAGCTCGGTACCAGAGTGTCACCACTTCGTTCGAGAAGGTGTTAACGGGGATACCAAACGCTCTTGCGAGGCCAAAATCAGCCAGTTTCAATTGTCCCTTGGTATTGATGAGCAGGTTCTGGGGTTTGAGGTCGCGATGGAGCACTCTGTTCTCATGGCAAAAGGCGGTGCCTCGTAGCAAGTCCCGCATGAATCCCTTAATGGTCGGAGGATCCAACTGTCCGCGGTTCTCTGGCCGGGCATCCATGTACTTCTTCAAGTCCTTGTCCATGTACTCAAACACCAGCATCAACTTGTTCTCGGTGTGGATAACATCGTATAACGTGACTATGTTTTCATGCTTCAACTCTTTCATCAGACTGATTTCTCGAATAGCGGTGGATGGAGTGCCTTCTTCTGAGTCGAGGTGGATTTCTTTGAGGGCCACGAGTTCGCCCGTTTGTCGATTGCGGCCTTTGTAAACGGTGGCATAGGTCCCTTCACCCAGCTGGTTGGAACATTAGTACCAAAGTTCGTCTTCCCGAGAAATAGAAACTCAACATACCTTTTCAAGCTGCTGGAAGGAACTCGGATGTCTCCGATCCATATCTGTGTATGATCGTCGGCCTTGCAGCCTCGAGGGCGGGGCGGTGCCTGGGGGAAAGAGGATGGAGGAGGGGGAGATGACACGTTCGGCAAGTTGCTGTGCCGTGAGTTGTCGGACCTGAGGACGCGGGTGTGTATGCGAGGAGGCCTGCGAGGGTTGAGATGGTTGAGATGGCTGTGACGAGGTCGTCGAGGAAACTGAAGTTCTGTGCGGGATGGATGTGGAGCGAGTCGACATGACAAGGAGCGGGCAGAGGCGGTGTTTGTTAAAAGTCGCCTTTGCCTTAGCAGTAGACGATCTTTGCCAGGATCATGAGGCGAGACAAGGTTCCAGCATACAAAACACGCATCATTCGCCACGAGCGGTTAACGAGGGAGGTGATACGGCGAACAGGCGTCTGGGGCTCTGGCTGAAGACTCGTGAAATAATTGCAGTAACGGAAGATACCTGGTGCACTATTATTGTACCTTAACAGTGCGCGAGATCCGAGTGTCTAGACCTTCATCCGACTCATTGGGCAAAGGTCAGGCGCCTGTCAAGCCCTTCGCGTCCTCCATCCCATCGTTGTCCGGACTCAGGACGCGCCTGCCTTTCTCAGCTTGCTCAAACCTGTGTTTGGATTCGCCATCCCTGCAATTCTACACATACAGGCGCCATTTCTTTCCTGGCGTCTCGCTTCCATTGTCTGTACGTGAAGATAGCGCGACCACATCTCATCCATTCGAGGTCTGCGTTCCCACGAGTCCTGCACATCTCCGCCGGCGGCTATTTCGTGCATATGGGTCTATGACTACTCCCTGGATTTGAAACAGATGTTCCAGAGCACAATGCTGGTCTCTAAAATTAAATTTATTACCTCCAAACTATCCATGCATCCATCGAGACAGCTGCCAGCAGCCGCCTTTCCAGACTCACATAACATACTCGTCGTAAGCTTGCGCTTTGTGAGACTTTTATCTGGGTTGTATAAAATATAAGTCTTTTAATCCCATGTAGTCAAACTTTTCATCCTGGCAAATCACCAAATAGTCGCTTCATGATCAAAGATCGCATGCTATGTGTGAGGGTATCTTTCCAACCAAAACGTCATATCGCTGTTCTTCAAAGGTCATGCATGCATACCAGTTTGTGGTAGGCCATTTCGTCGCAGACCTCCGGGGTCTCTGATAATCATTGTCGTTATCATTAATTTCGTCAATATAGCTGTCGCTTGACTGTGGTCTCGTGGCAATTATTTCCTCACGCTGTGCGCGATCCGCTGGATCCTGCGAAGCCCGGCCGACGAGCTCCAGCCGTAGCCATGGTCGAGAGCGCAGATTCGCTCATAGTTCGCCGTTTGCCCTCGAAGACGGGCCGCTGTGCATATGCGATCAACATTTTGAAACTCGATCCTCTGCTTCTGCATTCGCCGAGCACGGTTCTATCTGCGAAGATGCTCTTCGAAAGGTTGCCGTCAGAGATCACCCTCGCTTCAAAACAGTGTTGCCACCACGTTCTCGCAGTTCTGGAAACGATTTTGCCAATCTTAGCATCTGCATTGTCTGAGTGGTCGGCAATGAGATCGTTCAACGACAAATTGGTACCCTTCCTCCCCTTGCCAAATGCCATTCGAGGGGAGGCCGTTGCTTGTCGCATGTCGCCGAATCCAGGGCCACTGGATCCTTCTGACCCACCACTGGAGCGTGATGAGGATGGCGAATCGGTTGGTCTGGAAGGATGACCAGCCACAGGAACTCCAACGACACAACGACTGATGTTCGAGAATCCACGAGCTCCAAGCAGGCTCTGAACGTTGTCAATGATTGGTTTCAGGCTGATCTGTTGATCCGCTGTCGTCATCTTGAATTTGAGTTCGCGAACGGCGCGTCGAGTTTGGACGCCCATGTTGACAATATCGAGATCGAGGAGCATGAGCTCCATGTAACCACCCGGAAGTAACACCCGCCTACATTCCGAGATGATGTTCTTCATTTTGGCCTCTGCCATTGCTGGCGGAAATCGCAGAACCACTGCACAGAAATAAGCTGAAGGGAAGGGAAACCGGTCGTGGAAGCTGGGAATCTCTGCTCGTTGGTGGGTTTCAGGGGCATTGTGTGATATTTTTGGATCCTTCGAGGCTCTCCTGCTGGATTTCTCCTTTAGGTTGTGTACAAAAGCCCGTTGCGCTTCGTAAGTCACCGCACAATACAATGACCAATCCTCGTTGCCTAGGCCGTCAATGACAAGTATATGTCGTTCCGGGATAGTATGAACCTCATCATGTGCAGGAGAGAATAGTACTCGGCCAAATGATAGCCACTTAGCAACCATCAGTGAGGCATAGTGTAGTTCTGACTGTCCAACTGGGTCTTTATTCCGTGCGACCACGTCCAGCAACGCCGCATTTTCCTGGTGACTTGGACCTGTCTCTTCTGCTGCAGCTGTCTTGGTGGCAAGCAATAACTCCAATGGCTGGCTTGTTGCTGGGCGGACAGTCTCATCAGACAGCCTAAGACTATTTCTCTGAGTGTTTTCATATTCCCTGAGGAATTCGCGGATAGACAATGGTGAGGTTGGATCCAGTGCCGACACAATTCTCGACCTGCGCAGTCTCACATCTTCTTCCCCAGCCGGCGGTGACGACGAGGGGAAGGCCTTCAATTTTAGAGGTAATGAACCAGCCACAGGAATTCTCCTCATTTGTGGCCTCTCTACAAGTAGATCGCCATGCTCTGAAATATTTCTGCCAGATTTCTTGGGCCCTTGGCGTATGGATCGCGTCCCAGAAGCTTTTGCGGGTGGATTTGCAACGTTCTCCGACTTCGTGATTTTTTCATGAGCGATGCGCTTCACGCTCCCTCTTTTGCCGGATGGTGACATAACTTGGTCGATAAAATCGTCATATTCGTTCCAGACTTCGTCAATTGTTGGGCTTTGAGATACAATCTGAGTATGTGGAGGAGTGAAGCCACTGTCGGGCAAGCCCGGAATCAACGACGGCCCTAGTATGCTTAGAGCTCCCTCAGAACTGCTTGAAGCGGAAGCGTCGGACAGCTGGCGGGAAGGAAATCGAAGGAATTCTGTCTCTGAGGGGGTATGTGCCATATATCTTGAGCTCTCAGTGGGGTTGAATGTAGTTCTAGGAAGCACGTCCATTCCCGATTGAGAAGACGATCCCTGAGTCTGCTCAGTAACTGGTCCTTGTCCGCTGACGATATCAGAGACAGATGATTTTGCAAAGGGCTGAGAAAATGATGATCTGCTTGGTTTGTGCTCTCGTTCGTCTGTATGCACGACTTGAGGAATTCTTCCTACACGAGGCAATCTAGGTGGACGCCGCTGGGGCTGCTCAGGCTGTATTTCGTTGGGCTCCTTTAGAGGTGCCACAGGAAGCTGAGATGTCAAAAGATGAGACGGCGAGACTGGTGCTGGTGGCAGATAAGTATCTCCGATATACTGGGTGTGTATATCTTGGTCGTGGACGGACTCCGCCTCATACGAATACATCGGAGAGCTCGCAGACGGAGAGTCGACTACCTGCCCCAGCAAATCCCCGGTGTGCTCACTGGTGTTCATCTCGCTTTCTGAATCCATCATAGCATAATATGGCATAGGTCGGGAAATTGGTATTGTTGAGATAGCGACGGACATCTCTTCGGGGAATGTAGAAGGTGGCATGTGTATCTTGTGCATATCGTCACCCGCATCTTTCTTTCGAAAAATGTTCCATCTCAACTTGCGTGGCTTTCTATCCTTAGTCTTAGAAGACGTGGGATCGCCACGACTGAATTCGGCTGTCGAACTCGGAGTCGAGGTGGACATTGCAAGCGCAGATCCCCGACCTTCATCTTGTCTCGCGACATACGAGGGAACTGCAGGCTGATCCGTTCTTATTGGTCCTGGTATGTTGAAAGGTTCCGAATCCGTTCGGAATCGTTGTGATCGCCGCACGGCAAGTGTCGGGCGTGGCGCATCACCAGAAGTATCGACAAGGAAAGTGCCCTCAGCGGATGCTTGTCGTGGCAGATTTGATTGCTCAAACTCTGGTACTGCATACTCTGTCATTGGATTAAATACGTCAATCCTGCTGCCAGAGCCACTCCGCAGGCTGTTGCCAGATCCTCCTCTGATGGGGACGGGATTCATCCTCGTTGCAGCAAAGTCGTCCAAGTCAGACTGACTATTTCGGTGATTACGACTGCTGCTCGGGCTGGCACTGGCTTTGGATGTGCTTAGAGGCACTCGGTGCGTACTGCTAACGGACCTTTCACTCTCGCTGTTAGCGGTTGAGGTACCGTCCTGAGACACCTTTCGACCACGTCTTCCATTCCTCCCGTATCCTTCATGCCCTGTACCTGCAGTAGGTCCTTTCCGTTGCAGCTTTCGCGGATTTCGTGATGGGTGCTCGACTTCTGTGCCTGCTGATTTTCCCCGTCGGCCGAATAAACCTATACGAGAGAATTTTCCAAGCCGACCGGGAGACTCATGGACGGCCGTGGCGGCCGTACTTGGCGTAATGGGCCGGTGTTCATATGAGCCTGCTGTGACATCTTTCGAGGATGAGGAGGTAACGGTAGTCTGAAGGGGTAATCCTTCCTGGCCCCTGCTTGATCCGCGTATGGATTGATAACCTGTCGCAATAGACGTCGTACTCGAATGAGCGAACCCATCCCATTGCACCTCCAGAGATTGCTGAAGGTCACTATGCGCTTTTTCAATAGTCTTTTGTTGGATAGCATCGATAATATTGTCACTATCCCTGGATCTGGGGCCCTGTGACAGCGGAGTGGGCTCTCTGTGCTTCCGACTTCGGCTACTACTCCTGCTTAAGGACTGCTTGGCAGAGGAGGTTCTAGGTGGAGGAGTGGGTGCAGGTGTACTGAGAGGTGTCCTCCTGAGGGACGCGTCTTTTCCTTCACTTGAACCGAGCTGTAGACTGCTGTCTGCCCCGGAAAATGCTTCTGGAAGGGCTGGTACCCGTGGGATGTTTCCCCGTTTCGCTTGTCGAAGTGGAATAACCTGTGTGCGTTTCGAAGGTGACCTTCCAGGTACCTGTGGCGCGACACTTGGAGAGGTCGAGGACCACGATATAGGGGTTGTCGTCGTCGTGGATTCACTCCAGGGACTTCTTGTGCTTGAAGCCCAGGTTGACGGACTATTTACTGAGATCGCAGAGTTGTTCAACGACTCCTGATATTTCGTCGGCGAGGCAGCAAGCGCTTGCAATTCGGGTATTAAGCGAGGTGGCAGGTTCGTTGGCCTTTTCGTGGTGGCAGTCCTGGGCATCACAATTCCGAAGATTGCATCTTTCTGAGTGTCTAACGAGGATAAAGCGGTATTGTGAGCAGTCTCGGCTAATCTTGGAGTCCATGCTGCAGGGCGTTCATAGTGGCTGCGAGATTGGTTCTGGTAAGATTCCATCTTAAGGGGGGGTTCTTGTGAAGATGGCGTTATTCCCCAAGCTGATTTGGTCGTGAGAGAAGGAGAAGACATATTTTTGGCTGGCGCAGTAGGTCTCAGAGATGGAGATCTAGTCACAGATCGAGGGATTGACGTGGGCTTCGAGCGAGGCTTTAATCCCAGGGGCTTTGCCAGTTCTGGGCGGACGGGGTCGGACTGAGAGGGAGAGCCTGTGGCCGCATCTGATCGGCTAGCGCTTGGTTGACGTCCATACTGACCTATTGTTGGCAAGCGAGAACCTCGTGATACCGTAGCATCTGTTGTTTTGGGTAGACCCTGCCGGGTCTCATATATTGGTGTTCTGTGTGACATGTTTCGGTTGATATACTCGCTCACTAACCCTCCTAGATACGAACAAAGGGGAGTACGCCCAGGAAATCATTCCGGAACCATTCCTGAAGAAGCCAACATGGACACAGTCAGACCTCTGTGGTTCTTGGTTGAGAGAACATATGTCGCAGTAGTATGTGAGGCTATGCTGACATCCGGTATGGCAACGCGCTCCTGGTTGTCGATAAATGTATTGATTGTCGAGCCTCGGGAAATGTCTACGACATAAGTCGCACAAGTGACGAATAACTGGGAGAAATCTCTCAGAAGAAAATTGACAGTGTCGAGAGGAAGTAGAAAGTCATAGGATTCCCACGCCCAGTTGAGTCTTCATGCGCCACAGTGATTATGCCGAAGCGTCCGGTAGCGTAAATAGTAGCCACAAATATCGCACGTGATGCTACAAGGGCAGTGTATCGTTTTAGCAATGTCGCTTGACATATGGACGAGCGAACATTTGAAGAGAGGAAAAAAATGCAGATAGAGACCGAGTACCTTGGATAATAACCACCTCGGAAGAAATGGTTGCATGAATGGCGGAGGGAAAAGGCACTTGGTTAGTATCCGTGCGAGTCATAGAACAATGCGGCACACCAGTAACGCCCGTGGCTCTTCCTCGAGCACTTCCCGCTGCAGCGCTAAGGGCCCGCGCATCATTCGTATCCCACTGAGAAACCCTAATGCCCCTTCATGCCAGGATACCTGGTGACCAGAGGCATCTTTGCTTTGCCATTCGGTCTCAGCGACTCCGGGGGGATCTCCTGGTGTCAGTTGAGTCTCCATCCAAAGAGGCTCCATCGGTGGCTGCTCCCGTACCCAGCGTGGAGATGTCACGCCAGAAGTGTCTGAGTTCTGTCATTCCATGCTTAACACTTTGGGGTAAAGCCATTGCCAGCCGGGCTGCGGACAGTGAGCCAGCTAGACGGATTCGGAGGCTTCGCCTGTCATTACTCGCCGATAGGGCCTGTAAAAGTGGTCAAACGACGCTTTTCCAGAAGTCATGTGTAACGGTGACGCTCCAATCCGCATGACATGTGCACGACATGCGGCATCATAGGCGGGGACCTGTGTGGAAGGCGAGCCCGACACCAGGCTTGCAGGGCGGAGGCTTGGTGCAACTTGTGAAAAGAACCGAACTGAGAAAGTGGTGGCGAAGAGATGGATCGGCAGTGAGGGAGACGACGCCTTCAGAATCAGCCACAGTCACTGGTGCACTCGTACGTTTTTCGCAATTGGGCAAATTCCCGGGAACAGGGATGGATGCAAAGGCGACAGATGCGCTTCGTTATTCGCAGGGCCAAAAACCTGCTGAGCGCAGGGGGACAAAACTTGAGAACCAGTCGGTGAAGTAGGAAGATAGTTTGGGATTCCGTTCAGTGGAGAAGGCGCAAGCCTTTTTCTGTGCGGGCCGTGACTCCGTTGAGCCCACGGCCATTTCTGCCTGGCTTTCTAGGCGTGGCGATCCCTAAAGCTGAGCTCTTCAAGACGCCGCACAGCTTGCTCAGCCCCCCAATCGCAAATGCTCGTTCTGCATTGGATACGCCGCGGGGGCCCAGCAGAGGCTCGAAAAGGCCCGAGCCATGTAGCCGTAACTGTCTGAACGGAGGTGGGAGCTACGGCACGACGGGGAGGGCCAGATTCATGGGATGCGTTTGCTTCCTTCAATCATCTTCCTCCTCTGGTGCAATGCCTCTGGTGAAACCGGGTTTTTCCAGCTTAAGTTCTATATGGCTAGCTGTGCCTCGTACAAATCCCTCATCAACTATCAGATCAGTCTCCGCCCAGAAGCACCTTCGATTAGCGTGGCATATTACCCCAACGAGCTCTTCGCCTGCCGTGTAGGGCATTTTCGCGTCCGTGATTTTGCTCCCTGGCGGCCAATGATGTTTGGCATCTGGTGAAATACAGTCTGTGTGGCTGATTCTGAGACCAGGGAGTGTCTGATAAAGCCCGCTAACTTCGATAAGCGGGCATCCTGAGATTTTCCCTGCACGGTTGGCCCAGATAACTTGCGGAGGCGTCTCCGTGAGTCAATCCCACGACAAAAGCAGGTTCGAATCTCGAAGTAGGTGATACAACGTGCCACTGAAATCACCTGATGGGGTTGAGCCCTATTACACCTTAGATATAAGCAGCCTGTGAGCAGACTACCACCTTAGTGGTCCAAGCGAAGCACCGTCTTAGAGTTAGTTCGGCTGCACCGACATACTGTAGGTCGAGAACCAGCTTCGCCCCAAGTCAAAGGGATTTCCTGGCTCTCCAGTAAAGCGGTGCTTCCTCGATCAAATGACAAGGCTTGTCCTTCTCCTGAATCATGCAACGGAATATGGTATGATGCCAGGCGTAGACCACAGCAAAATCATTTTACGCCTCTGTTCCAGATGCTGCAAGGTCATTGGGTTCCTTATGTGGTCATGGAGGTTCATAACACCATCACACCTCTCAACCCAAGCACACGAGTACAGCACGCTCCAGGACTTCCGATGTATCAGATGCACGGAGTATTCCCCTTGTCTTAGTGTTAGATAAAGGTACGGGGAATTTAGACTTGGATCCAGCTTCCGCGTCCGTTAGACTCGAGCCGTCACAACGCCCGCCACTGGAAGATTGTGCGACACACCTGACTCCTAAGGGCCAAAAGCTCGTCGAGCTGGCTGGTGAGACTGACTGGGCTAGGAAATGCATCCTGGCCTAGCAGGTACTGCAGAGCAGGAATTGATGCTGATATCTTCATTGCCCGGCTCAATGGTACTCGTATGACGAAGAGAAAGACACAAGACGGAAGGCTTTTTACTTTCTTGCAATTCGTCCACTGATACTCTCCCTGGACCACTGTCATGTACAGCTGCAGCATGCTCGTATGAGCAGCATACTTGTACAAACGGCCCCCTCGGCGGGTACTATTCTAAATAGCAAACCCAACAGCTATACCTCTTTCAGAATAGCCTCTTTCTTCAGCCTCGCAGTATCCCTGTCGAGCTGAGTGTATCTATTTACATACATCCAGAAACTTGGATACCGGCTATCTGAACGGCCATTCCGTCAGCTAAGCCATGATAATGACTCTGGTCGAACCTTGACCTTGTTGTCGCTTCCCCGGTACGCGGATAGATCCGTAAGACAACGACTCGCACCGCGCTTCCTCGACGTCCGGTCCGAAACGATGGCAAGCGAGTTCAAGGGCTTGATGTTGATGCGAAGCTCCCAGTGCAAAAAATCTCTTCCTGGTTGTGACGCATTAGTCGCGTTTAGAGTCCCTGACTTCATGACAGCAGTCTCGTACCGCCCGGGAGCCGAAAGCCAGGGCGCGATGGGCCTATGCAATATGTTTTGGCCACAATACCGGGCCTAAGTGTACCCAGCGTCGTCTTAGGTAGTGACGATTGACATCGAACCGCACTGCGACACAGGACAGCGCAGATGGAGTCCTCGCTCACCAAAGCAGTTGTTATATCACTTAATATTCCTAATCGAATGCCGTTGTTGCAGAAGGGAAAATTGATAGCGGCTTGAGTAACCTCGTATTCGTAGAGCGCTGCCGCAACCAGCGATAATTTGCTCCGGAAAATTCACACGTCACCCTGCGAACGCGCTCAGTGTACTGCTCCCATCAACATTGTTATCCAGGACAATACAATCACAAACAATACACCACCTGTTAATCTAGCATATTGCGCACTCATTTAATCACCCATCGCACCCTTCTCCGTTGTATTCCTACATCCCAGCAACCACACCAGCCAGACTTTGCCTGTTTTATTGAGCGCGACCCATTTCTCCGCCATCATGGTTGACTACGCGAAAAAGACGGTTGCAGAGCTCCAAGAGATCTTGAAATCGCGAAGCTTGCCTCACACAGGAAAGAAAGCAGAGCTTGTTGCAAGACTGAACGAGGCCGATCAAGCTGCAGCAGAGAATGGTGCGTTTCCAAAGACAACCACAACCAAGGGATTCCCTCTCAAACTTCGTCCTGCGCCCGCCTCCATCTCACGACATGCGCACTGAAGAAACGCTAACAAACAGTCATCTACAGAAGCATTGAAGGCTCCCCCGGCCGAATCCACCACCGCGCCGCCTGCGCAAATACCAGAGCCTGCTGCACCATCAACATCAGAAGCCCCTGAAGCAGACCAACCCGGACCAACAGCCGCAGAGCCTGCGACGGTAGAGCCCACCGCCGCGAACGATGACAGCGCCCAAGCTACCGCAGCATCTTTCGCCCTGAACCTCCCCACGTCAGAGGTGGACGCAGAAATGGCCAAGCGCAAAGCACGCGCCGAACGCTTCGGCACCGGAGCCGCCGTTGCCAATGGAGAGACTGGCGCAGTGGGCACAGAGGGAGCAGACGCGGAAGCTCTGAAGGCACTGGAACGTGCTAAGCGCTTCGGTACCGGACAGACCGCAATGGGAAAACTGGACGAGGCACTACCATCTGATTCAAAGCGCGACTCGAGAAAACGTGGCCGGACAGAGGAGGACAGCACAATGGACGACCCCGGATTGCGGAGAGGCTTCGGCGGCCGTGGTCGAGGCGGTGGACGAGGAGGCCGATTCCAGGGACGAGGACGCGACAACTCGCAGAGAAGACGGGGCGATAGACCCGGTGGCGTCAGCAAGCCGTTCGGTGCTTTCTCGACAGAGGCAGACCGCCTCGCTGCCGAGGCCAGGAAGAAGAAGTTTGCGAGCGCGACGTGATTGTTACACGTTCCACGATTTGCAGGTTGCCTTGGACGAAGGCATGGGAATCATTTTGGGGAGACAGAATCGGTATCGCCCAAAGGATGGGTTTGACGGAATATGGCCATGGGGATTGTGTAAACTTAGGGTGACTGGTACCAAATCAATGAGCAATATCGTTCTCTTTCTATGTATCCGCTCCTTGCTTTTAGCTCTGACACTTGACATCGTAGCCACAACACCGAGTCTACGGCACCAGTTGCGAAGCGACACCAAGTCGGACAGGGTTAAACACAGAGGAAGGAGAAGAGCAAAGCAGAGAAGAGAAGGATTGGAAAAGAATGCTTTGCGCATTGGAAACTAAGCTACAGGGCCACCACGTCTGTCTGTCCACGACACCAAGAGCCTCGTAAGGCAAGACTAGCTAATGACATGACCAAGGCATCAAAGCCGACCCAGAAGAATCCTCCTCAACAGCAGATGAAGTCAAGCACTCATCTCATCACCACCATGTACCCAAGACCACATCACACAACCAACAACACCACATCAAGACATCACCACAACCATCAGCCATCCCAGCTCCATCAGCCATCCCAGCTCCATCATCCCAGCTCCATCAGCCATCCCAGCTCCATCAGCCATCCCAGCTCCATCAGCCATCCCAGCTCCATCAGCCATCCCAGCTCCATCAACCACACCCAACCACAGATCCCAATCCAAAATCCAAGTCCACCAAACTCCACAGACAGACATACAAACACACAGACACCAGAGACAAGACAGACACACCGACAGACAGACGGGCTCCCCAAAAGACCAAGTCACAATCATCCAATCCATCGCACAACACCCATCCAAGTCCAAACCACCACACAATCACTGGGCCACAAGCAACCTCACAGTCCGAGAAAGCTAAGCTAAGTCTGACCACAACATCTCACCAACACCACAACACCACAACACCACAACAGCTAAACTAAGTACATCATGAATGGCCATGGTTCTTTCTTTCTGACTGCCCTTCTTTTCGGGGCGGATTCTTGATTCTTTCTGACTCCCTTCTTTTGGGGGATGGCCGAGTTTGAGGTGTCTTTGCGACAAGAAGGAAAATGGACTGTGAGGTTGCTGCTCCCATTCGAAAACCCATTGACGACATCCTCCAACAAATCCACCCATCCATCCATCCACAATCCGACCAAAGACCAAAATCCTCCACACACCAGAGACAACCAAGGAAAACTAAGCTGAGATGAGAGAAGGGAAGAAAAACATAGTGTTCAATGACTTCGAGGTCAATGACGCTTCGCTTTTGTGAGTTCCGGTTGGCCTTCTTTTTTGGGCTCTTGACTTCTTTTTGTTGTTGCTGGCAAAGCTACCCTAAGACCTCTTCTCATCACCAGCCGATGATGGTGGAAGAGGGGTCAACCAAGGTCGTGACCCCATGGCGCACCATGGAGATGGACCGAGGATACAAAGAAAGAGAAAAGAGAAAGGATGGATGGGGAAGGGCAGATATTTATGCGTTCCCAACACACCGCCTACACAGCTTGGCGCAATATGGCCTATCTGGGTGACGCGTTGGGGGTAGGCAGTGGATGGTAAATGAAGTGTTGAGCCCAAAGCAGTGAAGTGGGAGGGAGGCGGTGGATGGGAAAATGAGGCGACAGACAGCGTGCGGTGAAGAGTAAAGCATCGCGGTGGACTTCAGCAGAACGTCAGTCAGCGGCGGTGATGTGTCTGCGCTGCGCTCCTGCATCACACGCACACTGAACTTGTTTGGCAGAGGATGTAAGGAGTCCAGCCAGGACGAACACATTACTCTCACCGAGCTCCAGTTGCGTCTTCACCTCACCCTGCCTCGAGTTCGCGCCCATCCGAGGTCCTCGCTCCCCCTCGCTCTCCTTCAGTGAAGGGGAAGCTTGGATCAGAAATGGCCAGCGTGGTTATGTGAATGCAATACTGGTAGCTGCAGCCGCAACACGTGGCGAAGGTGGTTGTGTAGTTGACGTATTATTATTTGGATAGGACGTACATCCCAGAAGAAGGGCCCGAGCTCCCGGGTTGAAGGGACCATTGATAGGTCCATACTCGAGAAGAGAGCATCATCCAGCAAAGTCTCATACACAGAATCATGCCTTTCCAGTATGGTTTGATGTCCTTCCATCGAACTTGGTACCGTCAAAGGGGCCATCGCTGTGCAAAAGTCGATATCATTTTTTCCCAGACGTTTGTGACTGTTGCTGCAGTTGAGCCATTTTCGCCCTCGCACTTCTACTACCTCCCAGCTTCGGTCCTCTGGACTCCGTCGCACCAGACCCTTTGGCCTTGGCTTTGGCTTTGGCTTGTGTTGTCGCCCTGGCCCTCTGTCTCCGCTCGTGCATTGCATCCATAAAGTCCTGTCGGAACTGTTCTGCCATTCGTTCATCCGCATCACTCTCGCCCGAGTGTTCGTCCCCGTTCTCTGCAGCGGCCTCCCGTTCCCTTTGCCGCAGCAATTCAGTCGCATCATAAAGGTCCAATTTGTTCTCCCGCATCAACTGCTCAACAAGTGCGTCACGAGCGAGGTCCTCGCTATTCCGCCGCTTGCGCGGCCGCGGCCTATATGGCTTGCCGTCACGGCCGAGTCGCGGCTTGCGTGGTTTTGGTGGCTTCGGTTCGTCTTCGACAGGAGGGAGGCCCAGCTTGGCCCTTTCCAGTGCCGCTTGCGTGCGCGCGAGATTTCTATCATGAGCAGATGATCCGAGGTCGACTTCTGCAAGTTGACGTGCAGAAGGCCGACCGGTGAGAGGTATCGTATTCGTGGTAGCCGATATACCTGACGTCGTTACCGAGGTTGGCCTTGTATCCTCATGAGGCTGTGGCTGTGGGCCGTTGAAGCTTGGTCCAGCGAGATTGCGTCGTTTGGCCAGTTCTGAATCTATGTACGCGATCCTTATATGGTTAGCTGACCGAGTCTGGTGAGACCAAGTTCACATAGGAAGACTCTTACATGTTACGATCGTCGTTAACGACCTGACCGGTAGCGGTGGTAAATCGATCCGAGATATCTATTCGCTTTTCAGGAACATGGTCGCTTCGAACCATACTTGTGTCAATCTGCTTCATGTCATGATCCGAAGAAGCCGCCGCAGTCGAGAATTGCACTCCGGCAGCACGACTTCGATAGCTCTTCCGCGCGCGTACCAAGGTCGACACATCGTCTTCATCAGCTTCGGCGCTCTCGACGGTGACATCTTCAACTGTTGGTCCTCCCGGCCCGTCGGTCGGAGAAACTCGATCGGTATCGCGCGTTGGCGACTCTTGATGACGAGGCGCCTTGGTCTTCCTACGCTTCGCAGATCGAAAAATCGCAACTTCCTCCATGTTGCTCTATCTGTAGTGACATCAAATCGGTCCACTGGAAATTGAAGAGGTCGGTATGCCACCAAATGTGTCTGTGTGTCTGTCAGACAGCCCCAGATCGAATCTAGTCGTGCCCTTAGCCAGGAATGTGTTTTGACCAGTTGTGATGAAGGAGAATTGAAAGAACGATCAACAAATATGTATTCATGAAGTCAACATTTCAGTGGACCTAGTCCGAACTTGGCCAAAAGAAACCGAATCACGTGAGTGGGTCTGAACAATAAAAACACCCGGCTAGCTTCTCGATGGAAGTAGGACACAGAGTTGAATACAAGAGAGTCTAGAGTCTGAACGGCATGGTCACAGAGTAAGTTGGTCAGTGATGATCAATACGTTGCGTTAGTGTTGCTACAGTCCGTCGGTTGGTGAGGTCTCTGAAGAGCGAAATGTTTAAAGAACATCATGATCATGACAGTATCCCAACTGCAGCTACAAGTCATGCCACAATAGTTTTTTCGGGGACTATACTTCGAGAATGGGCAGCCATAAGCAGTACCATATGGAGCAAACAACGGCTCGTGTGCTGAAAGGGTAGCTGTACAGATCGCAGTCCATCACAGTCCCCGCTCCCACAAAGATATGACGCTCTTGGTAAAGGCTCACCAATCAACCTCATTGCTCCCTTCCGTGGACTCTCTGTTTCGATGAGGAAAGTCTACTGTCGAGTCCCAGAGTGACAGGGTTGACTATGCCGTCGACCAATGCAAGCAGTTCGGGGTTTGTTCTGGAAGCCTTCGCACATTCCAATGATCGGCCCAGATGGTCAAACACATGTTGGCCATAAAACGATAAAGTTGGAGTGCAATTTCAAGGCCGCCATGAGACGTCTTTACCCAACAGGGTTGTGGAAGGAGTTGTCGAGTTAGAGAGATGGGGCAAGAGTGAACTATGGAGTAACAAAGTTAAGGTGTTGAAGATGAGCTGCTTAAGGCAGCAACAGCTGTTCCGAATGGGGCCAAGATGCAAGTCCGATTTTATTCTCTTGGTGCGCATCGAATGCTCGCGAGATCACCCAGTTCACCCACCTCGTTTTTCGAGTCATTACAGTCGGAGCCTCATTGTTCCTCCTTGGTATTCCGTTTTCGAGATGATGTCGACTCAGATTCCATCCGCAACGTATCGTTGCTGCCAAGTGGCAGCTCGGACGCAAAAACGAAGTCTTTCCTCCCAATGCCTCCGACTCTCCTCCTCGAGCTCCGCCATCCAGCACACACGACGCAACGATGTGTATCAGACAAGACAAACAAAAAGATGGCAATCGACAGATGCGGCCACTGCTCCGACAAATCCCAAAATCTCGGCTATTGTTGATCAAATATCCCAGTTGACATTATTGGAAACTGCCGACCTCGTTACAAGCTTGAAGGTATGTACATCATGGACAAGATCGCTACGAGCTTGCGATCGGTATACAGCACATCTAGACTCAAGCTGAAGCTGACGCTGCTGTCGCTTAGTCTCGATTAAACATCCCCGACATGGCATTTGCCGCCCCGGCGGCCGCTCCTGGTGCTGGTGCTGCTCCGGCTGCAGCTGAGGAGGAAGAAGCTGCTCCTGCAGCAGCTGAAAAGACAATGTTTTCTCTGAAGCTGGAGTCCTTCGATGCGGGTGCCAAACCGAAGATCATCAAGGAGGTCAAGAGCATGCTTGGTCTCAGTTTGGTGGACAGCAAGAAATTCGTCGAAAGCGCACCCAAGGTGCTGAAGGAGGGCGTGCCTAAAGAAGACGCCGAAAAGATCGTGGAGACGATGAAGGCCCTGGGCGCCAAAGTCACGATGGACTAAAGAGTTCTTGAAGGCAAAATTCAGTGGTCAGGATGCCACCACAGTGAAGACACCGATCGAACGTGGCGTCCACAACCTCCACGGTGTGCACTACTTCTTTGTGCTCGGAGAAGGCAGAGCCGGGCGTTGGTCAGACTAGAAGCAAAAGACTGAGGTCTCTATTTTGCATCATACCTTGCGGTCCGCATGGAACGGTTTGACTAAGCATGATATTTGCGCGGTCTTGTAAAGGCAATCATGGTGTAACTATAAGGCAGGGCTATGGGAAATATGTGAAGATTCAGATGTAAAATTTAAATCAATCTTTCTCGACATGTTGCCATCAGTTTGGTGTTCTGCTTCCACAATGAATAATGGATTGATCTTCTCCCAGGCCACCCAACGCCAAACATTTTCCAGGGCTTCGACATGCATCCGCATCCTATCCTATCAAACTGTCACTCCATTACCATGCAAGGTCATTGCGCCTTGGTTTCCCATGCAAGCCTCTGTGCGATGTTGGTCTGCATCTCTGCTGTAGGAGTCTTATGACAACGGTCCCTATCCGCCAAACACTCACCGCATAAGTGCCGGGAACCAAAGACCATAACAGCAACGGGCTGTAAAAAGGTGTGTCCTCTTGGCTCGCAGGTGCACGACGCTACCTATCCTGCGGAAAGTCCACTCAACAACAGCAGAGAAGTTGGAGGGCAGGGGAGGGCAGTGGTGGCAATGATCATCATGCTCTCGCTCGCAACAGCAGCGGTGTTGGGCATGACCCTTCGCTAACCAACTTACATGCATTCTTTGGCGGATCGGCTGGACATTCATCGCTGTAAATGACACGGCCCATCTGCTCAACCGGCACACCGGCGCAGACGGAGACGAGCAGCTTTTCAGCCAGCGCTTCTTTCATACTTTTGCACATTCCTTGCAAGATGGCGGCTAACATGTCCGGCTTGCAGCCTATGATGACAACATCCGCACCTTCCACGCTCTTGATTTTCTCGCTCAGTAGAACTGTCCCTCTAGGTCTGTAGTCCCATACGCAGAGTGTGCTTTCTGGCCGGTTCAGGCCGTACACATGCGATGAATCTGTCCGATGCTGTTGGAGAGGTCGGTAGTTGGACCTGTGGTACCCCATCCAGGGTTGGCTGGGGAGAAGGTTCGGTCCTTTGGTCAAGAACAACAGAATATCAAATAGAATGGCATTACCGAGGGTTTCTTACCGGTGTAAGAGGGTGAAGAAGGGCCACAAGCGGTTTAATAGCATCCTAGCACTGCGAGAGTCATGTCTCGTTTCGCCTGAAAGCCGTTGGGAACAAGTAATTGGGCGGTCATGTTGAGATACTTGGTTGAGGGCAATGGAACTGGGAGAGTTCGGTCACTATCACGGTGGTTGTGACAGCTTCTGGTCTTGTCCTACTCCGAGCCCGTATCTCGTGTAACGATGCGGGGAGACATAAATATTAATATTTTGTATCAAGTCTGAAACCCATATCCGTTCGGGGATCACCAATTAGAAGCCATCTTAGACTCCGACAAGGCTGCGGTTCATTGCTTAACATCCTCATTCGACACGCACAGCACAAGGGTCAACAATCAGGTCGGCGACCTTGCTGCCCGAGACTCCCCCCGTCTCATCTAGACACCTAGCCATCACGGCAAAAGTCGTGTTCACTCCTCTGCGCCAATGTGGTTGAGCCGGCCGCCCCGACGAACCTCGACATTTAGCACAGTTGCGGCAGAACAATGGCCGACCCTTTCGAAGTGCGCATGCGCTTCACGAACCTCCTCACACATCTCTCTGCCTCGGCGACGGCATCCATAAAGACGGCCCACTATGCTCTCAAGCACCGTGACATGGATGAGGATCTGCACAGCTGCATCATCGAGAACCTCGAGCGGGGGAACAATATGAACAACCGGGCGAACATCATGTATTTCCTCGAACACCACGCCGACATCAACACCAAGGAAGGCGGGCACGGAGCCTATGTCGACATGATCCGGCGAGATATTCAGCGCATCGTTGACGCTGTGGCCCAATCAGGCGCAAATGTTAAGGTCGTACGGCGCGTGGTAATGGGACTGAGCGACAAGGGCGTTCTCAGCGCTCAGGTGACAGCCGGCATCGAAACGGGGCTCAAGGAGAAAGAGGACAAGATGGGAAAATTACTCGGCGACGACGATAAGCCCGAAGACAGCGGCACCCCTACCCAGGTCGACGAGGGGCACAAACCGACGCCTCGTGGGAAAGGCAGTGTTTCAAAGATGGACAAACGAGCCATCGAACAACGTATTGAAGAGGACAGGGAGCGGAATAAGAGATTACGGGAGAGTGTCTGGGCGGTCTCGGGCGACGATGACCAGGAACTTGATCGGCTGTGGGAAGAAGGGAGCAGCATCAGCGAAGATGAGCGTGTCATTGCCGACGAAGAGGCCGAAGAGCGCCTCCAATTCGTGAGATACTACAAGTCAACTATGGTGGGAAGCTGAGTACAGCTTGATGCGAGGTCAATCCAAGCCTCACCATGCCTCTCATGCTGATACGGTCATCCACAGACCATCTTGGGTTATCGTTTGTCGGCACCCGACGCAATGTGATTGTGAGAAATCTCGTGTCACCTTCAACTCCTATCGACTACTCGACAGAGCAAGCAGCCCGAGTATTTAAAGCGCAAAAGATCAAGCTTTGGCTTTCTTAGACGTGGTGGCGACGTCGTCATCTTCATCCTCCTCGTCAGAAACCACCATCTTCCTTTTGCGCGGTACTGCCGAGCCTTCTCCGTCGGCGTTGTTACTTTGGTTCAGTTGCTTGTCTCTGCGAAGTGCGTATGCGAGAATCAAGCCCTCGTACTCATCCTCCTGTCCTCGAGCACTATCTTCAATCTGAGGGATGCGTTCCTCAAGAGGGATTTGCATGAGCAGATCTTTGTTCTTCTTCATGATCCGTTGCTTTAGGAGGAGCCGCCACCAGTAATAACTTCGATCGGCTGGGTTTTGAGCTCGAGCGCCTTTAACCTTCAAGCTGGTCAAGGATGCACCTCCAATGGCTCGATTTGAATAGGGAATCTGGGCTAACAGGAACATTTCAACCATACGCGCGAATTGCCGGCTAGCGATCTTGTTCTTTGCTCGGATTGCTTGCAAGGTTTCCAGAGGGAGTAACGTTGCTGTAGGAATGGACTTTATTCTGCCGCGTTCGAAGGACGCAAATGGGGACGAGTTGATCTTGATATCTGCAGCTTGAAATTGTGGTTCGAGCACATCGAAATCATTCATATCTCGCAGTTTGTCAAACTCTTCGCTGGGATCTTCCACCGTCATTTCCAGTACCGTCGGGTCGGCCATAACCTCTTCATAGATTGCTTGGTACAAAGCCGATCCGTGACCAGTGCTCTGGTAAGGAGGTGTGATCAAGAATTGTGATATCCGAAGTCGCGACGACAGTTTGTTTGGAGTAATTGTCTCCGTCGAAGGAAAGGTGAAAGTTGAGCTGCGGTCTTTGGGTTTCTGAAACCTGTAAAAGCGATAGGTCGTTGCATAGCCAACGAATGAGTATGGAGATGCCGTTGGAGTTGTAGACACGGACTGCTTCTCGTAGGTGAGATACACCCTCCAGCGATCCAGTGTCCAGTCTACATCCTCGAGGTTGATAAATTGTCCTCCTTCAATAAAGAACACTATCAAGATCTGAATATTGTCCACTAGTGTACGCATGGGGAGGTCGAGTAGAGATCCTGCCCAGACTTCAAAATTTCGCCCACCTCTTGTGTATTTCTTCACACAGGTTCCGGGAGGGATCCATTCTGACGCCTTCTCATCATTCTGTACCGCTTTCTCAAAGCCTGATTCAAATGCGACGGGTGGGAGAAAGTTGCCGAAGGTTTTGTTTAGATCCAGAGCGCTTGTAGTGCCAACTGTACCGAATTTTTTGTTGTAAGATATCTTGATGTGTGGGCGGAGATCATGAGCCGCGAACTGGATTCCCACATCCAGTCCTCTGTACCCGAAGATTTGTTCTGCCTCGCCTACGATCGGGTATGTGAACTTAGGGTGGAAGTCATGGCGGGTAGTCAATTGACCATCGGGTCCAGGCTGAACGACCGAGACATGTACAGCTTCGTTGGCGTTGACCGAGACTACTTCTCGTCAGCAAGATTTGTACAGCACGGGTATTATAACGAGTACTCACACTCTTCAGATGGCGCCGCCATTGTGGTAACAAGTCGGAAGAAAAGGAGGGATCACGGAAAGCGCAGAGTCTGCGCCATGAAGAGAAGGTGATGTCGTCGACTTCAATATCGTGGGTATCAAGAGTACTACGCCGTCAATCTGAGCAAAGGAACATATGGACAGAGATGTTATTCTGTGTAAATTGACGCTTCACTGCCCGATTGCACAGATCGGTCGCGCCAAAGTACTTTACGCGTTTTGGCTCGGCTAACCTGCATCTATTACGCCAAACGCGACAGCTAGGTACCTGTATGTAGACATTGACGAAACATCTGTCCACTGTTCTCAATATGTTCTGCAAACCCTGGGGCTAATATACATCTCATGATCAATTCCACTGTCAGTGCAGGGCCTGGCCTTTTACATTCAATTCATGAAGTGCCCATTCAAGAAGTGGACATCTATCCCTGAACGCCTCCTCGGTCTAGGCGATATTAAACCGCGTAGCATATTAGGAAACGACATGCATGGTTGCCGACAGGCGCCAGTCCTAGGAACTGCACTTCCATCTATTGGCCAGCTACAAGCCTACACAAGCCGTTTCGCTTAGAGCCTGAAAGCTGGAAGCACTTGCACTGGAACCAAGCCCTAGACCAAGCCGCTCGTTTCCATGAGATTGGCACCATTGGCCTCTGGGGATGTTTTCGGATCCCCGTTATGCTGAATCAGCTCCCCGCGTTGATTCCACCCTTCAAGTGCGGTGCTCCCATCTTTCTACCTGCATCACTTCTCTCTCCTTTCCCCACCGTCAACTTTCGTACTCATCATGGAAGGGATACAGCGCCCAACTGAGAATGAAGTCAAAGCCTGCTCGACGGCGACTCATGTGCTCGTCGAGCTTCCCATCGATCGAACACAACAACCATGCAGATTACTTCAAATGAAGCAAGATATGGTGGCTGGGTCTGCGCTGGGCTTTCCCTGGCCATCTTGATCGTCAGAATCGTGACTGCAAGGATCAGACAAGGAGCATTCGAAATCAGCACCGTACTCTGCATCATTGCGATGGCTATGATTGGAGGCCGTTTAGCTGCCAACCAGTATATTCTCAGTTATGGGACTGCAAATGATGCTCTACATTCGAAATCGCATTACTTCGACTCCCATAACATCGACAGGATCAAAACTGGCAGTGTCCTCGCCTTGATCGTGCGACTTTTGGACACTACGTTCTACTGGCTTCAGATTTCACTTTTATTGCTATTCTACTCGCGGATCTTCGAAGTGCGGCCGAGGTGGATCACCATATCTATCCGGACTTGTTGGCTTGCCATAGCCTTGTCCTATGTCGCGGTTGTTCTCGCCACATTTCTCGAATGTCGTCCTTTTCGACTGTATTGGCAGATCAAACCCGATCCTGGCCGATGTGTACGAGCATACATTCAGGTCCTCACCCAGGCCATCTCAAACATTGTACTCGACCTGATGCTGTTGGCCATTTCATCTCCTCTTGTTCTGGTCCGCAATCGCAGTCTGTCAGAAAAGTTTAGATTGGGTCTTCTGTACTGCCTGGGGTTTTTTTGTATCGTGGTAACAGGCGTACGCATTGGATACATCTTTGCAGAAGCATCGTACCAGCCGGTCCGGAGCTTCTGGGCGTCGGTTCAAATCCTGGTCTCAACTTTCGTTGCAAACGTCCCTACGATATATGGCTGTATAAAATTGATCAGGCGTCGGAGATCCGAACAGACCGCAAGGCGTGGTAGCCGTCCAGAAATTTGGCTGCAGGTCCAAGCAAGCAACGAAAGCAATACTTCATCGGTGGTACCGCTTTTCAACCGACGAAGCGATGGGTCTTTCGAAAAAGGATGGTTACGCTTCATCTCTTGATGCTTGAGTTTCGGAGGTGTACATATTCTACAACACATAGCACAGCTTGCAGTGAATGTTGCAAAGGTGGAAAAGGAGTTTCTTGTGAAGTCTCACCGAACGGTCAGGAAACCCTGACGGATGCGAGACCCAATAGTAACGTTCATTCCCTTCACAGAATACTTGAGCGCACAAGTTGTATAGATGCGCATGATCAAATATCTGATCGTCCAATATTCACAAGAAAATTCCAGTCGCGCTTCTGAATTGAACACGCTGGTGAGGGCGAGGTGGCTCCAGGGGTCGGCGCGGGCACGTGCATTGACTGGGGCGGAGTGATTAGCAGTTTTGTCTCTGGAAGCGGAAGCCTCTTCGGTCTTTCTCAACGCTGTGGCTTTTTCGTAGTCAACCTTTGGCATTTGAACCTTTCCTTGAGCTCAGGGGAGTCAACCACCACTTCTGGCTATTCTAGTGCCTAAACATCAGTCGCGCTTTCGTATATTTCACAGCATGATGCTGAATCCAGACCCCAGTCACTACCGCCGTCGTTAATTCCTCGTCCAAACACCGTCCGCCCCGTCAGTTCGAAATACAATCATGGACGGCCTCTTCACCCTCCTCAGCCTGTGCGCAGTCATGGCCACCGCTTCGTTTCTAGCCGGTATCCTACCTCTGGCGTTTTCTCTGTCTACAGCAAGACTACGAATGATTTCAACTATTGGCATGGGCGTTTTAGTGGGAACATCTCTGGTCGTCATTATACCTGAAGGGGTGGAAACGTTATACAGTGCATCAGAAGTTGGCCATAAACATTCGCACGCGCTCAGAGATGCAACGTTCGTGCATAGCGCAAGTGATCAGTTATCAGAGCTCCATACGAGATGGCTTATACACCCCGCGAGGACTTCTGGGGACGCTGGTGCGGATCCCTTTGACGTACCTGGGCCTGTAATTCCCTCGAACATGGATGACCCTCCTCGTACACCAACAGAACCTGATGTGGTTGGGATAATGGGAGAGGAGCACGATGCAGACTTGGGATCAGGAAAAGATGCAGGGAGTGCGGTGCAGCCTGACAAAGGATCCCAACACGCCTGGATCGGGATAGCCCTGCTGGTTGGCTTCATGCTCATGTACCTCATCGACAAAGTGCCTCAGTATTCTCAACCGGCAAAACCGAGAACAAGGACACACCACATTGCATTGAACAATCTCGGTCGCAGGTTCAACATGGCAACTTCTCTCGATGGCGACGAAGCTGGGGACGCTTTTCTGGGGTCGACCCAAGGATCGCAGATTCAGAGAAGTTTTGCAACAACTATTGGCCTGGTCATCCATGCAGCGGCTGATGGTATTGCCTTAGGAGCCTCTTCCACGGCCACTAATTCAGCGCTGAGCATCGTAATCTTCTTTGCTATCATGATTCACAAGGCACCGGCGGCTTTTGGGCTGACATCCGTCCTGATCAAGCAAGGTCTCTCCAAGAGAGCCGCACGAGGACATTTGCTGCTTTTCAGCTTAGCCGCGCCCGCTGGAGCAATCATCACCTGGATTCTTGCCAACGTTCTGGGTGGGGGAAAGAGCCACAGCCCGGAGACAACGACTTGGTGGACGGGGATGCTTCTGCTATTTTCTGCCGGCACCTTTCTATACGTTGCCATGCACTCGATGCAGGAAACTTCAAATTTTCACCATGAAGGTGCCAATGGGCAACCGAACGGTTATATTGAGGGCCGCGAGACTAGTCAGAATGGGCCAAAGCCGTCGTGGAGGGATCTGGCAGCGGCATGCTTCGGAATGGTGTTACCCATCTTCTTGCAGGTTGGGCATGCGCATTAAAGGGATGTAATATACTATTTGATCATTTTCATACCTGGCTGCGAACTGCTCGTGTTGCACAGCAGACGATTTTCACCTTTTCGAACCAATATCAGATGTATAATGAGAGAATTTGCGGTCACAGCGAGTTATATTGTATGACTGGATAGAACGAGATCAAAACCGATCACTGAGACCGGACAGAATGATTTTGGGCTTCTCGTACCCATCGGGCGGTGGTTGGGCAGCCAGACAATACCTGCCCGACTTACTGTCCCACTGTACGCAGTGCCTGTACCTGGATTTCTGGAGTATAGCGCATCAAGTCGGGTCCTGCCCATAATACTCGTCGAATGCCGATGGGGATCACCGCCAACCCTGCCTCGCCGGCTTGGATGTGATGGATAATGGGTACTTATATCCATACCTCAAAGTGAGTACCTCCTGAATCCCAGATTCGCTCTCTTGCCTGAAGCGCCCACCTTCTCGCAGAAGGTCTGTAGACGAGGGAGAACTACTTGGGACTCAAGACCAAGACCAACGAGAATGAATCTCTACATAATCCGTCCTAAGTTGAGGCAAACACATATGTATGTCCTGGTCCGACACTAACTAGTACAAGGTATTGGGGTACTATTGCGTCGTACTAGGGGAGGGCCTGCATATAGATCAGGCCCTCCGGCGTGCCTAGAGCCAGACTATTGCCGCAAGGATTGGCTTTAGGAGGGCCCGCCACTTTTTGTCTCCCAGTGCCAGCCCAAGCTCTTCGCACTGGCTCCTTGCGGCCTCTCTAACTCGAATCATTTGGATCATCGTGTCTCAACCGAAGACTGTCGAATCCGTTGCCATATATCACCATCCTTTTCGACTGCTTTTCCATCTCTGAGCTTAGAAGCATCTCCGCCACCACAGCGCCTTCAGCATCCGCTGACAAACAATCTCTGACCTTCAACCCTGGTGACACCGCTGTTAGCACATCCGCCCACTTCGGTTCGACCAAATACGACACTGCATCATCTGCATCGGCCTAGAACGCTGTCGTCCCGTGCCAGTGTCATAAGCGGTCGCTTCTGCCACCCATTCCACACCCACAACTCAACTCGTCCTTCCCCTGCCCCTTGCGCTGACATGGATTAACACAAAACAATTACATCTTCAAGAGCGGAGGCCTCACCTGTTCGTTTTCACATCGTTGCCCGCGCCTTCCTCCCGCCGATACCCTCCCTCAGAACGCTTCCGATAATCTGCCCGGGAGCAAGACGTCGCTGGTCACTACGACGACGACATGGACTTTGACGACGAAAGTCAGCCTATGGCTCTTGATAGACCACTCTCACCTACTCCTTCGAGATCTGTTTCAGTAGATCCCGCGCGGCTCGTCGGTCGCTTCCACGATGCCCGATCGTCGTTGGAAGAAGAAAGCGCATTCGAATTTCCTCCCTCCCAACCTATACCGATCGATTCGATACGTGCCTCAAAGTCCCGTCATAGCATATCACAAGGACGGCCAAAACGCCTGTCAACGACGAATAAACCAGGCATGCCGCTGAACATCCTGCCTTCTGCTCCAGCCTCTCCTCCTACACCTGCACCTTCTCCCACACCATATCAGCGTGCTCCTAGTTGGACATCTGCAGGGGAAAACGAAGATGCCTTCCTACGAGATGCTAGGGGGCATTTTGCAAGTTTGAATGCCGCCGAAAGAGAACGGTACCTGGCTGAACTACTGAACATGTGTGACAGTCATCTGTTGAGTTTTGTCCACCATTTCGTCTCTCCCCGACTTAAAAAAGACCCCTTTGAACATCTTCCCGATGAATTGTGTCTGAGAGTAAGGATCCGACCCAAACATGCATACTGTTGGCCCGAAGCTGACTTGTTCATAGGTTCTGTCGTATATTGATGATCCACTTAGTCTCGCCCGGGCTTCCCAAGTCTCTCACCGATGGCATAAACTATTAAATGATGATATGCTATGGAAGAGAATGCTCGACAAACAAAATTGGCGGAGAGCGTCTTCCAGTTCGATCGATGAAATGGAGCCTCTATCCCTACCAAGATCTGCTCATGGCCCTTACAGCTACGGTCGATCACCGAAACGAAGTCTCGATGGCTCGATTGTAGGTCCATCGAGCAGCGCACCAAACCTGACTCTCCCTGGCTCGACCGGTCCCTCGTCTAGTCCGCGACTTAAGAAACGACAGTCTCAGTCTCATTATTCTCACTTCAGACACAAGTACCTGATTGAAGCAGCTTGGAGAAAGGGTGGGCACAGTATCATCAAACACATTACTCCTGATCAGGGAGTAGTGACCAGCCTGCATTTGACTGATAAATACATTGTCGTGGCCATGGACAATGCAAAAATCCACGTTTTCAACACCGTTGGAGAGCATCAAAAGACATTAAAAGGTCATGTCATGGGGGTATGGGCCATGGTTCCCTGGGACGATATTCTTGTCAGTGGTGGATGTGACCGGGATGTTCGGGTTTGGAACATGTCTACAGGGAGAAGTATCCACACACTAAGGGGTCATACTTCAACTGTTCGATGCCTGAAAATGTCGGACGTCAATACTGCTATTTCTGGTTCGAGGGATACGACATTGCGGATATGGGATTTACCTACCGGGATGTGTAAGAATGTCCTTGTTGGCCACCAAGCAAGCGTGCGTTGCCTCGCAATCCATGGGAATCTTGTCGTCTCGGGGAGCTACGACACCACGGCACGCATCTGGAGTATCTCAGAAGGACGTTGTCTGCGCACACTGACCGGCCATTTCAGCCAAATATACGCCATTGCTTTTGATGGAAACAGGATCGCCACTGGAAGTCTCGATACTAGTGTCAGAGTATGGGATCCAAAGACCGGGGTTTGCACTGCTATCTTGCAAGGGCACACATCTCTTGTTGGACAACTGCAGATGCGAGGCGATACACTTGTCACCGGAGGATCCGACGGATCTGTCAGAGTTTGGTCATTGTTGACGAATTCACCCATCCACCGGCTGGCTGCTCACGATAATAGTGTTACAAGTCTGCAGTTCGATGATAACCGCATTGTCAGTGGCGGTAGCGATGGACGTGTCAAGATCTGGAATGTCGAGACCGGTCAATTAGTGCGTGAACTGAGCCAGCCTGCCGAAGCTGTCTGGAGGGTTGCTTTCGAGGAGGAGAAGGCGGTTATCATGGCCAGTCGATCAGGTCGTACGGTTATGGAGGTAAGTGGCTGTTGTCTTTCCGCTTACCACTTCTTTAACTCCTTTCCAGGTTTGGTCCTTCTCACCTCCCGATGAGCAATACGATGTTCGTCGATCGGAAAGCCCAATGAGTCTTCCTGAACAGACGTCAAGTGTGGCGGGAGATGATGACACGCTGCATTCCGACCACGACATCGGCGATGCTGATGCCCCCATGAAAGATGTGTAGAGCACCTTGGGGCGGCATGAACGAAGATACTAATCAAGTCTTCAACGAATGCCCAGCACATGTATGCGACCGTTCCGCCCTTCATGGGCCTCTGTTCTCAGAGTAACCACGCTTGCCCGCAGCAAGCAAGCATTTCTGTCTAATGCACTATGTTTATTGATACCCAACCTACTACCTGTGGACAAGCAGTACGCAGTATTCGGCATGAAATATGGTACCAAGGAGCACGAGGATGTGACGACCTGATCCCATTCCTCTCACCATCATAAGGCACTGCGTGGACCTTGAATGGTGTTTAATGTATTGAAAGTGCATTTTTGTTTGAAGGATGCAGCATTTGAGATTTCATTTGGAGCATGGAGCTAGGGTGTTACAAGTCGTGTGTCGCGAAACGACGACCACCCCGGTTGGTCAAGAACGATGTGAATGTGGACGAATGAGCTGGAATGACCCTGATACTCGGCCATGTGTGTCGTGCGCCCGAGGCCTAGCATTTTCTTGGTAAAACTACCTGGCCGGGACCAACCCGAGAACTGCACCTGATTTATATTGCAGCATTCATTCCATCCGCACAGCGAAGAAACGGCCAGCCACTCGCACATGAATTGTGTATATAATCATGCGCTATTGGCATGAAGTACAAATGGACAATCCAATATGACGGGCTCGAGAGAGATGTAGTTTGATACCAAAAAGGTTCCCTAGACATGCTCGGTTGATATCAAGTGACTTTCTACGGTCCCAATGTTTGTTTATATTGTATCTTGGGTACGCGGCCATGAAGCTGTATCTGCGGGCGTTATTGACAGTACTTGGGCCGGATCCCAGAAAGAGTATTCTACAAAAGAGAACTTATTTCTTTCCCTTTCTGATTTAAACATTGAACCGCAGCAGGACGTGGCGGACACGTAGTCTCGCCCCTTTTCTATGTCCAATCCAAGCGTTCCAAGACTGTCTGTATACTACTGCATAGCCCCGTATTCCTCCATGCTGACTGTGATGTCTGTAGTTCACAGCAGCCGGGTAAAGGGAGGGATGGAATCCGATAGATAGCGGCTTGTACAATCGAAAGACGGGTTTTGGACAACGTGCTTGTTGGTGGTATTGTTGTCCTTCAATCAATCGCAATTACCAATCCCCTGCCGGCCAAGAGTGCCGTATCGGTGTCGAAGCTGAAGGTCGACCTGTGTATTGGTTTTTTTTTTGAGTATTTCCGATTACTGTCGACTGTTTTGGTCAACTCATGTGGTCTTTCCCCCCGCTGCCACCGGTGACGTCTCGATTCGGAGTCGGTGCAGAGGGTTGGCCATTCTAGAGCTCCTCTACCCGTTCGGGCCTCCCAGTCTGGTTACCCCTCCAGGGTAATGCTGACGGTCCCCGTTCATGATCGCTCACTTCGGTACCTATTGGCACGGCCCATATCGTCGAGCTGGGGGATTGCTCGGTTGGGTGGCGCCTCTCAGTGACCACCTGTCGTCGGCAGACCAAGGTAGACTTTGAATGAGTCGTAGCTGTGGTTTTTTGGGGAGCAGCCGTCAGTAAACAGGTCGGGCTCCAATGTTCAAAATAGGAGACAGAAAAGAAAAGGGGAGGGGGGGTTGACATACATGAGCCACTGGAACGCTGTCAAGGTTCCTATCATGGCGATTCTGAGTGGGAGACCATTCCAAAGACCGGTGAATCCGATGTTTCCGTAGATCCTGCTCATCGCTTTTCCTGCAGATTCACCGGCTAATAGCGCAGATTGAGAGTTAGTTTTTGTTTTTGTTCTTTCGAGGAACACGATATTGGAACATTGGGGTACGATGATCCAAACATCGTAACAAATGAGAGAGAGAGAGAGAGAGAGGGTGTGTGTGTGTGTGTGTATGTGTGTGAGAGAGAGAGTGTAGTGGCTAAATGACATACCTTTTCGTTCCGAATTCAACTTACTCACCATGACATCGGCAGGGTGACTGACGACGGCGCAAGCGATGCCGGCAATGTAACCGCCCAAGAAGCTCACACCGGTCTGCTGCAGCTTGTTGTAGCTTTCCTTGGGCTTACCGAGGGTCTTGTAGATGTAATGCACCGTCTCTTCAAACGTGGCGAACTTGCACATGGTGTAGGGGATCTGTCTGCCCCAGAGGGGTGTGATGCCCTTGTACAAGCCGGCCAGGCCCTCTTTGCTCACGACCTTGCTCCATCCCTCGCGGAGGTTCTGCGCGTACGGGGGCAGCGTGGTCTGCATGCGCACCTTGATCGCCTCGAACGGGCACAGGAAGATGTCGGCGATGAACTCGGCCGAGGCCGAGGCACCCAGGAACACGAGCGTCCTGTTCGCGTTGGGGAAGAGGTTGTCGCCGTATTCGTGCTTGAAGACCTCGTAGAAGCCGTACTTGCCGGCGCCCTGGAACGCGTAGCCGACAAAGGTCGGCGACCAGCCGAAGAAGACGCCGCGGAGGCCCTCGGATGCGAAGATGCTGCGCCACGCCTTGAAGTTGGAGGTGTACAGTTTGCTGTCGACTTGTCGTCGAGTCTTCACCAGGTCGAGAGGCGTGACGAGCGTGTGCGTCGGCCCGCATGCTATGATGCCCCCTAGCATGCAGGACGCGAAGTATTTTGTCTTGTTTCGAAAACGTGGTGAGTTAGTCGTTGAGTGACTTGAGCGCCCGGGAGGAGGACGGGCTTGTGCCGCTACATACCGAGTTTGGCTCAATCTTGCCAAACGGGTAGGATTTGAGTGTGTCGGCCGACGGAGGCTTCAGTGCGGATGCCATCTTCTCAAATCCCCTTTCTCACCAAGAGCCGCAACGCACAAGTTGCAGATACCAAACACAAGCGAAATGAGGCTGGCTTGCTCGAGAGGAACGAATCGATTTGCTAATTGAGTATCACAGAGAATCGAAGCCTCGGAGAGGGGAGAGTCGGTATCAACAAAGCTACGGTGTAGATTTATAGCAGGAATCTCTACTTGGAGTGATTCGGTCGACTCAATGGAGGGAGATCAACAAGTCGACGGAGAAGCAACATGTAAATACCCTCGGGCGAGACAGTGAGGTGCGCAGGCCAGCTCTGCCGTAAGAGCCGTCGCAGCCGCCAGGAGCCGCGACATGCGAGGAACGCACAGGCTCATGCACAAACATGTCATATCTGATCCAGGGATCCTTTTCCGTATAGGAACTTGGAAAGTGGAAGATGGTTTGGAGGCACAAGCCTAGTGGCGTCGATAGGCGGTAGCTAGACTTCAATAGGCATCGATAGGGTCCCGTTAGGCTTCGATGGGCTTAATCCAGGCGCCTCGGCACCCGGAGATTCCGTCGATCGGCCACTGACATCATGCATTACGAAGAAGCTTGATGGGGGCGGGCAAGGAACAAGCATGATGTGTGAGCGCTCATAGGCCTGCACATTATTCGTACATAGGTAGGTACCTGGGGCAACGGGCTGGTGGTGATGATTCAGCATTGCACATCGTCTCACTCAGCCAGGACGACAGCGAATGGCAGCTACAAACACCACACTACATCCTCTGGCCCATGTCAACACCGAATCCGTTCCCGCCTGCAAAAACACCTGGCGTCGCGTCAGGAGGGAACAACTGATCCCATTCCGCCTGCAGGGAGTTTAGATATTAGCTTCCGCACCCAAACGCGAAAAAGCAAAACGTTGTGCGGCTTACCCAGTTGATATCCAACATGACAGAGTCGCCTCGAGGGTTGCTGGGTTGGAATTGCGGGATGTTCACTTGGTCGTTCGGAAAACCTGAGCCGATGCCATATGGATTATCCCCGGCGTCGTTGGGTATGGATGTCGTTCCTATCGCTGGTATGGAGGGCATTGAAACGACAGGCATTGATGGCGCACTTGATGTGTTCAACACTGTCCGCCAGCCCAACTGATCAGGGGCAATTAGGGGTGGCCATGACTCGTTCGTACCAGAGTCACTTGGACTGTTGAAGTCGCCTTGTTGACCAGGCGAGGTCTGATATGGCTCCGACCACGACGGTCGGTGCTGTTGCTGTTGCTGTTGCTGTTGCTGCTGTGGCTGAGGCGACGCTTTTTGCTGCTGGGTAGGTACCTGTTGAGCCGGCTGTGGGCTCACACTCTTGGTAGCAATGTCGCTTTGTTGTCCACGTACTGGGGCAGAATTCAACTTCCTCATATATAGTGTCGCTGGCGAGTCAAAGCTCCAGGTCGTGTCCGTGGAATACTTGATGTCTGGCGGTAATTCCAGATTCGAAGTCGGTGGCCCAGCGTCGGACGGCCTGGATATGCTTTGGAGACCACTGTTGGCTCCCACCGTGTTTGGACTGATAATTCTCGCGGTAGATAAGCTGGCTGGCCGGTTTGCCATACTGATGGGAATCCGTATTCGTCGAAGTTCCCGGTATACGTTAGTTCGGTCTCGGAGGGCCGCGATAATAGTTCGAGCTCTTTGCGTTCGAGACAAGGTTGGATCGGGCTCGAAGACATAATCAAGGACATCCCAGACGCGGTCTGCATCTCTCATGTGCGGCTCATTATAGATGATGGTTAGCAAGAGGAAAGCCATGTGCCATTGCTGGTGCGCACCCCCAAACCATTTCCACTTCTCAAGCAACGGCAGACGTTCCATTGCGATGGCACTCTCACAGGCCTTGAGCGCACTCTGCACTGTAAGCTGGCCAAGTCGCTCAGGGACCACATTGTTGGCATTGTTCAGATACCGGTGAAGAATCATGACATACATTCGCTGAATCAGCAGAGTCATGAGAAGGTGTGCATAATTTTGGATGGGCACTTCAAGATCGAAGGTCTTGTTATACTTGGACTCCATCGCTCGGCGGAACGATTCGACTTTCCCAAGGAGGTGAGTCAAGGATATCTTCTTCTTTTCTAATCGGATCCGATCGAACCAGATGATGCGTTGCATTTCCAGACACTCGAACCGAATGCGTGATAGTGTCATGTCTGTCCATTGGTCTTTGGCTTCCTGAGGGTTGGCTAGTAAGAGATCGGTATCGTTGATGTTCATAGGGAATCGGGTGTCGTAGTCCTCACGCTTGATACCAGGTCTAGGACCTTGTGTTTCACAGGTTCTAAAGTCCAGCGCGCATAACTGAAACCACACAATTCGTCGGACGTGACACTCCACTGGGTTAAGGCCGTAGACGTCTTCCGGGTCGCGGTGAAGGCCCATGCACTCGGCCAGTCGAATAGCCATCCCGACGATAACGGAATGTGCGCGAGATATCTGATCTCGACACATGGGAATGAGGTATATAACAAGTGCCTGAAGCGTCTCGAGTTTCGTGGCCCTGAGGAATGAGGCTTTACTCAGCGCAACTTCTGTTCCTGTTTGGAAGTTGCCCAAGACTGTACTTTTCGGCCGTGCAAATATTGCTGCTACGTCTCCATCCGCCATGCTAGCTACAGCTGAAAACAGTGTTGCCAGTACAAGTGATTGCTGCCATGCGGGAGGTTCAAGCCCAGCAAGCACTGCCGTCCAAAAGTTATCGTAGTGTAGTTGAAAGCTCGGCCAATGCACCACTCGAACGGGGAAATGAACATTTTCGTAGTACTTCCGTATCAAAAGGTCACCAGCTCCCTTTGCCGGAAGGAAGTTGATGAGCGATCTTTTACTGCCGACATCGCCGAAGAGAAAACCCGAACCGGGGGCGATGTAGGTTGGTCCAGGCGCTAAGAAATCATAGCCATGGTCTGGAAGCTGAGGTACTGCTGACAATTTTTCATCCGCCGTTCGATGGTCGACATTTGGGTCGTCAAGTTGGCTTGCAACCTATAAGAAGATCAACATGGCTCAGGTGTGCAGAATCACATCGCCTACCTCTTCGCCTATTCTGGGTCTAAAAAAGCCCCCGAGCCGTTCAGTAAGCCTACTGCTGTCAGTATTGTCACGCCTCGAGAAGAACTTCTTCAAGGGGGCCTACCTCATCTTGCCTATTTTGACACCCAGGTCCAAGACATCGTCGTTGGTGTCATCTTCATAAGCGCCATCGATCACTGCCATTGGTGTAGGCTCCAGGCCTTTTATGTCGTCGGGAACAGCAGCTTCATTGTCAGAACTGCTGTATTCGCCCCCAGGAAGATCGGCCGAGGTTCTTCTCTGCGAGTTTTCACTGGAGCTTGGAGTACTTTTGCCCTCTCTGCGGGCAACATCCTGCTCGAGGACCCTCTCAAGAGAGCCCATCTTCTCTTTGATCTCATTGAGGCGTTGCTGGGACACCGAATCCAAAGCAGGAGCCAGGAATAAACAGTCGCGCGAGAACTTGCTGCAATTGGTGCAAGGATGAAGTTTATCGCACTTCAATTTGCGACGGCGACATTCCAAACATGAAGTGATCATACGATTTCTGCGCCGCACCCTTTGCGACTGTGATCGGTCTTTGTCACCAGATGGAGGTGTGTCGTCAGGCATTCTTAGTGTTTCCATGATGCTTTAGCATAGGCGATCAAGCACCGTGGTGCACAAGGGCAATGGGAGCCTCGTGGTTACATAAAACGTCGAAGAGGGTAGCGGGGCAGAGAACGTTGTCGCGATAGCCAAGGCTGCAACAGCAGACAAACCAAGCGGGACAGTCAGTAATGGCCCCCACAGAAGGAAGACCCGGAAGAGAGAAAAAGTATGAACAAGAAATGATTGACGGGACAGAGCGAGGTTGGCCAGATCTCAACCTTCACTTAGGTGAACTAGGTACCTAGTCAGTGGACAGAAGTCACAAAGATACAAGAGCGTTGATTCTCACTTCTTGCTGTGGGAAAGCAGGACTCATAGCTAGCGGCATCAGTGGCATGTCCCATCCTACGTAGGCTTCCACACCCTTAACGTACTGGGGACATGTCTGTACCGTGCCATTATCCGCATCACATCTGGATAGAGCGTCAGCCAAACACCTGGCGATAGGCGTCCCGGGGGCATTGCCACGTCCACTAACTTTAAGGCTAGTGAAGCTGCCGATCTAGGGGCTGAGTAAGCCTTCCTAGGTGCTTTTTCTGAGTCAGCTACTTACCATCTCGCAGTCAACGAAATCCTTAGTAGTTCATATTAGGCGCGTCTGTTCCACCGTAGAGCTGCCCAAACACGTGACGCGGCGCTCTCAGCCCATTCCTCTTGGCGAGTCGCAGCAACGTCAAGCAGGGCTTTCTGAGCTGTTTTGTTGTTTTCTTCTATTGCATGATTTCGAACAACTTCTCATCGATCGCTCATTCCAGTTGAAATAGACAGCCTCAGTATTTGAGTCAGATCAGCCATTGGTTCGTAGCTTGTAGTATTCGTTTCGAGCTCAGTGGCTTGTGGCGTTTTGCCGGACAGCTTCGTCATCTTTTCTCGCGCGCTCCTGGGTTAGTCTGGGGAATCCAATACCAGCAATACGGATCACCACCGCACAACTTCGCTTGCGTCCGTAAGAAGCCACCACCTTATCGACGATGTCGTTCAGCGATGAGGCTCTCAAGGCCAAGCTGTCGACACTGAACGAGACGCAGGATAGTATCGTCTCAGTCTCACAATGGATAATGTTTCACAAGTAGGTCAAGCACATTTCCCACAAGGGCATACACACGATCACAGATCTAACATCATCCCCAGGAGACACGCAGATAGAATCGCGAACTACTGGCTGACCCGACTCCGCGACTCACCGCCGGCCAAACGTCTCAACTTCATCTACTTGGTCAATGACATCGTCCAGAATGCGCGGGCACGCAAGCGCACTGAATTTCCAGACGCCTTTTCACCTTTTATGGCCGAAGCAATCCAGACCGCCTATCGCTCATCTCCTGCCGAGATTCAGCACAAGATTCGGCGTGTAGTCGATGTATGGCGCGCGCGCAATGTCTTTGAGACGCCGATTCTCGAAGCCATCGAATCTCGCATCGAAGAGGTCGACAAGACCAAAGGCTCAAGCGGCGGCGGCAAGAAGACCTTGATGGGCCAATCCCTCTTCAATTCGTCATCATCAACCGGTATGCCCAAAGAACTCGAAACCCTTGCGCCGCTCCAAACCGCCGTAACGAAACAAACCATCTCTGCTCGCCCGACCATCGACACCGCGCAGACCGAATACATCAAGCTCACGGACCCGTCCGCCGTCTTGCCCAGCCCTCCAGTCCACGCAGCTCGGTTGTCCAGTCTGATAAAAGCTCTCGCTGCTGCCGAATCCTCGGTGTCGGCCAGCATTAAGGCTCGCAAGGCCCTCATCGCCGACCTCGAACGCATTCTGGACATCAACAAATCCGCCCTTGCCAAGGACGAAACGACCTTTCTCGAACTTGAAAGCCGCAAGAACAGCACCGAGGCGAAGAAACGCGAGGTCGAGGACGGCATCATTCGTGGTCTGTCCGCCGCCGAGCACGTCCCTGCCAGCGCCGAGAATCCAGAGTCAGCCATCTTGTCCCCCGACCTGCACGAACCGTCGAACGACAGCGGCGCGGCTTTCCACTCCCAACGACCAGAGATCGAGGCCCTCACTCCCGAACGCGAGCCAAGTGCCGACGAGTACGGCGGCTTCTTCCAATCGCCTCCTCCGCAACAACAGGACGTGGGCCGCTACAATCCATCCGCCTCGCCACGGGCCAGCAATCCAGCCATCGCAGCTGCATTGGCTTCGTTTTCTGGCGCCGAGCTCTACACTCCAGGATATTCCGCAACTACTTCTACTCCTACTCCTTCTGACCTTGGCGGTGCAGGCTCGCTGGTGCGCGGACGCTCGAGCAGCGGACAACACGGCATGAACGGGCTGAGCACAGCCAAACGGCGCAAAATGTCCCACGGGGAGGACGAGATGGTTCCCGACCTCGGTGAGATGGGCATGGAGGGTTTCGGACAGCTCGACGCCGGTGGCGGCCCGGCTTTCAACGATGAGGCTTTGCGGAACTTGGACCAAGATGTCACTGACCTCCTCAGACAGGAGGGTGGGGGCCCGTGAATGGTTCAGTGTGCATAGTTGTACCGGTGTGATGTGAGGAGGTGGAAAACCAAGGATTGTGACGACGATGCATACACGGTAGCCGCAAGGCAGAAAGAGCTCTGAGTCGGTGGTGGTGGTGGTGGTGGTGGTGGTGGTGGTGATGGTCACTGTGCTTGAAAGTCACTCACATATCTCGCCCTGGAGAGAAATAGACCAGGTGCTGTTATGTTGTACCGTGGCGAAGAATGTGAAGCGGAACACGTCTTTTTCTAGGGATCTTGTTCGTTTAAAGACGGCCCGCAAAAGAGCCGTCAGCAGAGGTACTGCGCCTATCTCCCTGTATTCTAGGAAGGTCATTCAGAAAGGAAAAAAGCTACGTAGTAGTATCTTGATGGACTTCAATCCTCCTTTCCATAGGAATCCGGTCCAAGGCTACTCCGTACACAACACGACAGACACGACAAACTGTGCTGTTGTGCGTGTATCATTTTTTGTAGTGTACGAAAAGTGCCCACGGGTATCTGTTCTCCATCCTCCTATCCCGATGGTGGTTTTCTTCCTGAGGCCGACAGAGAAATATACTTAGTCTTGGGGAGGTCGCTTGCTGGCATCGCCTGACATGGATTGCCATGCAACCTGGTCTCTTGTCTCTTTATCCATGGAATTTGCAGCAAGGCATCTTCGGATCTTCATTGACAAACCGCCGTCACCAAGCAGAATATCCAAGACGTTCAAAGCTGCCTCAACGCTATCCAGCTATGGCGTCATATCGAGAAATCCCAATTGTCATCCAACACGTCGCACATCATGACTTCGACCTTGAAGCGGCGTGGGCGGACAAACAAGCCATGTCTACACTCATCATATCCATAAGTATAGATCATGGGGTTTCTTGGTCTTTATAAAACCCCATGTCCTTGTAAATTTTGCTCTCCTCAAGCAGTAGGCCTCTTCAATGGATGAGCCTCGGTGTTAAACACCCATTGGTCTAAGTCCACGACCGACGGGTCGCTGAAAATGAGATAGAAATACTTCAACGTCTCGGCAAGCCAGAAACTCTCCATGCGGTCACTTTGCTCGGGCATCTGCGCTCTCACGTCGTTCACGGCAGCGTGGGCAATGGCCGTCTTGGTCGCGGTGTTGATGCGTTGGAACATGGCCCACGCCGCCTCTTGCAGCTTCTTGTCGCCCGTGATGCGGTAGAGGATGAAGATAGACTCGATGGCTTCGGGGCGGAGAATGTACCGGTTGTCCCCGTGGTCCGTGTACCCGAGGGTTAGATGGTTCTGCTCAACGAGTTTCTTCCCCATTTCCACCGGAGTCGAGTCCTTGGGAGGGTCGGGGGAATACTTCTTCCAGACGGCCTCGTACCATTTCGCATCTGTCCACTCACACTTGCCCGGTGGCGCCGCGTTGACCCCGACTTGGCACGGGGCGAGGTGGAAAGTCTCGGGCATGAGGCCAGACGCCATGGACTTGTACGCCCAAAGGCATCCGTCGACTAGCCGTTGTGCAATGGGCAGCTCATCGGGGCGGTCAAAGATCTTCGCTCCGATCCCGACCATTCCTCCAACGAAGCAGGCAAGATGCTGTCCCTGAGGTTCGAGACTCGAAATCGGTATCGTCTGAAGTGCCGTTAATGCAGCGTTGCCACTGAACAGGATATCCTCCTCGCCGGGGACGAGCGGTCGGAAAAAGAGGTATCTCTTCGCGGCCTCGATGGCTTCTTCGTACATGTGCTTGTATTTCTCGTCGCGCCCCCCAAGCATCAGCCACTGCTTCGGTAGATACTCATACGTCGAATCAGCCATGCCGCTCATTGTGAAGTGGTTGACATCAAACGTAAGTGCCTTCGCATCGACGAGGGTCGGCCAGAGTCCGGGGATCTTGGTCTTGTTCTGCGCCAACTCCATCGTCTCCGCTATACGCTGAATCACGTCAAAGTACTTCATGTCCCCAGTAAGCTGGCTCAGGCGGGTGAATTCGACGGACAGACTGCCAATCTCTGCGAGTAGAGTGTTGGTGCTTGGCTCGATTTCTCTACCGACAGCAGTCATGCGCCACTTCCACCGCGCCATGGGCATGTGGGTGGGCGTGTCGAACGCGGAGTATAGGATCTCGCCTAGATGGCGCGCCTTGTCCAGCAAGACCGGGTACTGGCCACCAGAAAGATCGTACGCAGCGAGGAGGCCGCCGAGGTATCGTATCGTTGTCTCAAACACGTTGATCGTCTCTTCTCGGCTGGTCGTAAAGTCGATGTTGTTCACAGCCTCTACGCACTGCTCAAAGTCATTCTTCAAACCCATGATCCAGAGCGTGTCCATGGTGTCAACGAGCGTTGCGCCCCATCCGCCGAAACTCATACGCGCCGTTCCACTTAATGGGCCGACCTCGTCTGCGCCCCAGGCATGTTTCTTGTACCCCTGCCACGCGTGTGTGAAGGCATCTTTGACAACACCTAGTCTTGTTTCCCTCGTTTTCTTCTCGTCCGACGACTCGGTCCTGGAATGAAAGCCAAATTGGATCTTGGGGATATCCCTTAGAGGGCCGGCGGGTAGACTTCGTTGGTTTGTGATGGGATATCTCTCGGGACGTTTCGTCCAGTGCAGCTGGCCCCCGGACGCGCTGCCAGGATATTGTGATGAAGACGGAGCATGGCTGGGTTGGAGGACTAAGTAGTATACAACGCACGCGATGAAGAACGCTGGCACCAGCCAAAGCCTTCGAATCAAGATCATCCTGAAACAGCGGTTGTATGCAGAGAAGATCTGTCAATCCGTGTCCCGCGAGCTGCGCATATGAAAGGCATCAGATTGACCTCCAGTCCTCACAAAAGGCAGATGTGTAGGTTGTAATCATGACACTGACGGCCCCCATCCGTAGTCGATCAAATTACAGGGGTCTAGACGTGAATGGAGTACAGTAGCCGTTTGGGGTACGCTGATTACCTACTATAGGTAGACCGGAATTGTTGCTGACCCGTGGCATTTGAAGCCTACCTGTGGTTGCCTAGCTAAGGGCCTAAGGCAAGGTACCTAGGAATAGCTTTTGGCGCGAGAGTCTCAAGGGGCCTGGGCTTGGACTCTAACCAGTTCGATCGGCCCAGTGGCCCCCGCACACTTGCACAAAAGGTCCTCGCGTGCCTACAGCCAGAGGTACGACGAGACAGTCTTTCGAGTCGAAGTTGGAGAAACCTCCAACGCTTCAAGAAAAACATCAACCGTTAGATGCTCGCTCCCTGGCCCATCACAACAGCAGCATAAGACAACCATGGAAGCCCAATAACCCTTGTATGCCTCACTCTTACACACGACAGCCATGCCCTCGACGGCGCTCTTCTTCCTACCACTCGCTCCGAGTCAAACATCCCCCACCTCGACCCTGATATCGCACATAACGCGCACTCTCCCGGCCGAACCCTTACCACCGTTCATTCTCGATCATCGTCTCTTTGTCGACACGTCTTCCCTCCTTCCCAACACCGACACCTCAAAGCGCACGTTCACGAGCATTCTACACCTCTCGCACATCCCGCACCAGTCCTTTATCGGCACTACCGCTCCCACTGCTACTGTTCCCGCCTCTGCTTCTCAGCCACAAACGACGACACCAACGGAACCGTCCCTGACAATCACGTCCCTCCCCTCATCTTCGACAGACACACTGACCCAGCTTATCGGCACGAAGCTTCAACCGCAATGGGCGCATCGCCAGTCCGTCATAATCGACAACGGCACTTCCCTCAGCCTCCACAACGGCGACTACACCATCCGCCTGGGTGACGTAAAGACATCGCCGAGGGGTAACCAACCGCTCAGTCTTCGGGGGATGATTCTCGAACTCACCTACAACACCGACAACGGTTCCGAGGAAGTCGCAGAAGCCTCCAATGGCGCGAGTGCGACTGCGACCGACCCTGGCACCGCGAGAGTGAGTAGAGACGACGAGACCCTTCTACGTGGCGTCGTCGACGCACTCGCCGACTCAGCGGCGATATCACTTGCTGGCGCACGCGTGTTTTTTCGCAGGACACACCGTCAAGAGAACGGAAAAGTACCCCCCGGTGTGATCGACTGGGATCTTGTAAGGCTGTATATGAGTGCGCTACGTGGCTCGAGAGGTTGAACAACTGAACCATCTCCGTCCCCTCGATGGGACATTTTTACACCTGGAAACTTGGGACGATGCTCTGTAAAAATATAAAACGATATTACAGGTAGGTGTGTGCCTGTATTATATACCTAGGTATATATATACTATCGATGGGTCTTGAGCAACAATGTTTTCTACGACAATCAAGAACAAGAGTCCTCCCTACAAATGCGGTGTTGTCTCAGAGGTCCCGAAGGTACAACAGATAATATCATCCAATGTCAGAGATTGACGATGGACGGACCATCCCAGCTTTCTCAGAATGCCCTGCAGGCAGTTACTTTTTTCTGGACCCAGCGACGACCTCTAAGCAGCCTTCCTTTATCGAGACTCAAGAACCTGGTCGGAAGTGCGCTGTAGGGACAGAAGACGGGACAATACCCTACCCCCATTCAACGCGATTGTCAACCTTGAGATTTGCCTATGTTGCTCTCTTGAAAGTACTCAAGAAATCCCTCCATCCTCATGACATGTCGTATCGTCATCGAGATCCGGTTTCGTCGCACCGTGGGATGAATCCAATGTGTACAATTTTCACAGTAACATGCTAACCGAGGACCACTCACTCATCGTCACGGCCGGCTTCCTTGTCAACACACCTCATCTCGTCTCTTCTCATCTCTATATGTCATAATCAGATCAGGTCGTGAATTAAAAAGGCACCTCAGACCATAAAGAAGAGGACGGGCCACCAAGAAATTCCAGGTATGCTCTCGGTGATACCTATATGCATATATGGTTATATGTACTCATCAAAATAATCGTTATGTATATCTATAGGCAAGATCAACCAAAAGGACCTCCTCTTGTAATCATCCGAACGTCTAGAACCCTGCCACTCCAAATAGCACACGAGATCCCAAGTTGTGCTGTTAAGCCACCCACGGTTTTTTTATTGGGCCCCTCTTGATAAACGCCGCCCCATTGCAGGGAATGCCATGCCGCTATACGTCCCAAAAAATGGCAAATAGATAGCACAAAAAAAAACACAACGAAACTAGCCTCTCGTGTCTTGCACTTGGTAGCCGCATGGCGACACCATATTGCTAGTAGATTGCCTCCAATGCATGGGAAGAGTGAAAACAACGGAACACCTCAGACACGACATGAAGTCATTCTTGACCATCGACAAGGAAACTCGAAACGCTTCAGGGGTTCCTTGCTCCCATGCTCCTTCCAGGAGGTATTCCAATTTTTGCAGACGTGGACTTGTTGTCCCGCACCGACAATGCATTTCCTTACCAAGTCTCGGCAATATATTGACCTGACGCCTTCTTCTCCGCCCAGAAGCTCTTGGCCTCATCGAGGTTCAATTTACCCTTGGCCATGGCGACGTCGACGAGCGCGGCCTCGACACCTTCACCCATGCCCTTGGAACTTCCACAGACAAAGACACGTCCGTCGAGAGCGTTAATGATGAACCAAACCAAATCGGCCTGGTGGCGGACTTCTTCTTGGACATATCGACCTTCGCCGCGACGAGACTGTACAACTTTCTTGACCTTGTCTTCGTGCACACCCCAATCACCCGAATACAGTTCGTCGAGTAGACTGTCCCGGATGCCCTGCAAGACCCACACCTTGTTGGCGCAGTTAGCCGACTTCAGTCGTCGGTGAACAAACCCTCTGAATGGAGCAACGCCTACGCCAGCACCGATCAACAACATCGGTCCATCGCTGACGAACTCACGGGCAAGAGGGTTCGCCATCAGTCCACGGAACATCGGAATTCTGAGATCAAGCTCTTTGGGATCTTTGCCCTCTTGCTCGGCCTGGATAACCTGCTGGGCTAGTCTCTCCAAAAAGCCAGACGACACGCCCGTCCTCTTGCCCGTAGCGTAGTCTTCAGCTTCATGAACCGACACCGCAATTTCAATAAGCCGTCGACATTGCGTGCCGTCCCGCTGACAAGAAACCATAGGGTCCTGGGAAAGCGAATAAAATCTTGGCATGAGCTGGTTGAGGACAGAAAGGAGGAAATCAAGAGGTGGCCTGGAGGATGGGAAAGCGTCGAGAACTTGAGGAATGGTGACGTAGGCCCCCGTACGGAGGTCACAGAATGTGCCCTGACCCTGCGCCGAAGACAGATACATCAGAATCATCTTCTCGTGCTCATCTTCGGCATATTCTGCCAGCAGGCGGAACAATTGTTTCGTCGGGGGGTAGCTTTGGATATCAGAACACCAGGTCAACAGCTCTCTTCTCGTCGTGACCAGCTCTCTAGGAGCATCGTCGCCCCAGATTGTCGGCCACCTTCCTGACGTGGTCTTGAGCAAGATCGGTTTATCCCGCACGAAGCTCGGTACGCCCAACCTGTTGAAAACCTTTTCCACCATCTCGGGGGAGTTCGGCGCGCATACGCCGATTGCGCCTCCAACAACAAAATCAACATCGCCGCCCTCGACGGGATAATCTGTCACGTCAATATCGAAATGGTATGTCCTTTTCTCGGCCCCGGGTTTTGTCAATTCGCGCGCGTGGAAGAGAGGAGCAGAGTAGACTTGGTAAGGTGGGTGAGGGGTCACGAAATTAGGTGGGTGCTTGAGAACTTCGGTGGTGTGTCGTTGTGGCGGTTGGGCATAGGTGGTATTTGTAGAGGAAGAGAGTGGTTCGAACGTAACTGTCTTGGTGGGCATGTCGACGATTCCGGTCAGCTCGCTGTCCATGCTCAGGGCGCCGAGCTTGAGCTTCAGACTCCGGTAGGCAGCGTTGTCAGGCTCCCTGACCGGGTTGGCACCTCCCGGAATGCCCTTCGCTCTCAGTTCTTGCAGCATACAGCAACCTCCACCACAGCACGCCTTTTGTACCATGGCGGTGGCCGTGCCAGTTTGTCCCAGGAACCGCCTCGCATCTTCGGAATCTTCAGAGACCAATACTGTCGAAGCTCGTCTCTTTCTAGGAGATTGAGTCTTCGAGTATGTCTGGCCGTGTCGTTCGTCGAAGGAATCGTCGGACGAGTTCTCGGCGGGAGTAGTAGGGGCGGTGTCTATACTCGAGGCGTCGTTATCGGAGTAGGTGCCTGTCGTGGTGATCCTTGAAATCGGCGATTGACTAAGCTGCGATGTGCTCGTGGACAGTTTCCGAGTCCGCGAAGGATCTTCTGGTATGGGATTGTCGGGGTGCGAATGTGCTGTTAGAGGAACTGCATGGCCGGCGGAAGCCATTGTGGCGTGTGCTGCGCCAGTCATCCTGAGATTTTTGTGTCGGGGAGGTATGTACGAGTAGTGGTAGCTGCGAGAAATACCTGTCAAATTTTGAGGGTTAGATAGCGGTAGATGTTGAGTGGACAAGAAGCGGGAAGCATGATTGAAGAACTGCAAGCGATTCAACATGGACTGAAGCATCCAGAGAGGTCGATAAAGGTGCTTGAAAAAGCATTTGAGAGCATTATGCAAGCAGCTGATAAAGTTGTAGGAACTTACGGGTGGTGGTGGTTGAGGAGGAGGAGTGAAAATGTGGATGATGTAAGAGTGCGGAACGTTGTCGGGCGATGCGGCAACTTTGGTATCTCTACGCGATGAGACAGCGACTTTTTCTTTGGCCCCGGCAAGACAAGCGAAAGCGAACACGGCGAGTCGCGTCTGCTGCGTCTGCTGCTTTTTATTGATGAATCATTTCCTGAACCCGCCGAAAGGAGTGTGATGTAGAAGGCGGTGATACAGGGTAGTCGAGGAGCAACGGACTAATGATTGTGATGTGATTGAGATTATTAACGAGTGAAAGAGGAAAGAGAGAAAGCGGGAGGCTTAAGGAAGAAGAACGAAGGATGGCCCGAGTAGATGGGATGAGATGTCCGCTGCGGGAATCGGTAGATATCGGCCATGGGTCTACAGTCCTACTCGTATTAGATGGGCAAAAATGGTCTCCATATATTGTCAAAGGCTTGTCCAGAATGTGGGCTGATTCATGGACTGATTCCGTCTTCCCTGGCTCTTGTTGGGCATTTCATTCCTTAACCCGGGTGTCTTTCCTTCTTTCCCCGGATCACGCGTCTCTCACCCTGTCCACGATCTCGTACACTTTCGAAATGATCCGGCGATGACTTTGGAAGTCGTACGAGGGTACGATAACTACAAATGGAGAAGTTGTTCAACGGAACCCAAGTGGCGTTGCGGGCAATGAGTCCATGGTGGTCTCGGTCTAAAACGCCCCCACCATCCATGATGAGAAAAGATTGGATCAGATAAGATTAATTTTTCAATAATCATGAATCATCTGCGACGATATCGGCCTGTGAGGTGCTGCAGTAGGGTAGCCTCAGGTAAGCACAACTCGGACCTCGGTGCACGGCCGGCGTACGATATTTTTGTGTCCCATCGACGTTTTCCAACCACTTGTTTTCCCCATACATGTACGGAGTACGGAGTACGGAGTACAACTTACTCATATCCTGTACGATTTTGTTCGTGGGAACCGCATTGCATTTCTGAGTGGCAAAGATATATGCCTGACAAGAACAGAGCACGAGTCCTTTATTCTGCATTGATTAAGACAAGATCCAAATCACGCAACTCCGATCGCGGGCCAGAGTCTCAGGACGCGGCTGCCGCGTACCCGATTGCAGGCCTCGGTTCCCTCCTTGGGGTACAGGTCACCCACGATAAATCTTAACTAATCTAATCTTATCCAATCTCCTGGTGTCGCATTGGCCCCTTTAGATCAGGCAAGATCACATCTGTAGATCCCGTCTCCAGCCACCCCCTGCTCAGGCCTGGCCTTGCTCAATCGTTTACTTTGCATCTGTGCACAAGGACCTCCCTACTGCATCTGCGAAGACGTCTCAACTTCAAAGGTAGACCACGCGGCATACTTGTATTACCCATGAATATACTGATTCTCAGAGGGCGGAGAAAGAACCTCTGACTCCGGCACCTCGCAACCTGATGCTTACGAACAGTTAACGTTCGCGCCATACCGGCGTGAAAAGCATTATTGTCCGACTCATCTACCCAGTCGTATATCCTCTGTAGCACTCCGCACACTCGATCATTTTATCAAGTCTCATACTCGGTACTCAGTTTTAGGGAGGACACCATTCTTAGGGAGAACACCAACACCACCATTCTCCGAGCCTCTCCTGTACGGTTAAGATCCGAATCCGAAATTCGAATCCTTTTGTTTCAGCTAGACGCGTCACACCCCGTCTCGGCACGGTAACAATACGAGGTAAGGTCCCAAATCCGACCTTGGACGTGGTCATCAATCAGTCTGGCCCACACAACCCCTGCATAAGTACGCCTACATTGTCTGCCTCGCCTGCCCAGTTCAAGTTACCTTTTCTCAACCTGACTTTTTCAAAGCTTCTGCCAAAGCTGAAGAGAAGAAAAGTATGTAAACGAGCACGATGTGGTAGTGGCCTCAGCAAAACCTGCTCGCCTCCGAATTGTCAACCGACACGTAGTCCGGGAGGCAATCCGATTCTCCTACGCAGGCAGGCAGGATTTGGTTTTCTTCTCATGATGATGTGGCGTTGAGTAGTACCATGATTCGTATCCGTGTATGTACCCATTAGTCCAGCCACCTATGGTGTAGGTACCGACCACCGCACATGAATCTGTATCTGGCCAGAGCGCGCCGCCACCCTGAACCCCTACAAAAGTATAATCTATCTACCTTGCCATCCTCCTGTCAAACTGTCCAAGGTTGTCAAGGTTGTCAAAGTTGTTAAGCTGTCAAGGTGATCGTGAAACCCTTGCATTTCTTCGGTGCCACTGACGCCTTCATTGCACGCCACATCAAAACTCAATCTGGTGCCTACCAATACCTTTAATACCTTCTTTTATAGACCCAGTCCGCCTTGCTGAGAGTTGACTGACACCATGGCATCTTTCACGGTTTTACGATTTAGAAATTTAAACATTTCTACGTCTGCCACCGCAAGCACCCAGAAGAAGCAAAGAGTACGATGGTTAAGGTTGATGATACGAGCCTGAGGTGGACCAAACCGAATTGTCCAACTTTAAATTACGGATGGAACCTAATTGAAGCAGTTGAAGAGCCTCCATGCAGGCGTTTAAGTTTTCAGCTTTCGTTTTGGCACATCCCTTCGTCGCTCCCTCTACAACTACCCAAAACTCCCTGAAGGTTTGACTAAATTTAATCGCGCTGCATCGTACGAGTCACCTGGTGGTCATCATTATCACCATCGCAGTATGGATGAGGGAATTCGCTCCCTCCTCGTGCAGTACATTCCGTCTTGTCCACTCCTAACAAACATGTTCCAGCTAAGTAGGTATGTTAGGTAGTATGTAGTAGCCCCCCATTCCGTTCCGAGTCCTCCTGAGAAATCTTTGGGCCTGAGATGATGACAGTTGTGATTCTTTGTTCACCTTTAGTTGACGACAGCACATGCATGATGTGTCTCGGAGGGCCACAAGCCGTCCGATACCAGCAGCCGTTCAATCGTCCACTCAAACCAAAAAAGCACGAAAACATGTCTACGTGATTTGTTTACCCCAGGTTTTTGTACCGGGGGTTGTGGAAAAGCAAAAGGGATCTATTTCCTGCGGGGGAGCTGCCCAACCCACACCTACCTACCTCTCTTGGTACACGAGAGTACCTAGGGACATGCGAGTCACAGACCTCCTGAGTAGGTACTGCACGGGTGACTAGTTACTAGCTTGCGAGTAGAAGTTTATTTACATACCCATACTCGCGACGGGTGTACACTGTACGGACACCTAGGTAGGTAGGGAGAACACAAGAGAGTCATGTGCCAGCCAAGAAGCTCCCTTTCCTCCCTTCCCAGCTACCGGCTAGTAGGTGGTAACATACCTACCTACATACCTACCTACATGCCAGCTGGTAATCTGCCAACCTTACCTTGGGTACCTGCCCATACCCGCAAAGACTCACAGGTAAGCATCTGATATCCCTCCTGCTCTCCTCTTTGCCCGCTGGTGGTCCCGACAGAATCACGACCCCTACTTCAGCCGCAGGCAGGACAACCGTGACATTTCACTTCAGTCCAACCGACAAGTTCAATCCAACAAACTGCAGCGCACCACGAGTGAAGCACAAGTGCAGGTAGAAGTACAAGTGGATGAAGTACAGGTAGAAGTACAGGTATACTCGGACGAGTCTTTGACTGGATGGATAAGTTCACTTCGTCGGTCCACGTCAGTAGCGCGGCCACCATATTTCGTATAGGTACCTACCTATGTTCAAAACCAACAGCGGTACGGCTACTCGTAAATCACCCCGGTCCCGAGTAGTTCATCTATTCGCTTTTTACTTCCCATGTTGTCGACACAGGCGTTAATCCGTCCCCAGGAATACGGGCCCGGGCCCGGGCACGGACAACACGGGACACACACGGGACACACGGGGTTTACATAACTCGTAAATGGTGATGATTCCTTCCTTGGTGAAAACCCAATTTTTTGCTCCTTTCGTCAGTGGCGCCCGCATCGTACCTGTTTCTCTATCTCTTTCAGTACCTGCCACATTCGGGATCCACTTTCCAGCAGAACCGAACTACAAAGATACTCGAGACCCCATACTTGCTAACTACTCGTAGTACCCAGGTAGATAGTCAGATGCCTTAGGTACAAGAAACCCAGCCGTTAATTAACATTACCTACCTGTACTAATCCTACGACTTTGCTCCAAATTCTGACATGTACACCTCGCCCCCCCCTTTCCCTCCCGGCTCCCTCCCGGCTCCTTCCCGGCACCGCATTTTGGCTGAACCTGTACTCGTACGAATAGAAAGGCTGCGGAAAAAAGATAACAGCTTTTGATCGAGCCAGGTATATCCTGGCGCCGTGGTTCTCAGGACACCCTCCCCCACCGCCCCCGATTTCCTTCCATTACGTAGATACCCTTGTACTCGTCATCTTTTGTCGTTCCCAAGGGAGAGAGAGAACGGGTCACAAATTGACTCAACCCGGCCCCATGGTGCGCTAGTCAACTGACTAGGTACGTCCTGGGAACTACGGGTCGCTGATTGTCATAGCCAAGACCCGGCCCCCTCCTACAATAGAACGACGATAGACTAACTAGTCCCATGGAATCACTGCTGACATGGTCTTCAGTCACCAAAGAAAACGCGACTTTGACTAAATCGATAACTTAGGCGGGGGTGGCCAATGTGTATTACGAGATATTCGATCAATGGTTCTGTGCAATCCCACAATGGGTGGATGTGCGGTGTGCGGAGCAGCGACAAGGGTACGGAGTAATGCATCCGCATACATACCTGTGCAAAGTCCGTAGGCTGTATGTAGCCCTTACAGTCTTCCTGCTACGAGTAGCTGATCAGAGTTTCTCGGACAGGATCGACGATTCAGCGAGGAAAAGGATCCCTCGGGACGGGTAGCTAGCTATGTGATGATGCGGCTGAAGCAATTTGACTTTGTCCTTGCCATAATTTTAACGCTGAGCCGCGGTGTCGAGTGTCAGTTACCAACTTGACAGACGATCTTTCGGATGTTGCCGAATTTGCCGGGTCTGCCCTTGTTTTCCTGGAGCAGCTGAGGTCAACTCACACACCGTCTATTGGACGCGCAACGAAGGTGGTTCAATTTCCTAATCTAGAGCCAGCTTCGATGTTGCTCGGATAATTTTCCCAGAATCCAGATAACGTCCCTGGTCGACCCGATGTTTGGTAGAAGTTGCAAATTCCTCTGACCCCAAACACGGGCCACCGTCCTTTGCTAAGGTTGCGCCTCGTACCAGTAAGGCTGCTAGATCGGAAAGTTCCTCCTCATCTATCGAGGGTGCCGTGAAGCTTGTACTCGTACTCGTAGAGTTTGTAGTGACTTGACTCTCAGGCGACCATGAGAGAAACTTTCATCATTGGTTTCAACAACAGCGGCACAACCATCCGATGTTGAGTTCCCCCGCAAACTCAAAAAGTTCATGACGTTTGTGCTTTCCAAGGCCTTTGTAAGAGATGGCTCAGGGGGTGCGAGTATCCTCTGGCCGTGGCGTTCCCTTAGGTAAAATTCGGAAAAGTGAGTGATGGAACCATGGAAGGGCGCAAGCATACTCGTACATGCAGGACTTCGGAGATGCGCACAACCGTGAAGGCTCCAATCTAGTCACTGGTGCGAAGGAGATCTCGATACACCCTGTCACGTGTGCCAAGGCGTTCCAAAGTCGACGGGGCGGATTTGTTGCGGGCTCACCAGGATGGCCCTTTCGACCGTCGTACAGTACTGTACACTCGTACTGCGTATCTAATCCCGTGTTATTCCAAGTCTGGGAAGTCTCATTAGCCTCCTCTCCACACTCAGACCTTGTCCTGGCCTTGGAGTGGAAACTGCTGGCCTGGCTAATCCCCCCGAGCACTGGACTATTGGGGAATGTCGGATGGCAACACCGCCTGCGTACGGATATCGCAGGAGGTGAATATATTGGCCATTTGCCCAGTCTTGTCGTGGCTCCACCGAGGGTTATTGGCTCTGGCACCATTTTTCTTCAAGAAGACTGGTGGTTGGTAGTTTCAGATCGCCAAGCTGTAGCCTGAGCAAGGGTGCAGATGAGCCGCCTCCATGTGAGAAATGAGACATGACTCGACAGGAGGTCAATAGCATACCAGAAGTCCGCTTGTACATGCGGTCCCGCATTATGCTAAACCCCCCGCTTCCACACACACACACACACGATGGATAGGCGAGACGTCAAGTGTCAAAAGCGCCAGATTTCGCCTAAAGACGAAATCTATCTTCAAGATCCTGCAAAGTACCCAGGTGGAGTGGTGGAGCTGCTACAGTTAATCGTGCGAGAAATGCAAGCCCCCAGCCTTCAGTTGCCCAGTACGAATTGTGGCGGTGGTATGCATCCGTCGACCCGTAGGGAGTCGTAGAGGTTTGCGGCTTCAACCTTGTGTTGTTAGATTGACAGGATTGACAATTGTGGGCCACTGGGGTACAATATTTTTGCACATTTGAATCGAGTTCGAGAAACTGCGTCCTGAGTCGCGCTGTCTGAGGTTTTGTATGCGGAAAAACATTCCAAAGTTGACTGCGAAAGGCACGCACTTGTTGAGTGATAGCATCTTCCAAGGTCTTTTTCCTACCGCAGAGAGGCCATATACCAGGAGGTCACAGGGACCGCGAACCCAGGGAGGGAAGCCCGAGTGGAATCACAAAGCAAACACCGAAGAATCCACTGGTTTTGAGTTGAAGTGAAGATCCTTCCGTCGCGTGTCTCCACAGTGAAAAGCGACAGCCGCAGTATGGAGAAGTTGCACTTGAGTCTGCGGATTCTGGTCTATGGTGGCCACCAGCGTCTTTTCGCCCGCCATGTGAGGCAGTGGTGCACTATTCACGCAGTGATTAAAGGTGGTCTCTTGAAATGCTCCACCCTCCAAGCCGAAAAATGCCCTGGGTCCGGTTGATGGCATGTATACCCATACCGAGCTGGACGTATCGGTGTCCCCGTGTTGGACATCGTGAAGCCACAACTATAATGCATGGCTCACAAGCAGGATAGAGTCAGCTGCTGCGGAATGGGAAAGTGAATGCGATTCTCATTTTGCCTGTCCATGATGGGTCATGAACCCTTCCGGGGTCACAAGCATGTCCGCTGCCGCATACGACCACGCCACCTGGTGGCCTTTGCAGACAACAAGTCTCCCACCCGGTCAAAGAGGCTAAATAATACAGTGAAAGCCTAACAGAAATATCCCAGGATACCAGTTTACCAGCCAGCCGCATGTGTAAATTGCAAGAGAAAAAGCATAATTGGCCCGAGACTCAACAGGCCTGTGAGGCTCCCAATGAAGATTTCCTGAGCGCGATTTTGGAGCCTCCCGCCTTGTACATGTTTTCGTTCTGCTGTACGTGTCTTTCCGTTCCCTGTTGTATTATTACATGTGTCCTGTAGACTCTGTTCTTCACCGAAGAAAAAGCTAGTCTGATCTGTAGAAATCGAGGCTAGGTCACCGAAAGGATGAGATGTCATGCCTGGAACATAAACAACGACCAAAAGTATTCCCGAACCAACAGCCTGGATAAAAAAACCCCAGAAACAAAATCGCTTCGCCTCCTCAAAAGACAACCCGCTCTATGGACGTATATGGACTTTATCTTGTGGTGGAATCAGATTGGTGCTGTCGCCGCAATTGATCCTGCTCGTAGGCTGCTGCGGCCGCGTTTTGCTCTCTTTCACGAGCATGACGCAACGCAGGCAGTTGACGCCTCCGGGCATTGATGAACCAGTTACTGATCTATTCTATGGTCAGTCATCCAAGTTGTTGCCTTGGGGATGGCCAACGGGTGCATACCTGGTTCATCGAGAGGTTGGTGCGAGCCACCAATACTTGCTTTTCATCCTCGGTAGGGTAGGGATGTTCGAGGTGGTCGTGGAACCAAGCTCGCAGGATATCGGTGATATGTCGAGGAAGATTGCCCCTCCTCCTCCTGTTTGACCCATTTGCATCCATCGCGACGGGGGGCGAGGTGGGCTGGTGATATCCCGTCGGTGACGGGGCATAGTCAGACGAGCCGTAGGACGGTCCATAAGGTATGCTCGCACGGTAGTCGTAGGGCGAAGGTGCATATCTTGCAAAGTCCATCTGAGGAGTTTGTCTGGCGACAGGCGGGTAGGCCTGGCCATACCTAGTGCTCGGGTCATAATACGGCGTTCTGTCGGATCCGTATGAGTAGGCATCTTGTCCCGGGTGAGGTCCGGTTGACGTTGTGTATGGGGAAGGGTACGTAGTAGAGGTCGGGGAGTAAGGGGACTCAAAGTTGGTGACGCGGTCGAGATCCCGCAGAGGCGGCAGGCTGGAATGCTCTCGCGAAGCCGGATACGAGGGCTGTGCTTGATAAGAGATGCGTGGCTGCGCGCTGTAAGGGCCAGTCAGATCGGAAAATTGCTGTGCTGTCCAAGAGGAGCTGCGACGGTCGTATGCGGAGTCGATACTACGAGTGGACATGGTGTCATAACCTTCGATACTGTTTCCTGTCTGCGAGTGCTCCGGCGACTGAGGTTCTGATTTCAACGGAAGTGTTGGCTCATGAAATATCTTTCTGGTCATAGTGTCGCATTGGGTGGTTGGTAAAGGATTGCCAGTCTGCAGCCCAGTGGCGGATGGGTTCAAATTTGTCCCAAGGATCTGAAAAGTGTCAGTTCCACTCTCGACAGGTTAGATCCAGATTTACCTCTCGAAAAGAGGGGAGCTGCTGTTGGTGGTGAGCAAGCAAAGCTTGCGAGGAATCGGATGAGGTATTTTTGGAGAGGTCAGTCCTGCCCAAGTCCCAAGAATTAGAATTTGAGCCATAAGGATTGTAAGGATCCATGAATGAATCAAAAAAAAAGAAAAGAGTGTAAGCTTTCCCTCTTCACCCGGATCCCGGGCGGCACCCCGTTAAGAAAGTCAAGAGACTTTAGATGCTCGGGAGTCCGCAGTGTCAGGCTGGGGGCACCTGTCATCGAACCACGAACTCCTGTACCACAGGAAGGCACCACCAGCAGAGGAGGACAACGAAGGGAACAAAGGTCGTGCACGACCGAAATGCCAACGATGCATGGTTAAGAAGATGGACGTCAAACCCGTTGACATGACAGAAGTGACAGTGAATTGTTAAGCGGGCTGGATGGCTACTTCTCTGGAGGGCAAAGGAAGGGGGCATTACAGTGCAGAGGCGAAGTCAAGCACGACGGTTGTACTTACAAGAGAGAGCAACGGGCGCCAGGATTGTACCAGGGGGTGCCGGGTTTTGGTTCTGGCTTTTTTCTGATTCTGATTCTGGTTCTGGGGTCAGGCAGATCGGGATCAGGTCGATCTGGCTCTGTGGCAGCCGGGTCCTTGGGTGATGCTGTCAATGAGGAAGCTTGTTGGACGGTAGGAGAAGATGATCTTGAGTTCAGTCAGGATATGGACTTGTAACATCAGATATAGAGATCTCGTCCGCGGGGCGTCTAGGTTCGTTGGTGCTGGTCAGTGGCGTGGGTTTGCGAGTGGAGTCGTATTGATCGGTCGGGGTCAAGTCGTCGCGAGCAGTTGAATAGAGCAGCCAGGTGTTACGGGTAGGGATCGGTGGTGTAAGAATGGGCGAGCATGACCGAGTAGAGGGACCAGGGCCAGGAAGCTTGAACGCTGAGCCCGCGGTCGTCAAAGCAAGGATTGTCGATGTGTCAGATGCCAGGGAGGGACAAGGCCAAGGTTGAGATGCAGGGCGAGGGTGGACTATTGTGGTTCACATGATGGCGTACAAGGTCAAGTCAAATTTCCGCATTGGGGGGGTCGACCAGAAACGCGCACCAAGGTGTGAGGGCAGGAAGAGACGCTCTCTTTCATCCAGCGCCCCAGCTCGACCAGGACTAGTGGCATGACGGAGTCGAAGACACTAGCATAACGTGAAAGAGGGGCCACGATCGATCATAACTGGCCTTCTTTACAGATGGACCAGGGTCTCCAGAGTCAAATATTGTATGCCGGAGCCCTAGAGCAAGGAGGCGGAAGGCTACCAGGCTGGGTCCCTTGCCAGACGAGGGCAGCGGCAAAAGGAAAAGCCATGGTGATTGGCAACGATGCACGTAGAGTGGACGGGCCAGGACGGATTCGCGGAGAAGGAGGGCTGCGGGAGCTACTTACTGTCCCTCGTCGGAGGCATTGACTCGGATGGCTTGCACGGACCAGTGGTGGAGGGCACGATTAAGGCGAGGCCCCTGGCAGATTGTGTATGTATGATTGTATCCCCCTGCCAAAGGGTTGGACGGTAGTGTAGAGTACCATATAGCATAGTGGCCCATCCTGGACAAGTCCGAGCTGGTTCAGCTGGCATTGACCAGGTCGCGATGCAGAGGGAACGAAACGAGAGGTGGATCTGGAGGGAGGGAGTTGACTGACGGGTGCCCAGATGCCAGGGAAGCGGGAGGATTGGGCCGGCCGCCAACGACAGGATACAGACCGGGCTACGTGCGGGCGTCAGCCTGTGTAAAAGACGTGAATGGTTGTGAAAGTCAAAAGGAAGCCGTTGATGATGTCGTCGAACGGTGAACAGGGCAGTGGAGAACAGGAGACAGGAGCGGATACATCGTGTACGACGGTGGAGCGATGCAGTTGCAGCGTTGGGAGATAGCGAGTAGGACTAGCAGTGGAGGCATCCGAGAATGCAAGGTCAAGCAAGGACCCGACGCACGCACGGGGCATGATTAGGAACGGCATGCTGTGCCATCAATGATGATTCTCCCAAGAGCATAGGAAGACGGCACTCCCATTGCATGCACGCAGGAGGCAGGGAGACAGGGAGAAGCGCCGTCTTTCTTTTTCCACGGGCAGAGACCGCCAAGCGACTGGACAGCAGAAGAGAAGGTCTAGGACAGGGATTGTTGACTTGATAATGTCATGCTCCTCGCTTGGGGTCTTTTCCCACCCAAGATAGACTCGCGGATGGGGTATATTGAGGACGGGGCGGTAGCTAGTCATTGGTTCGTGGTTATCCGAGTTACGTGTGCCCACCGCTAATGTGTTTTTGTGTTTTATGCTTTTCATGAATTTTTTTGTCTTTTGGGTTTTATTTTTGGACAAGTAGGGGAGCGGAAGAGCCTCGCACATGTACAGCATTTCCTGATACCCGATTACCCTGCAAGGGAGGCCAGTTCCAAGGCAAGGGAGATTCTCGTAACATAACAGTCATGTTCCTTTCCAGAGTCAGCGGTTCGCCCGGCAGCTGTCATTCCAGCCAGAGATCTATCCGTATCTCCAGGCTTGGTAAACTAAATTACCATCATGGTGAGTGAGTGAGACGTACGGGTTGCTTTGCATCGTTGGACGCGCCGCAAAGGGCGCAGATGCTTAGGGATGGAGTTGTTTATCCACCCTTCCGAACTTGCAGCTCAACTTTTCGGAGAAGGGAATCATCGTGCCTCCTTTGTAAATACTATTGTTGAACCTCTGCTTTAGCCCGCGATCCGGATTAATTATCGGAGCCCTAGAGAAGGCAACAGACACACCACCGTGTTTCTTGGCTGTCCGATTTGCCAATCTCTCCCTGCGGTGACCTGCACTAAAGGCGCGTATCTACAATCCAGTCGCAGATAACGACCTAACAATGCTATTGTACTAGGTAGGTATTAGGGAGTTCTCGGTACCTACAGGCTACAGGCGACAACACACCTGAAGTTCCTCACCAGTCACCACACGTTCCCGAATTCCCGACTCCGGATTTCTGACTGTCCCCTTACTGTTCGACATGACCTTCGGTTCTTCGTACGGTGATCGCAGCCTCCATAAGCGACTTGTGCTGATGTTCAGTAGGCATGCCCTCTCGAGTCCCTCCCTATCCGATCGATGAACGATCCGAAACCTCTGCTCCCCTCCGAGTTGTCGTCTCAGAAGCTACCTTTGAGTCCTCCACCCTGAATCACTAGTGGCGACTGGGTTCGACGCCACAGAGCTCACCTGCATGCACCACCCAATGTGTATTTCCGAGAATGGCCACCCCTAGGCTTTCTCGTCGTTCTTGTTGCAAGCACGAGAGTTTGGCCAGAGTCAGAACGGTCGCCTACTGCTCGATATGGACCATGGCGCACGTCAGGGCATCGCCCCTCCTGGACGTGGGCTGAGTGCTGACTAGAGTTGTCTATCGGATCTCATGAATTCTGTCCAGGAGACGAGAATCCACCATGTCAAGAGCCATCAGCCGTTACGCCGTTCGTGCTCCGTTCGTGCTCCGTTCTGCCCTTTGCCATCTCCACCACCAGATGGACCCAGACTCTTCCAAAAAAGCACAATATTCGGCAAGCTGTTGCTTTCCGCACTGTACACTTATTCAACTTCTCCTGACCAAACTCCCGGGATTGCCCTCCTTTTGGACCTGTTTCCTCGACGGCGTCCAGCATTGTTTTGCTGCTCATCTTCCAATTTCGTTGGTGTCGTTGTTGGTTCTTGTTTTGTGTGACCGTTCCTTGTCACGTCACTCAGATCAATCCATCATCTATCATCCGCACCGAGATTTGCTGCTTTTTCACGTTCCACCTCCACTTGTTCATCGTGCTACCCTCGTTTCTTTTGGCTCGCTTCTACCTCCACCATGCATACCATACCGATCAGGGCTCCCAAGGCCGTTCATCTGACTGGTCACCATGTGTGAAAGATCCTTCCTCCCCTTGCAGACCGCCTTCCTTCGCCATACTCGTACCGCGAGATTCGATGCGGCTTTGACCCCCTGGTTGCTGAGCACCACTATGTGGTTCGCTTCTACCGAATTTTCTCCCCGGCGTCCAACGTCAACCTGACACTGCTCGGCTGTTCCCAGGCCCCTGTCTCGTGGCTTTTTGATTTTACACGATACACGTCAAAATGCCACCACTCCTCACTCAAACCCTACTGCGAGCCTGCAAGGGAGGTTCGTACAGTGCACACCATTGCTCACGCATGACTGCAGCCTTCGGAGGAATCAGGCAACGGATCATCTTCTCGTCAGTGTGTTACGACTTAGCAGCAGAAGCCACCCTACAGAGATCTACGCGGCGAAAGAAACTTGGAGAACTCCTCCCCAGACGCAGAGTACCGAAGCTCTTCCGTTTCCTTGTCCTCGAAGCAACTCAGCTCATCTCAACCCACACACACGACAATGGCCTTGCACAGATGCTAGTCGATCGCCACTCTTGACCCGGAAGTAGCAATCTACAGGTTGGCACCCACCTGCAAGGCCAACCACAAATGGCCCTCGAGACTTCTTGACGGGAGGGAAAGAGGGATACGAGTACACTACTGCCTCCAGCTTTCGTTCACGCATCTGTCACACCACCTTCTGCCATCCAATGACATTCCTCTTACCGCCTTGAATATACGCCCGCATAGCCAATGGTTCTGACTGGCAAAAATTGCCTCTACGAAAAGAAAAATCTTAGAGCGTGCGTGGCAAGTGCATTGTCCTTGCTGCAAGGAGGGGACAAATGAGAAACAGAAAAATTAATACGAGGTATGGCATCGCCTGCGTTGCTGCTGCCGCGGCACCTCTATTGCACTCGTGAGGAGGACTCGCGCCGGGATCATGTCGAAGTGGACATCTTTTTCTTTGTCCAGCAGCATACCTTTGCCGAATCCACCAGGAATGCACGCACACACACAGGTCACATGGATTCCTATGCAACAAAGCGACCCAGAGATCCCTCCTGCGGATGCATCGAACACTCCCTAGACCGTCTTCGCTCCGCGGATCGCACGATATCGAACTGTGCCTTCCACCTCTTCGCATGGGGCTACTGTAAATGCGAGATCTGGAAGTGCAAGGGGGTGTTTTTGGTTCATCCACCCGATACAGTGCAGATATTTCCACCCAGACACTGTTTTTGTCACCTCTGCGCCCCTCATCCCTTCCCCCCGGGGACCTGATCTTCTCCAGCCCGCCACAGATGATTACTTTTCTGCCTAGTCGGGATCTCAAAGTGAAGCGAGGCTGTGCTAGACGGGATTCCTTTTTTCCTCCTTTGCGCAGATACAGCGTCGATCTGCCATTCTCGGAAAGAAGGGAACGTGTCATTCGACAACTCCTTCCGTGTAACCTGCGGCAAAAAGGCCTATCCCGGGTACGACGCTGAGAAACGTTACACGATGCTAGTCTCGCAAAAGAGTCCCAGCGCCACGGGTTTTGAACAAGAGCCCTGGCCAGGCCTTACGAGAGGGAGTACCTTGCCATTGACCGGAGGCTCAAGAGCTCAAGAAAGCGAAGGATCACGCGGCTAACGAACACTCTCTCTTGTGGTTCGTCCGATCCGGAGAGGACCCTGCAGCTCCCCATGGCCCCTTGCACTGTTATCTGAGTCTCCGCGTGTGTACTCTCCGCAGGTGTCTCTGTCATGGGTCATGGGTGCTCATCCCTCGCTCGCTCTCTACTACAGTTGGAATTTACATGTAATGGCTAACCAGATGCGGCTCCTAGATCGTGAGATTACCCTCCCTGTATTCCGGGCATCCCGCCTAGGCCCTCCTTCGCTGTCGCGAAAGCTCACTCACTGCTAGGGCTGCCTGGTATCTTTACCCCCGCAGCAAAAAGAAACCTGAGAATATACAATATCTCGCTGTACTCTGAATACAGCAGATGTACTTTCAGTATGGATATATGCGCAAGTTTAAGAAGACCAGGAGAGATCGAAAAGTCAAGAGTACATCGTGAGTCGTAGGTAAGGAAGTGCGTTTCCACCCGTTCATTGATGGCCGATCAATGATCATTATCCAACCGTCACACCGACGCATGGATGATTGATTTGATCGATCGATCGGCCCTTTCCCTCGTGCGCCTCGCCTGGTCTCGCCTCGATCAAAACTGGAGGGGGGCCGGTCACCGTCTCACTCAGACAGACTCGTCCCAGGGTCAGGTTCGGAGCGTTTAAAATACCGTGCATACATACATACAGGCGCACCTAGATAGCGGCTAGGCATACATGCTGCACCGTCTGGCGTGTGTGGCCTGTAAGCCTGTAGGAGCACCGTATGGAAAACGGATGATGCCTAGGTTGGGAAGGGGAAGCTACTTTGGTGAGTCGGGTGAACCCGTAAAGAGTGCACTCCCCTGGTCTGGCCCCTTGGAAGGCAATGAATGCATGTTATCTTCACCGCAAAAGCACATCACATCACATCACATCACAAGGATAGTCACATCAATCATCAACATCAATATCACCACGTCACCACATCACTTCCGCTGCGGGTTACTATAGTCCGAGTTACGGAGTACTATCACGGTGGCGTACGATGTCCGCAACAGAGAGTTACTAGGTAGGTAGGTAGGTAGGTATTCATGAACGAGCCGGCCAGCATTAACCAAGCAACCGCACCGTGAAAATCCCGGTACATACCCCTCCGGAAGAACCTGTTACCTACCTAGGCTTAAGGGCAAGGGGATACCGGCAGGCGAGGAGGGACCCGAGACTTTTCTGAGAAGTGCGGGCTTCCAAAAACACTACCTGGCTACATAACTACCCAAGGTACCTATAATGCCGTAACCAAGGTAGTGCCAGAGCTGCCCGATGCCCTTCCGCTCTGTACTTACTCCCTCACGATCATCGCCCCGAGTACTTGATCATCACTCCTCAGCCAAAGACGTACTAAAGTAGTATCACGATGATTTGAGCTCTTTGCCTACATGATATTCTCTCAAGTCATCCATCTCCCTCTTTTTAGTGCTACTACTGTACCACCGACAATACGTATGTCCATGTCATGCGTGAGCATTATTTATTTTACCTCGGTACTCCGTAGATATTCCAACACTAGTAGAACATTGACATGATTTAGCGCTCGTATTCCTAAATGACCTTTTGCATTTGCGCGGCCGTTGCCCTTCTCTCCCAATCCATCCGGCGCTCTTGCTTGGTGTACCAAAAAGGTTTAGCTACCATGTCAGTCATCTTGACATGTCGTATTTTCCGCAGGACCATCAAGTCACGCATTCTCCTCTCGGTGACCGGGTTGGTGGTGATGGCGGTCGTAGAAGCGTCGACTTCCATCACATTTGCATGACTGGCTAGTTCAACCCCGCTGATCTTTTCGAGCGCATCGCCACCGCCGGTCAGCTGCAGCTGAACTTTACCCTCCAAACCTGTGCATGTGTCTGCTCTGGTGCCCGACTCTTGTCTTGGTTGCTGGTGCACGGGGCTGTGTTCCGCGTTGGCGCTAGGAAGACCGCGAATGCATCCTGCATCGAATCTCGACGCGCTTAAATGCGGGCGGTCGACCTCGTTTAGCGCCCGCCTCACGTCACTAGTCATACCACTATTCGCTTGGGCTTGACCGGTAGGCTCAGCGAGCGCCGTTACTTCAGCTCGTCGCTCTGAACGATAGCTGCGACTCCAAAGTAATTGGGCTGCTACGTCGTCACCTTCCACAAGCCTGACTTGCCATATGATCCACTTTAACAGGGATTTGGCCGTACCAAAATCTCCATACCCAAACTCACCTATCCGCGCCACGCCGGCATGCCACAAAGCTTTCGTAACATCGGCCTGTATTGGAGCGCCATAGCGGTGAAGGAACCGGTAACACCAATAGACTCGTCTCAATGCTCGTCGAGGCCTAGCAACAGGGGCTGTCGCAAAGGAGATGGCGAGATGATTGACCAAGGCCAGAGCCTGAGACGGCACAAGCATGGTTTGGGTGCATCCGGACTCCGGCACTGGAAGAAAAGCGTTGCTGTTTCGTGAGCCTCGTTCTCCCGCTTGATCCTGGCGGAAGCTTCTCGACAAAGCTGCCTTGAGAGGACCGTTGCATTCCAGTAGCCTTGTAATGATATCAAATGAAGCGTCGTTCTTGTGGATCAGGCGACGGGACATGGAGCAAAAGCCGGCCAAATCGTGATTGAGGCATTCCCCCAGCTCTTCGAGAGCGCCATTGAAATGGAGACGTCGGCGTTTGTGCTTGTAGACTCGGTCTTCGAGGACTAGAGCCAAGTCGTATGGTAAAGACTCCCCAACTTGACATTCAGAGGAATTCGAGCTTTCAGGAGCTCCTAACACCGATGTAAGTAGTTCAAGCTCATCGAGAAGAACTGACTTGTTTGGAAGAGCTAGGCTTTTGAGTGTTGATTGAGCTTCTCCATAGAATTGCACCTTACTGAAGCCTTGATCGAAAAACACCGAGTTCATCGTTCTTCCAAACAAATGATGACCTCGCAGTTGGACTTGTAGGTGTGGTGAGTTTCGGCTGTGCTGTGTCAAATGCAAAGCCGTCCAAGCAAAGATCAGCTTACGCTGATCCCGAGTAAAGTCAATATTGTGCCTTTGGTAGATAGCCCACTCATTTCTTGTGGGTTGTGCATTCTCCCCGGAGAATCCTAGGTCGGCCAAGAGATCGATCCAACGGCGGAATAGATGTTTGTAAGCATTCGTCGGCTTATCCCGAGCCAATTTGATCAGGTTCTCAGTCGTATGTAAGAACAACATTCGCAGGAAAGGAAGAGGTGCTTCCTTCAACAAGATTGCTGCTGAGCTATCTGAAGCCTGCTTGTGAGCGTTCCGACCGGCATCCCTCAGATATCGAACCACGATTTGACTGAATACGGCTGCATCGCTCGCCCGACCCCACGGTACAAGATCCCACAAGATCGGTGTAAGTGCTCTTCTCAGTCCAGAAGTATCAAGCTTCCCCAGTTTGGAAAACAGTTCTGATAAGAAGGACGAACCAAGCTCGGACAGCTGCAGAATCTTTGATCCTCTTAGAGACCGTAGGATGTCGTAGATCAAATAAAGTTTTTCTCTGCGAGTTTCTACGAGATCTCCTTCTGTGCTTCGTAACGCGATTGTGCCTGAAGTGCATAAAGTATCGAGAATCGTCCTCAAGTCCTCAAGATTGACGAGACCTAGCTCTGCAGCCCTCGCGGTCGAGTCTCGCACAAGTCTCCAATCGCCTACACTCCAGGTATGTGAGAGTAAGGTGGGCAGAAGTTGAACGATGTAGGAAGTCCCTGTAGGGTGAAAACTTGGATCGCTGATATATTCCGCAATTTCCTCTCCAGAGAAGGGAGTCTGCAGGATATGCCTCCAAATGGACTGGCCAAGTTCCACGTTCTCAAGCAGCATAGTATCCTGTCTTGCCAGCCATTCATGTACTTCGGCCAGACTGCGACATTGAGAGAGCTCGTCCTGGTCATCGCGTCGCAACCGTGGTATTGGTGGGCCGTCGTTCAAGGGCTCCGAAAGGCCTTCTGTTGATCCAGTGGTTTGCAGGAGCCAAGCTTGTAGGTGAGGAACAGGTGCGCCTGCTGGACGCGATGTTAGCTTTGACATCACCACTGCTTTTGGAACGACATACGCTTCTCGCACTTGGTGGGAGTGTGCCACCAATCTATGTTCTGACTGCGCGTAAAAATCAGGGCTGGGTCAACTTGTGGTGCACTATGAGCGACGTAGGCCAGACTGGCGTTTTTGCGCCTCGAGGTTCGTCGCTGAGCTTCCAATGGGCCTGGAACGTTGCTGCCATGTCGTTTCTGGTGACAAAACCGAGCAAAAGTGTCGGCTAAGAGCCCGTCGGAAATCCATATGAATGCTGGTCGCTGATAGGAGACGCATGTAGCTGCGGTCAATCCTTTGTTCATGACATTTGGGCGACCGTAGTGGCGTCGGGACCTGCTTGCATCTATGTGAGATGTTTGAGAATTGCGGACAAGTTATGAGCGAGTCTCCTTACCGAAACTAGAGGGGAGGAAGCTCGAGTCATTATCCGTGCAGGACCTCGCACAAACACGAGTCAGGCCGCCAAGGCTTCCCACGCTGTCCAGTACAGGTCTGGCACCTCTCAAGACTAATGGATTTCGAATCTACTTTGAACGTTGAATGCATGTATATTAATCCTCCATATCTTAAATACAGGTACCTATGCACACTGGTATAAAGTCCTAAATCCCAAATCCAAATCCAGAACCTATCCCACAGTAGTGTGTCATCGCTATGCGTCCAACCTGAAATACAATGCCAATGCCTGCTTGACATGCCGCCAGAATAATTAAGCCTTCCCCTTTGAATAATCTTGCCATGGTCCTTCACCTTATGAACGATTACCTTAAAATGCTAGTGTTGTTTAGAAGGCATCCAATATTTTGGACGTTATCAAAATTTGTGACAGTCCCTGCTGCTAGAATTAGACCCAGCTTATAATTTCGTCAACATTACCTCGCGGCCTCGGATAGTGAAGAATGTCGCGTTTGTTAGTGCGGTCGATAGCGTGAGTGCCGTTTGAGTCGTAGATGTAGGATCACCTGTATTAGGATCGGCCCTTGTGATGAACGTGGTCGGTACTAAATCGCTTGCACTGCTGATAGGTATGCCACGATCGACGGTTGTATTTAACGAGGATAGTGTGCTGCTGACAGCAACGGTCGTGGATGAGGTGGTAGCAATGGCCGAGGCGACTGCGGTCTCTAATGTGGTGGTACTCGTCGGAGTGACAGTCACAAAGATTGTGGTTGTGGAGAAAAGCGTCGTGGTAGAGGTCCCCTCTTCCAAGGTCGTGGATATTGCCACCGACTCGAAAGTCGTGTACGTGCTCCCGGTGATAGTAAGCATGCTGCCTCCATCGTCTGGAGTGGCAGTGACAGCGTTGGCTGGAGCAGTGTTGACTGGAGCAGTGTTGACTGGAGCAGTGTTGACTGGAGCAGTGTTGACTGGAGCAGTGTTGACTGGAGCAGTGTTGACTGGA